GATATCTCTAGGGTGAGACCAGGTGACATACAAAAAAATCAAGTTTCACATAGCAATACTAAGTAAGATACAGACCTCTAAACTTTCAAACCTTGATTTCTCAGTTCCGTAAAAATGTGAGATAGTACAAAGTTATTCTTATGCGACGACATGGTGTGAGCCAAAAAGGTAACCCAATCAAATCTTTTACTCGGTCATTACGTTTTTAAAGTCATATTTGGCACAATTGAACCTCGTTCAATGTTCTTCCATTTATTTCAACGTGGTTACATCAGGTGAAGTTTTCTAATTACGCTCACAGATATCTTGTGTAATGGCTTTCATTTGCCTTAGAACTAATCTCTTGTTTCAACTCTCTGATGGGTCTAGGGTTGATAACGTATGCATCATCTTTTGAACGTTTGGAGATCGCCTTGTCTACAGGGTGTCCTGAAAGTATTGGACCCCCATAGGCAGACCTTTACCAATGACTCCACAGTATGTGTCATATATCATTTAAAACTTATCCAAAGTTACAATGATTGCCAAGTACTTAAGTAACATGGTTCAAATGGGAAAAAGTTACAGGTCTTTAAAACTTAGTGTTTCGTCAAATTTTAAGTTCAGTTCAGTATCCCGTAAACAGCCCTGATCTGAATGTAACCAAAAATAGGGGTGCTATCGTTAAAGATAGGATGGATATTGAGTTGGAAAAATAGGATGGTAAGGGTAGGCTTTATCAGGATTACAAAATGCTACACCCCTATTGAAGTGCGTTGATGGTCATATTTGAAAAGAATTACTACTGTTAACATGGCCAAGGGAGGCACACCGACTTTTAATTTGGTGTAAAACTTAACTTTTAATTTTGACACTGCCTGTAACCTTTTCCTATATCAGAGTTAAACCATGACACTTGACAAATCAATGTAACTTTGGATAAGCCTTAAAATGATGTATGACACATATTATGGAGACATTGGAATTTGGTATATGTCTGCATATGGGGGGGGGGATACTTTTGGGACACCCTGTATCGAAAATGAAAATTACTGCAATAGAGTTGCGTGCAGCATTGAAAACACTGATCACTTGCTCTACACCATAAAATCAACACGCACACAATGTGCCTTGTTATATTTGATTACCATTTTACAAATCCCTATTACCGCCAATTACTTGCCGAATGCCAGTCATTTCAATGATTATAAGGCTCAATATGAACTGATGTTTCCTAATGACTAGCGCTAACGAATTTGTTCTTGAATTCGTTGAATAGTACAATGTATCAATTCTCTCGTTACTTTATGTTAAGAAAGAATAATAGAGCTACTGTGTGCACTTATAATCCCATTCATCCCCGAATGGTTTCCATTTAGAAGCATTAATCAATCGGACAACCCCAATTGTACCACTCTAATGAGTTAGAACCATTCCTTCTTGTAAATATCCAATGATAAACTATGACAGCAACCAGGCCAATAATGCCATTATACAATTCAATTATATTTATTATCTGTTCCTTCATCAATCTTACATTCTCAAAATGGTACCACCAATATTAGGCTTTGGATTTCCATGTTCGTATTTCTATCATACCTAAACATAATGTAACTGTAGTATTATATGTTCGAATTACAAATATCGTCAGAAAACATTTGTTAAAAATGATACCAAATCAATCGAAAGTTGTCATATATATTTATATTACATATGCAGCTCGGTTTTGAACATATTAGCTACTACTGACAGAGGCAGACAAGACCAAATTAACGCGAAAATAGCCCAGATTGGATTAGGTAAAAACTTGCCTCTTTCATAGTCTGACTCTCTGGTAGGAAAGGCTGTTATATCAACTCAGTCAGCCTTTGAAAGAGCTAAGGTAAAAACCCAGCTGAAAAACCACACACATTTTTAGCTGATAGATAATTATGAATCTGAAAATTATCGTCACATTTGTATTTAAGATATATCATCGTTTTTATTTGCAGATCTACATGTCAGAGTATCCTGGAATCAGGCGTATTCCAAATCCGATCGCTCACAAATGATAACCTGCATATAATGCGTAACAATTCTGAATGACTTATATTGTTTAAAAATTACAAAAGTGTTCAAAACTTCAAATACTGTGGATGTAAGTTATGGTTTATGTCCGCCAGGGGGCAAAGGGAGGTTGACATAACCTAATAATTCTCCAAACATCTCATGATGTTTCAAAGATAACAATTTATTGCACTCAAACGTGCAATTTAGCAGTACATAAAGCTAGATATTATTCCTATCTATAGAGCCATGGGATACAATTGTTAATCAATTTGCTGACTGCTATAGATCAGGAGCAAAAGCCCCAACCTATATTTTGGAAACAAATTTTTATAATTACAAACACTGACAAGTGACAAATTATCTTATTCTACCACTCACTTTCGTTAGGAGTTATTCAATCCCAATTCGCCCTCGAGTAATTCGTCATGGCGGCAATAGAAAAACGTTACGAAGTAGTAGGATCGCTCGAATGTGCTTATTTTCTAAACGAAATCGCGTATCGATATATAAAATATCAATAGTCTTTAAACGGCTTATAGTTGTAATTCTCGTCTCGAAGTAATGTTTCATATAGTATGTGACTAACAATATCGATAGACAAAATAACTTAAACCCTGTTCTCTGTAGGCAAACGAAAGCTGATGAAGCGCCTACCAATATTGTGAACTGATGTGCTTTATTTTTTAAGAGAGAGAGAGAGTACTTCGATTGAAACATTTGAATGAAAGTCGTCACTTTTAGCTTATAGGAAAACGTAGTTTGTCTTCCGGTGTTCGCATTGATTTCTTATCAAATCATGAATTACTGTTAATAATGAATAATATTAAGCAATAAAAATGTGTTTATAATTTAGGCCTATATAGATTTAAGATTGTACGAAGTCCACAATTTTTGTCAATATGGTTTCAAATAGTAAATATATATTAAATTGCAAGCAAAAAGAATGCTATGCGTGATGTGATAACATTTAAATGTATTTTTTTTATAATTAATCATATTTTCCCAATTTACGATTCGGTGATTGGTGATGAAAAATAAGATGGTGGAAGCGTGAAACCATTGATTTGCATTTATAAACAAGACACGCGATCTGCCAAATAGTTAGAAAAAGCTAATTCTGAAAATAACATTTCACATGTTTCACGGCCCTAATAAATAACATGCAATCGCACTAGGGGACTGAATGGAATAAATTACATTCTTGTAGAAAATAATTCGCTTTCGAACACATTTAGACAGTAACTAGACAAATTTAGGATTAACCTTATCGAGCCACCGTAAATATTAAGAAATCTTCAGGGTGGGCCAAAAAAAACCAATACCCAACTTTAAATCAGGATAAAAATAGTTACGTTCAATGTGGTACATTGACTTATATATCATTTTAAAGGTAATACATTTTCAAACAATTTGGTATATAACACTATGACATAAATCAATAGTAAAGGTGTATTATACTTATTTGGGAGGCTGGGTCGCTATTTAAGGTCTCTAGATTTTGGGGAGAAAACAGTAAATCTTTGAAATTATGTTAACTTTTTATTCATGGAATATCATTTTGTTAGGTGAATACAAGCTTGTATATTTGCATCATTTGTGACTTAACTTATTGTTTATTAATTTCAGTATTGATTACTATCAATAAGTACTCAAAAGAGGTATGTTAAAAGACATAAAACGTATATGTGGTGGGGGGGGGTATTTTTCAATAAGACAGTGCCTTGTCCCATAGATCAAAGGTGACATTGGCATTCCTTCACGAACAAGTTGTCAATTTGACTGATCCAGATGCTTGGCCACCCAGCAGCCCGATGCTAATGTGGTGGATTACCATACATGGAGCCATGTATGGTAATGGGTCCAGGAAATGGTGTACAGTCACAAGCATCCAATAAAAAGTAGTGATTAGCTGAACCGCGGAATCCTAATTGCTGGAATCTATTGCAACAGTAATCTGTTGATAGATGGCGCTACCGCTTGAGGCTTATTGTTGACGCATAGGGGGGGGGGGGGGGCATATTAAGCAATTGTTTAAATAAATAAATTGTAAAATGTTATTAAACAACACTGAAATTCATAAACAATAAGTTTAGTCACACATTGATGCAAATAAACATGCATGTATTCACCTAACAAAATGATATTCTATGAATAAAAAGTTTACATAATTCCACAGATTTACTGTTTTCTCCCTAAAATCTAGAGACCTTAAATAGCGACCAGCCTCCCAAATAAGTATAATACACCTTTACTATCGATTTTATGTCGTAGTGTTATATACCAAATTGTTTGAAAATGTATTACCTTTAAAATGATATATAAGTCAATGTATCATATTGAACATAAGTATTTTTATCCTGATTTGAAGTTGGGTATTGTTTTTCTTGGCCCACCCTGTATATAGCAACGTTCGCTAACTTGATGTATGAAATCGAATAGGTTGCGCTTCGAATTAGTGGGGTAGGAATAAAGCATAACGAAGGATGAATGCTAGAGCGGGGTTAGGAGAACATCAGAGGTTTTGAGTAGCTAATTCGAAAAAATATATATATTTCAGAATCTTTCTTAGTGCTTAAATCATCCATTGTCATGCAGCTTATTATTTTTTCTAAGCGTAACTAAAAAAGAGAATTCCACGCAAACCATACATGCATAGATTTCTATAAATCAATGAGTTAAATCAGTTGCTGCTTGCAATTTCAATTTCAAGTCAAACACACAAATTATTTTTAATCCACCCCCTGGGTTATCATCTGTCTTTCGTTGCACTAATTTTAACTATATCAAATAATGTGTACATGGGCTTCAATGATCAGTCTGCAATGATACCATGGGCTTTCATGAAAGGGGTAGGCGACTTCCCATATTTCAAACATGAGCATTGCCACATATATGAAGTCGAAATATGAGTTCATACAAAGCATGCCATTACATCACTCGCATTTGTTGTTGAATTCTTCTATCATTTTCAGGTGCTCTTATCAAAAGCCGAGACACGGGTGGCATCGAAGCTGCGTTTACTTACTCCATTTTCAAAGTTAATCAAGCAACTGGCATTCTGCCTCGTACCGTACTGACGTTTGACATCAAATATGTAGACATCCATTCAACGTACATGGATATGCAGCAAGGAGGTAACATGTTACACTAATTGATCTATTGAATATTTGATTGTGATTTACTGTATGTGCGTTCTAATAGTAGTTATTTCGGTATGTGCAAAATAGACTACATCAGGATCAACAGCGTGGCAATGTGACATCGAGCAGAAAGTAAAAGGGGTCAGACAATACTGTACTGGCTGACACATACGGCTACTTCTTACCTTCAAGCATCAGATAAATGTTGATTCACACGTAGCTAGGCAAGGTGTGTCCGATTCCAGCTAATCCGAACACAGTATTTCGTATAACTACACTGCATTATAACCAACTTACCACCCAAGGCCATTCGTTGAATGGTTGTCAAGGTGACAACTCTACAGATTGAAATTTATTCTTTGCCAACTTGACCATTGCAAAAAGTTTCATTGAAAATATGTTCTTTTGGTAATTTCGTATATTTAAGGTGATTTCGTAGAACATATTTTGCAATGTGTGAAAAGAATTTAAGCCAAAGACTTGATGCATTGTGGCTAATTCATTCCGCCATGCGTTATTTCCTGTGCATCTCATGCAAAGGTCGAAATAACACCTTTTGAGGAATGATTCAGTCCACATCCATCAAGGTAGGAAACTATTCATTTAGACATTTGAAATACACTAATGGATCAAGATAGAAATTGGGTTGGACTTTGTACATATAATTCGTTTCATTTACATTGGTTTTCCTTTCTTGACTTGCAAAATTACACGATGGCTCCAAATTAATATTTTTTATTGCAAATGGACAACCATAAAGTGCATGCGCTTCATTGAATACTTTTATCGTAGACCAATAATAATGATATTATATCTCATGAAACAATAATGTTTGAAGGTAATTTCCAATAAATAAAACGTCTAAATATTCCCAAAGGCAAAATGAAATATAACAAATTAGACACTCTCCAGACGGCGTCACCTTATAAGATAACATCATCAAGATATGCACGTCTGATAAATAATGCTTTCAAGATGTAAATAATCTAATTCACGGGTAACATTGGGCCATGAGTTATAACGTTCCCAAAGTTTAATATTTAATTATTGAATAAGAAAGTTGCCTCGCAGCAATTTCCTGACTACTGTGACCCACTATTCACTTTCATAACTCAACCAAACAATTAAAAAATTTGAGCCATCGCATTTCACTACTTTTTTATATTTAATTCCTTTGGACATATCTAGTTTGTTATATACTTACATATGCCAATACAGATATGCACGTGGCATAAATGATACAAAATCACCGGTCGGGAAATACAGATTCCCAAAAGTTCCCACTCGTTACCGGTTTGATTGTCAATCAAGGTATGCAAACATCATACCTTGGTAACAACCCAAGATGATAAGATAATGTTGTTCGAATGTACTCTTATATTGCAGCTTGCGCTCAGGTATCCACGGGAGTGATGGGCATATTTGGACCCCAGCTTGGTTCTATGTCAGACCAGGTGGCCTCAATGTGTAGCTCACTAGAGATCCCACACATCGAGACTGCAATGAATCTGGGGAGTTCGATGACGACAGACTTCACGCTGAACCTATTTCCCCCCGTGCAGCTACTCAGCAGGGCATACATTGAGTATATGCAGTATCTGAAGTGGACAAATGTAACTGTTGTATACACTCAAAGCAACACAGGTGACTCAGCTACTTTGAACAAATATATAGGCAATGGTTGTTAATTAAAAAATTCCAACGAAGCTTCATTACAGATGAACCATAATTTGCATCTATCCATATCTATCATATCGTATCGTATATTACATATATCATATGACAGAGCTTATCAGTAGCAATAAAGAGTGGACGAAAGAAGCGTTGCAAATGTTTCATTTAGTAACATAATTCAATTGATTTGTCTATATTCAATGTAAATTGGGGAGATTCAAGAACAGACAATTTTTGTTACTAATCCTTCGTTTCCGGTACATATTGGAAGAATTATCAAAGAAAACATTTTGAAGATTCTTAGATATGCAATGATGGAGACTCTGTATTTGTACTTTATAACGTACGTTGTTATTGCTTGAAGGGATCCATCTTGGCATTCTCACTGCGGCATCTGAGGCAAGACTGGGCATCAGAGCATTTCATTTGGACGAGGCTGCGTCAGACTGGAGGGGAAAATTAAGGGAAATGAAAGAAAGTGGTGCCTATACCTTCTTCGTTGACCTTGAGCCAGTCATGTTAATATCGTTCCTTAAACAGGTAAAGCAAAAACCAATGTTAAGGTCTCAATAAATCATTACTTACATTACACTTTAATTATTCATAACATGCATATATTATCTAAGTATAAAGTACATGGTAAACACCAGTAGCATTGCATGTTTTGTGTTACGTTAGTAAAAGAGTATATACCATTAAATCCAGCACACTAACACGTTACGTTTGCCCATGGGATCAATTAATCATTGAAGTCAGAGTACACCTTTTAACAGAACATCAAAAAATAAATATGAGACCCGATCCGATTATGTTTTAGACACAACAGATGGGGATGTCTGACGATCGCTATCACTACATTTTCTCAGACCTGGTAAGTGCTATGAAATTTCATAGTAATTGACACAAGTACTTGCTGAGCTTTCAGATACCACACATGTAGAGCTGCTACTTTTTATCGTACTTGAGTTTCATTCCCTTTTGAAAGGTAATCCATAACCAAGCTACCTCAGAATCTGGCCAAATTATATGATACCTTGAAATGAATTAAATTTTCATGTCTCAAATGTCAACCCTTTATTTTGATATTGGGATTTAGAGTCTTAATTTGTTTTTAAATTGACATACAACCTTTAATTTTGGTATTCAAATGAACATACGACATTGTTTTTGGTGCTAGGATAGCCAACATGTTACCTTGGACGATTTCAAATACAGTGGAGTTAAAATATCAGCTCTGGCTTTGTATGATAGGAATGACACTGCTACAAAGAATATATCTAGGAATATGCTGAGATATGCCCGACAGAATAACATAGAAGGAGTATGTATGAACATAATTAATCACCATTTATTAGTTTACACTGATTCATATTATAGAAGTTACTTCATATATTACTTGTACTTTGTAAGCACAAGTGCAAAAATAGTAAAAGTGACCACCAAAAAGTTCAAAAAACATTATAAAAGAATCGGACAAACAAACACCAGGATTTCAAAAAAATGATCTAAGCGCAAACTCTGATGCACGTGTGGCACTATAGAGATTGCTTTATCGAAAAATGCGCTTTGAGTGTTTACTAATGTGTTCAAAGTAAATCGAATTGTTTTTTGTTTAGATCAACCGTGATAGTGAGATTGGTACTGAGGCCATGCTGATGTATGAAGCCGTGATTATATTTGCAAGAGCACTACATTCACTCGACAAAGCGACAGAGGTTGTTGAACCAAGTGGATTGAGTTGCAGGAGAAGGGACAGGACTTGGTCCCATGGTGCTACAATGTTCAACTATCTGAATATAGAGGTATGATCTGAAAGAGGAAAGTGGGGACTTACCTTGAATCAATGAAACAGTTACGGCAACTATAGTACATTTTTTAATTTAGACATATTGCGACTATCAGCAACGCTTTTTTGTATGATGCGTTTTGGTTAATGTCATCTCCATCAATAGCCAGTTTATGTACTCTTGTTTTGTAGGCAGACACGGCTGGTAAAGGTAATCTGTTGCACATTCTTCAAATGGCTCGGGATAGACGGAAAACACTAGTTAAGGTAATTCCTTGTATCATTCATTAAGTTTATTAATCGGCAAACATAGAAAGAAATATTTTGAGAAAACATACTCGAAACATAAATGGAATAATAACTGCTTCTTTTGTTCATTGATAACTGAAAAGTATTTGAACAAATTAAACTTCTTCTTACGCAGTGTCCATATAATGTTGTCAAAATCCTCTCCTTTCATCCTTCATTTTGCTAGGGAGGTCCAGAGGAAAAGTATTTTTTACAATGGTTGCAGTGGTGGGATACACTAGAATATAAGTTGAGAACTACTTACCTGTAGGCAAAATACAGTCCATATGGAAGGCTAAATGGACTGGGTCTTTCGTGAACTAGCCTGCTGGCTTGGGAGACATTCAAACAACATTACACGTTTTTACCACTAACTTGCAATTTCTCGAAACGTAATACAAATCTATGTATTGGCCGATAAATTATTAACAAATAATTTTAACATATCTGCACCACTGGTGCCATTGTAAAACTCCTCTTCTATGGACCTCGCTACCAAAAGTAGAGATATAAGGAGAGCACTTTTACAATATTCATTTTGTCCGGTTCCAAATATTCATTTGTCCCTTTTCTCACTTACCCGTATTCCCACTTAGCCAATACGCTTATTTGTCAACCTATCTGTTAAGGCTGGTGTGTGGAGGGCAGACGCTGGGATTGAAATCCTGAATGATCAATATGAGAAGACCGACTCTGATACTGTTGATACTAGTGGCGTATTTTCTGGTAAAAGCGACAAGAAGATAGTGGTTTATGCTGTATTGGTAAGTTCGCTTAGTGTCTTTCTAAACGTTTGAGATATACAATATACATATGTGTATTTATGATGTGTATAAGTGCTAATAGTAGTATATACTCGTACAACACGTGAATACCACCCGGGTAACCATATTCAAATTCGCTTTTCTTTTCTCATTGTAGTATAGATATTTAAATTTTAAGTAGATATCCTCATTCTATATAAACAAGCGTAGCTGTAAAAGTGAAGATTTTACTTCTGGTGTGTTTGAGCGTTTTCACCTGATCCCTTTAGTCAGATTGGTTGATGAAACAACCTTTTAAGGGGTTGTCAAATTGGCCGAGCGATTCAGCTCGGCGTTGTCACCATAACCATAAGGTCGTGAGTTCGAGACGCGTGAGGTCCTTGCGTTTATTCATGTAACATAGAGATTAAATCGACAGAAAGATGTCAGTAGTGCTCTTTCTATTCACATCATGTTAAACCATACCACTACCGTCATCTTTGTTTCGACCTAGAGCCTATAAACCTAATATTGTTGAGTTCATTTTACGACTTTAGGATCCACCATTCCTTTCGATAAAACCTGGGTTCTCTAACATAGGGAACGACCGCTACCAAGGATACATACCAGATCTTCTGAAGGAAATAGCTTTATCAACTGGCTTAAACTACACTTTGTATGCTGCAAGCGATGGCAAATATGGCCACAAAACTAGACCCGGTGATTGGGAAGGCATCATGGGAGCTATAATCAATGGTGTAAGCTTTGACATACCTTTGTAGAAAAACTGACCGCTATTCCATGTTTCTGTGATGATTTATAAAAATGTTCAGCATCACATGGCATTATGACCTAAATTATTTGATACATCATGCCTATTCACCAGGTGACGACGTATGATCATTTTGATTTGCTAAGATTGTCATCTCAGATTCTTCACCATATTTTTGTAGAGAGCAGATATGGGAGGTGGTAGGCTTCTCATGACCCATGCAAGATACCAGGAGACGGATTTTTCACATTCTTTAATGGGTGCCCATCTCGTAATGATGACCAGTAAAGATGGCTCTGATGTTGATGATCACTTCATGGATTTTACACTATTGAAACCATTCTCTCTGATGGTTTGGATAACTATTCCCGCAACATATGTAACAGTAAGGAAATACCATAAAGGAAATGCGTCATTTTTGATATCATTTGAAAGTTAAACAACAGACATATAACACACCTAAGATGGATATAATGCACAATGCATGTTGGTATATGTAAAACATGTTTTCATGACATTTCTCTTATGTTGAAATTTTCACCTCGGCGTCCCTTTTCAGGTTTCTCTTTGTCTCTGGTTGATCAACAGATGTGATCCTTATGAGAGACACGAGGCCCCAAAATACAAGAAGGTCAAACCAGACAAAACTACAAAGGGGCTATTGAGTATTGGGGCAAGTTTCTGGACCATTTACTCAACCCTCCACTTGCAAGGTATAAACTCGAAACATTTTGACTTTCAGTTATATTCATTGATAGGAAATATATTATCTCAATTTGCAATTTTTACATATACACCCATGTAATATAAGATGCGGAAATAATAAAGTTTATTTTTGTTTTCCAGGGTTTGAGAGAATGCCCAGGTCAATTGCTGGAAGAACATTGACACTATTTTGGTTTACCTTCGCGACTATTGTATTCATATCTTATGCATCTAGCTTAGTGACCATCTTAGCATTTGGTACAGCATCTTTCAATCACCCCTCTGTACAGACATTAGAGGATCTTTTAACGGGGAATATTAAGTTTGGCGTCATACAAGGAAGTGACGTCGCTCATTATCTCAGCGGTTCAAAGTCGCTGCTTGAACAGAAAATTGCATCTTCCATGGAATATGTGTCAAGTTTGGACCATGGTATATCGAAAGTAAAATCCGGCGAGTTCGTCCTGTTGACCAACCATGCAACTGCTGAGTATACCGCTTCCGTAGATTGTGCTCTAAATGTACTTCCACACAAGACCAGTATTGGCAGCTACGGATTTGCTTTCAAAAAACATAATCATATAAAAAACCAAATAAACGAACAAATTCTAAAATTACAAGATGATGGACATCTGAATTCATTATATTCAAAATGGTGGCGATCTCACAACCTATGTCACAATACAGATAAATCAGATGGTGTTAATGCGAGGAAATATTCCAGTGCCCGTCCAATAGATTTAAAACAGTTCACAGGAGCATTGTTTCTTGTACTGACAGGCATTATTATAAGTATAATTATACTGGCTGTCGAAGTCTGCTGCTTTAGATCAAGACTGAAAACCAAACGCTACAATGATGTGGCGAGAAATGAAGATGGATACGGCAACAATAAGCCATATAACCATGTGCATATTGATACGAGAATATAATATGTAAAGCATTATTAAACCAAAGAATTGTATTATTATTTAAATAAAATGTACTTTATGAGATTCTATATTTTCTGTGATTTAACTTGAGCATACATATTGTATCAACAATACAGTTTTGTCCAGATTTGCTGACACTTTCCGCCCACTTTCCGACTGATCTGAAAGTTATGTACATCTATAGGTCTTAACGTTGATTTTTATTGTTAACACATGAAAGTGCTATGCTTTTCAAATAACATCAACCCCAACTGATTATCGTTCAGTATACTGTACAACACAAATCTCACTCTCACTAATCGGCATTGTTGTTGTCTTTATCTCTTGGTTAATTACATATACCTTTAGCCCGAGATATTTAATAATTCTCAATATAAAACTTAAAGGCAAAGGCTGATTACACAAAGGTAGGAGAATCTTTCCTTTTGTTACTTTCTCTTAAAATCTAAAGTTGGCATACCTTTTCTTAAGAAAAATGTAACTTACGTTTGAAAATGTATATTTAGCATTCATAACTTTATTTGACACCATTTGACAATCCCGTTTATTTTGCTATAATTTCAGAGCTTTTACTAGATATAGTATTTCTGCTTTAGAGCTCTAAATTACGAAGTTTGTATTTTAGCTCTATCTGAAATGAAGTTAAGCATGCAATCAAACAACTACCATGGCCCTTCATCAGTTCATGTAATATTCAAAGAAAGAAAGAACGTTTATTTAATGATTCAAAATTATAGATGGGGCCATATCATGCATATGGGGCAGTGACTCTGTCCGTGATATTTGGGATGTACCCGGTAGTTGCACAGTTTGACCCTTCCGTATGCACAGCAGTTACGCCGAATGGAGGTACGTAATGTTTCAGGCAATCGTCATCAATACCATTAATCCCCAGCTTTGCCCGATCTATAACGTCAAGCCGCTCTACCCTCTATGTAATATAGTTATTATAGCCCTTTGAAATACAAAATGTCACAACAATTTTAGATTTGCCTTCCAAAATCTTAGTACTCATTGGTATAGTTTAGGATCATCGTCACATGGTTCAAGCTGACAATTTGAATATTGTAAATTAGACCGATCCATATGTACAGACAACGCTGTTTTATTGTAGACAATGAACATGTTAATGGTTTATTTTCAGGACCGACCCTTCCAGTTCTTCCTAAAACATTTTCAACGATGGTTGAATGTAACTTTATAAATCAGAACAAGACATATGACGCCCATGAATTCTATGACTACGACGCCAATATTGCAAGTGTTAGATTCGTAATGAATGAAGGAGATAAGACAACCTTGATTTATAAGTACGACACAAATGAATTGCTGAATATCAAATCAGCTGAGTGTAAGTGAGATGTGAGAAAATGACTGAATTTGTTCATAAATCATGAATATGCATATTATGATATGGCCAAACCTATGTTCATTGATGTGGTAAAAAGAACCTCCATGTATACGATTTTAACATTTTTGTCGGTATATATAAATACCAAATATGTAATAGATGTTATATAAGAATGTGTCAAACCATATTATATATTCTAGATGGTATTTGTGGAGTGTCAGACTTAGCAACATCTGAGTACCGCCATCTATTTGGCATTGAACAAAATGATGATGGGTCCATCCACATAGCTCAACCGAGCAGGGTGCTTCGTTTCGGAGCAGACCAACCAGAAAAATACATGGGGAAAACTATGATTAGAGGAATATCCTGCAACTGGTGGCAAAGTTGTCTCTATTTAGAACAGATTAAAGCAACCATCAACATAGATTGGTATTTCTCTGGTAAGTTCAGTCTGTGTAACTGAAGAAGAACCCTTTATTTAGGCCCTTTTGGCTCTGATCAATCGACAACTGAAATGTTGAAAATATGTCATTCTATAAAGCTGTAGCTGTATTGTATGAACTCCGATACTGAAATCATTACAGATGCCACCGTTTGGCAGATGGGTATAGGAAAGAAGGAGGTCCCTATTCGAGCAAAGCTTAACGGAAAATTAACATTTGGAGATGGCGGTCCCAAGGAATTTATGAATGAGTACAATTTCATGTCATTCAGAACAGAAGTGACACACCACGATGCATTTCTGGTAAGTGACTCCGACTCCGAAACTCTGACTCTGAAATAAAAAAAACACGTCAATCTTTCATAAGACTGCGATGCTTTCTCGGTTTGATTTCCAAATACTATTTACCATATGTTCATTGATTATGTTTTCCCTCAATTAGGCATAGTGTTTGCCCATTAGAAAATATTGGAAAATATTACAGGTGCCGGGAGGGGTTTACTGTAGGAACCAAACATCAACAATGCCGAACCCCAATGTCCCCAAACATTTTAAAACTACGATTGAGACTGTTCTGGAGGAGCTGAAGTTTGTAAGCTATCAGAAAGTAAGTACTAGATAATATAAGTGATAAGCTTAGCCATCTAGTTTATTTGTCATTTAAGGGATTTCGTGTTTCATTAGTATAGAATGATTTGAGTGTATTTTTTATAACATAACATAATCTAAATGTTATATCATAACAGTACTTTTTAAATAATAAAGCGTTTTATTTCTCATTGATTCTCAAGCTTTAAGTTTAATTTGATCATGGTATATAGATGCTGCCATAGTTATTTGTATTATTTTAGGAAGTATACGACCTGGAAAATAACTTATTCAGATTTGAGTACAAACCGACAGTCCCTCCTTTGGGGAAGGCTGAGATGGGCACCGATCCTATTGAGGAAATACATGACTTCAACACAGGTAAGAGACATGAAAGCCAAAGAAAAATATACATTGAATTGCACAAATCCTAAACAAAATCATAAGCAAATGACAGAGTATCGAAAATTTTGGTATGTAGCTCCCATAAATATTTCATTTTCAGATTATGTTCCATTGGTTTGTGGGTAAATATTAGTTTTAATAAATCTTGAACAGCAAGTAGCTGTATCATTTGACCATTTTGGCCCAAAACCACCTGAAAAGTGCTCAGAATGGTTAGAAACTACATGTTTTTGAAAGAGTCTTTTTGGCCAGGGCGTGCCAATATCTTGATTTTGATCAATATGTAGATCTTTTCCTAAATGAAATTTCTACTGTTACACCAGGCACTGCATACCTTGTGGATACTATTAAGGGAAACTGTTCAGTTATACCCATAGACCAACGATTTCCGGATGCAAATATTGACTCAATTTCTGATGTGGATCCATTCGGCATTAGAATCAAGTCAGCAAAGGAGTTGTTTTCGTTCGACAAGGCTTCTTTTGTATACCAAGGAAAGGTATGTAAAACGGGAGTTTGTAAAAGTTAAAGCACAAGTGTCAAAGAGAAAACATTAAAAGGTATTACAAAACAAGAGAAGAGCAAGAAAATGAAACATTTTAACAGCCAGAGGAAGGAATTAAAACAAACCTCAATACTCACTCTAGAAAATATAACCTATCAATTTAAATATCTAAGTACGAGTGCCAAGGTGAAAGGACCAAAAGTTGTACTGGAACTTAGCAAGAAAAAGCAAACTCTAAGTGCATACCAGTCAAGAAAAACAAACCCCATATATCCCAAAACCATGATCTAACGTGAAAAGAAACAATGTCTAATACCCCCTTTCTCCCCACCATTCAAGAACCGATATCACAATCCAAGACCAGAACACCAAGGGACATTTCATTCATACTGAAGTCATTACAATACATGTTGAATAAAAAACTAGAAATTGATAGCCAATACTCATAACATGTTCTTGCATATTATCATTATGTATTCTCCAATATATAATGGAGGCAATAAAGATACATAAACATAAACATCAAAAATAGTTGTAGATACAAGTACTCATACAAGATAGAGCATTCAGTCTCAAATGATGTGGGATAGATAAAATCCAGTATCTAAGTCCATAGGACCTTTTAAGGAACATACAACCAAACCTACATGCTTGTTTTACGATTTTTTGCAGACAAAGATTCGTGAAATAATGTGCAATAAGTGGTCAGGTGAGAGACTGGACTTTCCCCGGCCAAATGCAAGGGCAGTGTTCGAATGGTACTTCATGGATGTAAGTTGACTAAATCATTTAAACTCAAAGTTGGCATAACATAGTTGGAGTTAAAGTGTGGGGCTAAATGCAGTAGCCATCTCAAAATGTTTTTATTGCTTACAACTATCCACCAATATGTATCTTTCCACCAAATATGAAGAAAATCCATCTATTACAATGATCTCCCCAAGGATTTTTTCTCAGGTTGGTGCAAAATTCTCATTTTCACAATTTAAACCAAAATTGCTCAAAATCGGATAGAAACATTGCTATATTTTATTTATATTCTACATGTTTGTATGATGATATCAGATATGTTTTAAATATTACGCTAAATGTTTTTGAACCTGAACAAACTGGTTCGGCTTAGAAATAGTTAGTACAATAGACATTCAATTTTGGACTTGTGATGATCGTTGTATACTCAGTCCATGACAGCGTTAAATATTACTGTATTAATTTCTTAGCTTGTATTATATAGGAGGGATGGTCTGAGAGTGTTGGGAATACCTTTGAAAGAAAAGAACCTGTAATGCTAGAATTATGGGTCTATGACCAAATAGCGTTACCAGTTGGAATAAGCATACCCGTAAGTCACTATAAGTAACGGATATGTTAAACGATGCTATGGATTTTTATGCATTTAACATTGAGTACTAGGTTTGTAGGCAGTTAGTATACAGATATTTAGAAAATATTTTCCTTTCTCATATTTCAGCTTAATTACCACGTTGATTTTAGTTTCTTTGAGTTCAACGAACATCAGCCATCCCTCTGGGAGTTTAACATAGCAAGATGTTATGATCGGCTAAACAGAAAAGACTTCGAATTCTATTTCAATGGTAAGAATAAAGTGTTGAATATCATAATTCAAACCTGATTGTAAAAGTTCGTATCGAGGAACCGATCATTGCTCGCTTTAAATTATCAGCGAAACTTTGAAACAATTTTATTTAAAAAATACAACGCACAAAACGATTAAATAATTTTTCATAAATCCCTCAATGTTTGCAGAAATAAAAGATCGCCCACCGTTCAACTTGTATACATGTCAATTGTTTAATCAACATGAAATCACCTTTTGAATATTTTAGGGAATTTCACCACCATCGTTGGTACAGACGTGGAGGGGTTCCAATATGCTGTGATGTCACAATTGGTTAAAACTGCTGGAATATCTCCTTTGAGAGTATCCTTTGTATGGGTACGTTTTTTGAGAAATAAATAAATTCTTAAATCATAATCGGTAAACTATCATAGTTTTGTCGATGTACAATGGCCACAATATTCATAAGCATTCCCATGGATGTGTTGCATTACAATATACCATAAATGGTTAACGTTCCTCGAATTTAACATGGATCCTGTGAAAAATCTATGAGTATATGGGAATCATTACTTTATAATTATTATTTAAATCTATAAATGAAATGAATACGTTAGATACTGTATGTTTACATATATTTCACATATAAAAAACAACAGCATCATTTATAGATGGCTCCTTCCTTTCAGCCATCGGACCGTAACAACAAGATAAGAATACATTTTGGAATCCTCGACAGGACTCCAATCAACGGTAGTATGGCTGGTGTGTCAGTAGAGACATCATTGGATGACGCAGTAGCTTTAATAACTAACAAAATCAAATCAGGACAGTTTACAGTAACTGTTAAGAGGAACGCAGTGGTATCTAATGGAACAACCAGTCCTGCAAAAGTGAGTTATATGTTATCGACTAAATGTAATCCATTCATTAACAATTCATTTGTCTGTCTTAACGTCGTTCGAAAATATGTAAATGACAAATTGGCAAATTTTGAATTGGAATTGTCAAAATTGCAAATGTTTCAAATATGTATTTCAGAGAGTTTCAATATTTGTGGTGGTACTGCTCTGCCTCAGGATATGATAATTACCGACTTTTATGTTTTAGACATATACTCTTAGTGCCATAGCAAGTAGTTTTAAAAACAGGAGGAGGGATGAGAGCACAAGAACAATTAAGATTACAGATCCAGGTAAAAATATTTATTCTTTGGAGGTTAAATGTTAATTTCGAAACAGTGAAGGACATTCATGGACACTTCAACGTAAACTACATAGGAATCATTTGATTGTCGTAATTGATATGTTTTAAATATACAATCTTATCCATTCGACTAGCTAGAATTTAGTATACCTTGTGTTACTGAAGGCCAATGTAACACATTCAATAATGGCGCATTTATGTATGTTGTAGGGGTCCTTGCTGGTCTTGGAATAGCCATGGTATTAGTTGGTGCTTTACTTGGAACAGCCATTTCCTGTTTAGTCATGCGAAAAAGGGGAGCAGATCAGATGGTTGGATCGGCCAGTGCAGCAGTTAACAAAATAATTATGAAAATGAAATCTGAAGATGCATCCAAATCATAGACATATACATATCTCATGTTGATGTAAAACGAAAAAGGAACTGAAAGTTAATACTGGGGAAATTAGGTTTTGCTATGTTAAGATACTAGCAAGCCACTATCTATAGCTAGGCAATATAGGATATGATGGCCAAAATAAGTTTGAGTTTCAGGCACAAAGCCCAAATTCCGAAACGAGTGGAATGATCTTTCTAAAAGAAAAATACTGCTTGTTCTTTTTAAGTTCTTTTCTATTTCTCAACGACTTTAATATTACATTTAGTAAAGTATTGTGAAGCCTACCTAAATGCATAGTGCATGTTGCATATATAGTGATTGTCGTCTTGTTGTCACACATAGAATTTCAATGAAAAACAAGTCATTAACATGACAAAATGTCACCACCTAGTTGCTCACAATAATATGAGTTCAACCTTAAGTCAGATTTGAACTTCTGACAACTTGTACATGATTTTGAAAAAATAAATTGGTCAATTTGAAGCAAGGTGAAAAAAGACCTTTTGACCCTGAGAAGGTCATTGAAGGTAAAATCTCAAACCTAAAGTCAGATTTGATCTTCTGAGAACTTGTAGACCTTGTTGACCTTGAGAAAGTCATTGAAGGGCAAATCTTTTTTGACCTTGAAAATGTCATTAAAGGTCAAATCTATAGCCAGATTTGAACTTCTGATAACTTGTAGATGATTTTGGAAAAATTTGGTCAAATCGCAGCAACTTGAATAATACCTTTTTGACCTTTTTTGATCTTGAAAAGGTCATTGAAGGCCAGATCTTAAATAAAAAGTCAGATTTGAACTTCTGAAAACTTTTTGAAACAATTGAAGTCAATCTTTACAGTATTTGTTAAGTTATTGGAAGTTACAGAAGACGCAGATCGCCAACCGCCGCCAAAAAGGAGACCATAACAATATGTCACCACTACACTAAAATGAATCGTGACGTTTTTGGCAATTTCTTATCAGGACATTCAACTATAGAATGCCGTTTCTTAGAGCGTTTATATCTAATATCATGACAAAGTTGTCCATTATATCGTGTTGGGTAATGGCGGATATCAAGCAATGACGTGTGTTTATAATAGCGACACGAAATATAGTTGCAATAAAACACTGGGAGGGACTCATTTGATAATCCCCAATACTCGTTATTAGAGAAATTTGAGAATTCGTCGTTCCACTTTTTGTTGTCGCTTCTTTCGTGCCAAATATGGTAGAATGGTGCATGGATGGACATTCCAAAATAGTTAATGTTAATGATGGGAACGTTGAGATTATGAAGGCGGCAATATATGCCATACTCCATGAACCCAAAATAAATATTGTTTTCGTTGTAACCGCCAATGCATTGAAAGACATCTTTTGGTACAGCGAGAACACCAATGGCTCCACCCAAAAAGTCACGTTTATGACTCCAGTGTCCAATTTCCTTTTCATGTTCCTTGATGAATTGGTACCCATGGGCCATGACGCTATCATACTCCTCCTTGGATGTGTCTCTCCTACCACTAAACCAAGCCTTGTTATGATTCGGCCAGTTAAGTATCCTCTGATTGTTTAGCCATTTGAAAAATGCTGGTCCAACCATGGTGTCTTGATCTAAACGAATGAGCATTTCCCCATGAGCAAATCTTGATGCAACATTAAGAGAATGCGGTTCTGAAAATTCACTTTCTGCATACTTCTGTGCGATTTCTTCACATATGTGAATTACAAAAAATGGAATTTCTGCATTCTCTTTGGCGAGTATTTCATTAAATGTCGATTCGTTGTATAAAGGAGTGTGAGAATTCCAATCAGTTATGATGATTTCAGAAACATCTAAAAGTTTAGATTCCCTAAGGCCCCTAAGGAGAGAGCGTAGCGAGAGCCTCAATCTCGCCATAGCTTGTCCTCGATACACATCGTTTCTACTACAGTATAACCACGAGAGCTTTGGCCTTTTCATCAACGTTGCACATCGGGGGGAGTCTGTTAATTCAGGAATATCTAAAAGGGATATTAAAGAAGAACATGTTCATCATATACTTTAAAACACACACGTGTACAAATTGGTATATGACTCCCAAAACTACATGTAGGCGAAATATGTACAAAGTTATGTTGTGCATATGGGCATAATTGATTTTTGATACATGAGCATATGTACCAACTGCTGAAACATATGACACATCTTGTTTAATTCTGAAACTATCAAATTAAAAATCGAAATAAGTGACACCGTGCATGATAAAACATCAGTTTAACGATGTTGACAGTAATCATCCATTTCGTACAGTGTATCGATGTGTACAAAATCAATTCATTGTTGTCAATCAAGCCCATCAGCTGTAAAATGTCAAAGATGAATTTTATTGAAGAGAATATCAGTGAAACAACATATTGGCTGTCACGTTGCGCCGTAGTATGGTGATGTGTATGTGGCAGAAGAATGACGCAACTGTATTGAATCTGCCATATTGTTTCATATTATTAATGGAATTACCCTTGATATACCCTTGTGATATTTGTAGTTACGTCATACAAATTTTTGAACACCCGTTCTGAGTGTATGATAAGCCACATTATTTCAATGTATGGGAATTCATCGAGTGTGTCGATTGAGTATTTTGTTCAAAATTGTATTTTAATCTCTTGAATACTTTTTGTTTAATCAACCAAAATTTCCTTTATACAACTATAATATTTGAAGTCTAAGAAAATGTTGTATGTGCTATTTTGTTAAAACAAGCTTCGAAACGATATTTTATTTCATTCCCAAGAAATGGTAAAAAGGAACAAAAAACAATTGCACTAAAAAACAAAAATTGTTAACAAAAACAGTTATATAAAATATAATATATAAATTATTTTCGCATTAAACTGTTGTTTAAACCGTGTTTTTACAGAATGTTTTCAATAATTGGTTTAAGAAAAAACATTGTTGAATTCAGTTCTCCATATCGAAACCAATCTTTTAAAGTGTTTTACAGTATACAAAAATAAGAATAGCTCACTCACGTTTCATTATGTAGAAGATACCAAACACATACAGCACGGCAGTAAGAAACAGAACTCCCCAGGTTTTCCGAAGCTTTCGAAATAAACGCCACATTTAAACAAGAACACCATTCTCTCAAACTATCTGCAAATACACAAAACAAAGCTTACAATTAAATACAGTTTTGACATACAGAAGAATATGCAAATAATTAATATTTGTTAATTGATATACCAAGAGACCAACATTTACACAGCATAATGGGGTGAACAACCTGTAAAGTGACCATTCGCGACCGGCACTCGTTCGACATAAGCTCGGCTAGCGGTCGGCAAGCCCTTGGCAAAATGATGGATTAATGTGTCAGGTTTGTAAGTGAGCGTGCCGTATGTCATATTGATAAGAGCTCTCGTTAAAACATGTCGGTAAATGTAGAGACAAATGCATTAAACTATTGAATGAATTAGTATTTAAATATTGACATCTTCGTTTTCTAGTTTATTGTTCTTTATAAATTTATGTCAATAATAGAATGCCGATGCATATACCCAAATTTGATGACCTTTACCACGTTTGATATAACGTTTTATGTCTAGGAGTATGATATTTTTTCAAACGAGTAGAAAGGGCATACAGTTTTTTTGAAAATCAATCATTGACAGTGTATCAATACTCATCTGAGAGCAACACAAAAACGTACTTGAGTAAACGTTCTAGTTTTTGGTACAAGACGAATGAGCATTCTTACTTTAATAGCGTATACATCATTTTCGTTTTTCATACGGCTTTACAACGTTATCATAGACTACGATAACGAGAAACTGATTTAACCACAAGCTACCTTAAAATATACTTTTATTTAATCCTTTACTTCAGATTTATTACACAATTCCTATTGTTGTACTATTTTTAGTCTTCCCTATATTTGCATAAAATGTATGAGGTTATAACCGAAACAAGAAAAAGAGCATATGATACCTAGTTAAATTCCATTATAAATTCATCGCGTAATGAAATGTTCATACTACTCATCATTAATGTCCTGGGCCCATCTCCCAATAAAATAACAAAACATGTACAAGGCTTGTGCGGTTGGTTAGATGACATAGGCTTGTCTGTTCGACTGGTCATCGCCAGGAGGGGTGTGAGTGTAGACACTGCGATCTCCATTGTCGCAACTCGACAGGCCCCAAAACCGCCAAACCCAAAGCGCAAAACATAGCAATAACCTCATTCCAAAGGGCATCGGTCCCTTGGCCAAACTTCACTATGTTGCCCGCAGAAATGAGGTATTTAATATTATCCCCACCTATTGAAAACTAAGTACAAGCCCGTTATTCGCCCTGGACCAGGACGGATAATGACCACTATGGCCCGGCACCATGGCTCGTCATATTGTTCTAGTCAATATAGTAAAATATAATAGCCTTCTCGACCTTATTCATCTTCATATCTTGCAAGAGATTACTGCTAGAACTAAATTAACGAAACCACTTACATCAATTATATATATGGCTGGCTGCCCTGTGCACATACGCGGTCTTCCTTTTATCTGTACATGTGTACGTATTTATAAACTAGCTGGGTACTCGTTGAAGTTGGGGAATGGCAGGTTATGTATGGATGTGCGAGGTGCACCATGGGACAGCAAGGAGCAGAATACTCTTTGAAAATAATAGATTTGGTCACACTTTCAGATATATGCTACCTTTGGTGACTCGGTCTTCTTTATATTTTGTGTAGACGTTTTATGATAATATTGTCAGTTGGAATTGGAAAGCATGTTACTGAAATATATAGTTTTAACTGATAAGGTCAGACTAATGGATATATCTTCTATCTGTATATAGTTAAACTATTTAAATATTTAGAATATCATAAATAGATGACGTCAGAAATATGGACATTCTAAGTGACCTTTAAACAGAAATATATCATATTTATGTTGAAACCCACTGTCCAATGGCACATTTGATAGATAGAGAATAGGCCTTGGATCTCTGATCACTATTGATCAATAACGAATGTTTTTTTTGTTTTGGATGTGCATTTATTCGCGAATGGTAATTAAATAAATCACAGTGTAATACAAAAGCCAATGATCAGAGAGCGATAAGCCCGATTCAATTTAGATAAGGGCGTGATCTTTTGTCCCGCTTTGTTGAGATGTCATCCAGTTGTAGTTGGAAAATCGATCCATCAGCCATATCGATATACGTAGTTCTGGAGCTATAAGGTGGCGGCATTGTATCGGGGTAGCTTATCGAGCTGCCTCTGTACAGTCCCTGCCCACAAGCCTACGGATAAGGTAATACATACAGCTATATCTTTACTACTTCAAGATTTACATGAGTTAATATTGGGATCAAGGATTATCTTATAGGGTCACTCGGATCGCGATTCGAATCAAGTATGTAGTACAAGAGCAACCATTTATCAGACAAAGAAATCACAAAGGAAATAATATGTTACCTACTTTTTATAAAAGGATATTTCTTACATTTATAATCATTTTAACTAGTTTATTAAAATTTCAAGTTAAAACAAATTTTTCTTTAGTCATTAACAAATTTGGTTTTTACTGCAAAATAAATTAATAGAAAATCTTACCCGTCCAGTTGCTTTTTTCTGTCTCAGTTTTAACACTAGCTATTTAGTTTTTATTATTTTATAGGCATCCTCGGTCGCTAATGATTCGTAAAAAGCGGAAGTGTATTTCGCGGGAGGATTAGGTGAAGCAGCGGAATACGGTAAGTTCTAGGAACCAGCTGCCATCGTTCATGATTTGCTCACGTGGATCGGATTAATCAATGACGTGTCACATACGTCATCACATCAAGGATTATCATTGGCCACTTAGAATATTAACGAGATACCTTTAGCAAGAGTGTTGCTCAAGTCTGGTCGAAAACCAATGGATTATGTAACTGGTCATCTATATTTCATCCACTGCATAGCAAACACGTATGTATTTTAAATTGAGGTGAACAGGGAAATATGCAGAGATATGCTCTTCTTTCTTTATTTATTTGTAACATATGGACATTATTTATCGAAATGATTCTAAAACCTGAACTGCAACTTTATTTGCCAAGCAAAATGTCTTACCAGCCACTAATACGAATCACATTTAACATTTTACAAATTGTTATTCACTCAAATTAGCAATTTTACTTAACAACGCTACGGGAGAGTGATCAAAATTGTATATTGTATCTAAATGTTTTTTTTTAGATTATTGAGACTTTTGAACTACATTTGTTAGACACATAAATCGAGGTTCATAAAACTCTTGTATTATGTTTCAGACATTGGCTGCTCGATGAAGTTATCGCTTTTGATCTATGGACTGATATATATTGCCGCAGGTAAATGATAATGTTATACTGCGAGCAAAAGCCATTTCCGTTCTCTTACTAGGCTTTTGAGAGAAGGCAACGTTTCCACAAATTTATTTATGGAATAAAGGAGGACATAGACATGATGAATATTAATAAAAAAAATAGCACAAAAATAGAGGAATAAGAAATCGATTTCAATCAGAACGTCACAGTGTCAATAAATAAAGAGATGTTTGCCCCAAAGCACTAACTTGAGGGCGAAACAGCTGCTCAGTCAAAGCATTGTTAACTGAAAAGCAAAATCATATTACAATTTTTTACTTGTAGTGTTTAGTCAATGGCGTTGTTCACATTTCCAGGTAGCCAGTGTTACGTAAGCGCATTCGACGCCCCCTCAGAGGACCACGCCTCCCTGTCTCAAGATGACCCAGATTGGGAAGATTGGGACAAGGAGGTAACATTATAATACATTTTGAAATTAGATGTTGACACATACGCATTACATACATAATGACAAAATAAAAATCAGTTTTAACTATTATCAAGGGGTAACTCAAGGTAAATTTTGGGGTTTGTGCAATCGTTGCAGGTTTTGCAATATTTTAGCTTAAGATCATATCTAATAATAACTTTGACGAGCGAACTATTGGCATATACGGTGATGTTATAACCTAGAGGTTGTAAGTTCGATGCCTTTGTGAGCCTTGTTTTCGTATAAAATATTTGCGTTTCTTTAAGGTGAGGTTCTCTAAACGTTCGGCTCATAATGAACAAGAAAATGATGCACTAGATGGCTCACCTTCTGGAATTTTACCCTCTGGCTCTAACCCCGTTTTACTCGTACATACACTCTGCGTCGCATCTACTGTAAGTGTTTATTTGCTTGTTTTGTTATTCGAATGTGTTGATTGTCGTGATAATAGCGAGAGGTACAACTGGCCCATCTGTTTGCATTATCGCAACAGTCCGTCCATCTTTCCAATAAGGTTTCGTATAGTTTTCGAAAATCGCAGTTTTACTTTAAAAATTCATAACATAGAGCAACAGAGCAATAATAATCTTTTTGTATTTTCTAGAGCAATAGAAACAAAGAAACAATCAATTTTTTATGAATTTTATTGGCATCAAGTTCCAACTATCATGACTTTGCCCCTTTATCCCCAATCACCTTGGTTTTAACGCGAAAAGTGTCTTATTTGCGGCTCAAGCTTAAGACATAAGGGAAACGCAATACAATTGCAAGAAGTAATTGCAAAAAATCGAGGGGGGTCAATCCGACCCTGCAGACATTAGGGTTAAGTTTTAGCCGTGTTAAATCACATCAGCCAAGAATTTGTCCATTGATTCCTTCAATTTATGTTTTCAACCAAAAATTACCTTATCGAAATACCTTAGATTTCCATATGTGGTGAAATTAAAATTAATTTATATTACGTTATTTTCAAGAATTTTTATAGCCCAGTTTTTTTTGTGTCACTTTATATTTAAATGGCGACACTACTTATGTTCAAAATTGCTTCTTGTTTTTTTTGTAGATGATATATGTGAACAATGATCCCATTAACCGGGGTACGATTCAAAAACTCAATATTTCAAATTGATTAGTGATTGATTATGCTAGATTCATTGCTGTTTAGTGTGATACGAGTGCATATTATGTTTACTTTGTAGCATCCACCAACTCAATTTTACAAGACATTGTTTTTATTGCAGGACTGCTCCCAAGTTCAAAATTCGGATGAAGCTGAAACAAACATCAAGAATGATGTAAATATATTTTAAGCGAAGTATTTCTCAAGTAAATATTAGTAAAAACTGTAAATGAATATGCACAATGATTAGGAGTAAGGATAAAACTCTGTAAATCCTTGTTAACCTTTCTGTTGTGACATATAAATAACTCCAATGAGAGATACAAAGAGCAACAAAAAATATAGCAAGACTGCATGGAAATTTGCATCGTTAACTAATAGTGACTGGAACTCAATAGCAACTGAGCTAGATATTCTTTATCGTGAAAATATTGACTCTATTTGGTACATGTTTCGAATCTTTTCATTGATTTAACTAATTAATTTATTGCTTTGACTTTTGAAACAATTGATCTTAGTTGAACCGTGCCCGCTCGATAAAAAGCAATCGTGGGTTGTTCCGGTGTCCCTGGTGATATTTTGAGCTTAAATGAGAAAAGACTTTGTACAAATACTCACGACAAAAATGCTCGCTTTTCAAAGCTCATATTTCTCATGAAAAATTATCACCATTGGAGCTCTCAAATATCACCTCGTTATCCCAATTGAATTCTTCTATCTCCAAGTAATCGGATACACCTTTCCCATAGTTTCATATAAAGAAGACTCTGTCAATAAAAACACGGGCTTTCGTCATATCAAAAGAAACAGAAAAACTGTGTTTTTGCGCTTAATTTTTCGGAATTCTATAAAGATCTCCCATCAAGGCAAATATGTTGATTTCGGAACACTCAAGAAACATTAAATGTTTCAAGATAATTCACACGGAATACTGAAACAAAACCTTATGTCTTACATGCATATCCATTTTGTGTCTAGTCAAGCAGAAACTATCCCGTGTTACGACATTTATCTACATGTACTTGCTATTGACACATTATTGTGATCAGTCTTTTAAAAGTTCAAGCTTGTAATAATATTAATTTATTAAAGATTATTCACTGGTGATCCACTCGATTACGCTGGTTACCGAAACGGTTCGTTTTGGTAACAAAATGTCGGAACGTCGAAGGTACGATTTTTCTTTTTTCCTTATTTCACGCGTTGTAGGCAGAATCCCCACGGCGTTTTTTTGAGTGGATCACCAGTGATTATTGTAGCTTATATTAATGATTTATTATAGATAGTTGCCCTGTATACACGCTTAAGAACTTTTCCTGATCCAGAACCCGTTCAACACAGCTATGAGTGAGTTTACATTACAGTACATCATAGCCATTCCCAGAGTAAATGAACATAACTCAACGCTTGTTGAGTAAATCTCGAACCAAGTCTGTATTTTTCGTACCCTTGATTTGAAAGGAGGTATTCCACCGTGTATTCACCTTTCCACAAAGTAAAGAAAATCGATAATTTCCGGCGCGTTGATTGGTTAATGACGTCAAGTTCCATCAGAAATTCACCATGAGTGACATTCGCGCAAAGCGTTACCTTTTGGTATTTGTTCGCCATCAGCGATGTCAATAATGATCAGCAATGTCAACATATCATCAATAAACATATATATGATATACGCTCTTTCTCTGAAATCGTCCAAGTGATCATTATTCAAAACCGATCATCACATAACAAATTTATCCAATGACAAGTGAAATCAGGACACCCATATCCATGTTTGTTTTCTATTAAGCGTTCTCAATCTCATTATTTTCGAGAAATCCACCATCATTTTGGTTGAGAAGAATTCTACGGTCTGCTGGATCTATTTTGACAGTTTTGCTTTAGCAAGATATTTTAACAAATTGACTGTTTCTACACTGAATAAAAAACATTTCCCGGAAAAATTTGAATCGGGAATTTAATATTTAAATCGCTTAGAAGGCGTAAATAAATGTCAATTTGACGTTCAATAAAAATCCATCAATAATTTACTGATTACTTGCACATTTGAATAGGTAAAACTTACAGCAATCAACCGAGGATTTACATGTAAACTCAACTGCATTTGTTTTTCGTGGGAAAAAGTTTCTCTCATTGACGTCACAGATTTTTAAGCTGACTTAAACTGACTTTGTGGAAAGGTGTCAATCAATTTCATTCAATAACTTTCACAAATTTTGTAGTTTACAGCATATATGTCGCAACCATACAGGCATACCATAACCATAGGAGAGCCCTTGTGGTGATTTAAATCAAATGAAACGTGACTTTTACATTTTCAAATATCCTGCAATTGCTGTAGGATATAGAAAATGTAAAATTGTGAGAGGAATCCCTTTGATATACACGTCAATATTTGTCTTACCATCACAAAATCCAATGTATGTAAAAAATATTAATGGTAATAATTGGAGACTTTTGAAATATATATTTCAAAAAGTGAAAATATGCGTAAGAGCAATGAAAGGAGACTTACTCGCATTTTTAATCAATCAATATTTTGAAATACGTGTAGATGCAGCAACGACCAACTGGACACTTACGATTGCCTCTGTTCTGGGAATGGAATTGGAAACACACTTACCGTCAAGAACGTACTCCTCTATATCGAAGGATTAACAAATGATCTATCCGATTTGGAAACGGCTTTCAACTTTTTCACCGATACGTTTAGACAACAAGGAATACCCTTAGGTCAATCTGGATTAATTACATGCGAATCTCCAAAGTCAACATTAAAAAGTAAATATACTACACGTATTATATAAGTATTATATAAGTACATATAATATTTACATTGCTTAAATAGGTTTTAAAACATGTTTTAAATATTTTGTCATGAACGTTATTTTTTAAGGATTGATATTTTTACAACAATTATGATGAACTGTATTTTAAATATGTGTTTAAGGGGTGTTTATTGAAATATATATCGATATAATAGCACCAACACGTACCTCACTCACAATTGTGTCCTTTAATTGTAGATGTGACAAATGTTCCCGATAAGATACGAGACACCATCAAATGTTCACCAATATCCTCGGGGCCAAAGGTGAACCTAAAAAACTTTCCTGGAACAGACCTTGGAAATGCTATATCTGCACTTGGAACATCTGAAAAGGCGTGTAAGAAGAAAAAGAACAACGGAACATTTACTGGGGCATTTAACTTTGAAAGATGTAATTTCAAGGTAAAAAAATGTATACTTGCTCAACTTGGCTACGTGAATCAGAAATACCGAACAACATTTTCAATTTCAATCCCTATTGCCAGATACCTATTTTACCATACCGACCTAATACAAACATTAAACACATTCGTGTTCATTTTCCCATAAATGTGGCCATAGAAGTCAAATGAAAGGAGTCGATGTTGAATGTCCAAATCACATTCCAGGAGTCACAGGGAGTAGATGATCAGGAAAGAGAGTTTACTGCATACTCCAACTACCTTCTTGATAATGAGGAAAGGGGAGTATACATATCTTGTGTGTACCAACGTAATCTAACAACTGATGAACTGATTCCACTTGGTTCAATAGCATGGGATATCACCGCAGGGTAAGAATACATATATCTAAGCACAATTAGTGCCAAAGGAAAAAGGCCAAGAAACCAAGAAACATTAAAATCTAAGTGTAAGCCTGTCATAACAGAAAAATACCATATATTTGTTAATCGTATGATCTGTAAAATGAAGCCCTCTGATTGGTCAGTTCTTGTGCTGTACCAATCTGTATTGCTACTGAGATTGTCCCCGTTGATCATCTCCGTCGCAATACAGAAAATATTTGTGCGGAGGGGACAATCTCAGTAGTTATACAGAGGATCACACGATAAAAACGTTATTGAATGATTTGAAGTGCAATACAGGATATATTCTGTCTCAATATTCTGTATTGGCACTCGACTTCGTCTCGTTCCAATACAAAATTTCTCAAACAGAATATATCCTGTTTTGCACTTCGAATCATTCAATAACTTATATTATCCTATGCCAAGTAGAGTTTTAGGGAGATAAGTTGGTAAGATATATCCCGTATCCTGATTTTGAGGTTTCCATATCTTGAACCTCCATATCTCCCGCCATATCTCCCGCTCCAGGGCATATCTTCCCGCTTCGAAAAAAATTTGAAAAAAATAAAAAATGTGAAAAATTGAAAAAATAAAAAAAATAAAAAAAACAATTGAAAAAAATAGAAAAAATAGAAAAATGTGAAAAAATTGAAAAAATAAAAAAAATTTAAAGAAAATTAGAAAACTCTACTTGGTATAGGATTAAGCAGTTATGTACGGTTGGTTTGGATATTGGGTTCATCCCTCGTGAGCTATGCACATCTACCTTCGGTCCCTACGGTCCCTCAAGTATATATGCATATCTCCCTCTGGATAAACTCCATATCCAAAACCTCCCAGTACATAACCCTTATTTATCCCAACGCCCCAGATTTCCATCCAGGATATGACTATTACTGAAAAAATCAATGGTGATCAGTTTACACCAACGCATGCTAATATTTGCATTTTGCTAGAAATATCTGATTTGAATATCAGGAAATGATACGGTGATCATCACAATTTATAATTTTAGGATAAAAAACACACATCTGTGAATATAAAAAGATCAATATGAAGCATGCACATTGTTTTCATGAACTAGTAAAAATTTTAAAATCCAATATGGCAGACGAAAGTCGAAAAAAACGTTTCGCTACACTGCACTTCCAGCTGATGAAAGAAAATCAAATGTCTCGTATAATACAATAAAAAGCAAACAACAATATTTTGAAGGAATATCGATGTAAAATATCTCGGAGGTGAGAAGGTTGATCTGTTTCTCCGGCCCCAAGCCAAGGGACTTGATTTATGCAAGTTTTATATGGGTAATCATGGAATAAAAACGTTATTCTGTATTTCACTCGAATCATTGTATAACTTATACTATTTTCGGTGAATACATGTAGCACTTTCACAAGGTGATATTCCACTTGCCCTTCGGGCTTCGTGGAATATCACTTGTGAAAGATGTACAGGTATTCACCTCAATAGAGTGAAATATTTGTTCAATATCCCCAAACCATGATCTATCGTCAAATGAAATAATGTCTTAAACCTCCCCCATCAAGAGTCAATATCATAATTCAAGACTAGAACAACAAGGGAACCGTTCATTAATACTGAAATTAAAAACATGGATAGCCAATGCTCTTAACATCAAAAATTGTTGTAGATAAAAGTACTCATTAAAGATAGATGAAATATCAGAGATCCTTTGAAAGTATAGTTAACATTTGCAAAAAATAATTTCACTAAATCAGAGCCTTGTTTCAACACGGACATAGTTATAGGACATAGTTTTTCTTTCTACAGGGTGAGCCAAAAAAGGTATACCAAACAAATGTTATAACTCCGTCATCCAATATGGATTCAAAATCATATTTTACACAATCGAACCTTGTTCAATATTCATTCATTCTATATCAATTTCATTTATGGCCGTTTTGAAAAAACATACTCAAAATACTGAAACATGCCAAAACCACCGGATATGAATCACCAAACTTTTACCTTTTGGGCTATTTCAAGGATTTTGTCCCTGGAAGCATGAAAGTAGCAAAGTTATAAAATGAGCCCCGGCTGGGAAAAACTTTTCTAAAAGATCAACAAACCGCAGACAGGGCACAAACCCCACTCTCGGAAAGGTGACTATTTTTGCGCGTTCAATGAATCACACGTTCATACCATATATTTGATGACGCACTGACTATACTCCATAATTTGATTGGTTTATTGAAACCATTTTCTTCGTGCAAACCGCCATCTCCCATACCCCTTCGCCTTTTCATTATGAAACAAGCCCCTAACCAGGGAAAATAATATAGAATCTCCTTGGTAAATCTTGACTACGCCCCTGTAGAGGCATCAGAGCGTTGAAACAAGAGGTAAGAAGCATGATTAGAGCCATTACACAAGCTGTCTGTGAGGGCGTAGTCAACTTAAACCACCCGGTGTATTCAAATTAGCCTCCAGAGACGAGTCAGACCTTTTGAGGATGTTTTGTAAAAATAGCTAGCTCGTGTTCACTTGAAATATAGCAATGCAATGGAATTTGCTACAAAAAGGAACATCAAATAAAGTTCAAGTTTGCCAAATATGATTTAAAACACATGCTGGATGGCTGAGTTATTAGCATTTGTTTGGGCTACCTTTTTGGCTCACACTGTACCTTATCAAATAGGAGCGTATTCAAATGGGTACACGAAATGCCCAAATACGAAATATTTATAAAACGTACGGCATAATAAACTATTCTACTATTCATTCCCATTTTCAAAATTTTAGTGATGTGACTGTATCGAGAAGAGACTTGGGAACATTTTCTTTGAAAATGGGACTATATAGCGATCCGTTATACATGAACGAATTATCAACATCAAATGCAGTGAGTATATTTAAGACATACACCTTTTATATTGTAAACACGAAAACTAGTGAACAAAATGATGAACTTTACAAAATGTATACTCGTACTATATTAATTGCTCGTGATATTAATTGGGAAATGAAAACAGTCACAATAACGATGAGAAAAAACAGGTTGGGATAATATCTAGTTATATTTCAGATTATCTGATTATAATTTTTATACGCTGATTAATTTCGACTTTTACCAGAGTCCAAAATTCATTGCATCGTTAGAAATAAACACTACTTATCACGCATTTGATCATTTGATTATTTGTTAGATTGGACAGAATGACTACATTTATGGTCAAGTGTATGCCTTGGGAATTGATATGGACATTAACAACCTCAAATTTAGTCTACAGAACTGCTATGATTCATCTGCTCAGCTTCGATTCAGTGATACAATAGAACAACACACCTTAATACAAGACAGGTAAGTATATAACGAATATAACAATTTATAAACGTCGTTAAATGTCCCAGATCAGAAGCAAACGACAACGCAAAAACTGTTACAAAATAGTTGCTGTATTTATTTTAAAACTTGTGAAAGAAAATATGTATTAAAGAACATTTCAAATAGAAAGCCTGGAGGAGTTATGTGTTTTGACGGATATTAAACATGTATAGATAAATCGAGGCAGAAGAGCAACCGTGATGTTTATCGTATGCAGACTCGAATTAAATTTTGCTAAAACAAGCATTTTTCTCTTTCAGATGTCCAATGGACGATTCATATGAAACAATACCTACAAATCAAAACGATATGTACAAATTTAGATTTAAACCAGGGACTCACTACAATTTAGATGATCATCTTCACTTGCATTGTGATATAAAAATATGTACAGTAGATGATAACTCAGAAGACTGTAAACCTCCAGTAAGTTATAAAATAAGTAAAATCACTAAAATGTACTCACACACTTGTGGTAATAAAATATACAACAAGAACAACAACAAGAACAACAACTAAGGCCAAAATAAGCATCACAGATGTAAACATGATAGCGTGAACTTTAGAAAAGCTACACTCGAATGATTTATTGCTTCAGTACCGACACAATGTGTACGTGGTACCCAGGAAGTTTTTATATAAATAGTTGTGGGTTGATACATTTCAGCTTGATTTAAAAGTCAGATTATCCAGTATGATGTATTAATCAAATTGTAATAGTCGAATTAAGCCTTTCGTGGTTCGCTCTTTAATCGAGAAGGTACGAAAATATGTACTGAAAAAGCTCTCAAAAAGGACAAAATTTGATTGGTCAATATTTTCTAATGATACATTTCGCGTAGCTATTTGCGTGACCCGAAAGTTCTATATCAAACTAATTACGCAATTTTGTTTTTACACCCGCACGCTAAATAAAACAATGACACCATCAGAATTATTGTTCTTTATCATTGCTTTAATGGTCAGTATACCGAGTATAATCAATAAAAGCTTGTACAACGAACAATAAAATTTGGAAACGAGGACATAGATTTGCTTTCGAACACTAAACCGATTGACCTAGATAATACTGACGCGTCTATTTTCTCACTTTTCAATCATCGTTTTGACACCGCTATGGTCAATCAAAACAATGTAAAATAGCTGTTATATTAAGATTAATAGGAGATCAACCGTGCCTGATTACTATTTCTGTACTCCCGTACGGGAATATGAACGAATATATCGATTGAAAAATAGGTGTGAAAATCCCCATGTTAAACCAATGGGGGAACACATGGAAGTATGAATTTGTTCCTCCTCGCATCATGGGAAATATTCTGACCTTATAAGGAAAATCTTTCGCCTCTCCTCTTTTGAAGAGGGAACAACGAATACGACAATTGTTTGTTGCTATTTCAGGACAAACGGAAATGTGCGCGAGTATCAAGTCGTGGAAGACGAGCATTAGATTATGGGAAAGATGTACCTATTAGCAATGGACCAATATCGTTTATACAGTCATCCAAAATAAATTCAGAAGAAACAATATTTGATCGAAGTAAGAGATCCAACGACCAAGGTAAGACTGAAATTAACGCACTATTTCATGTTCGAATGTTGTTAGAAGTATTTCCCCAAAGTACTAAAGTTTTAGGTCGTATCTCTTAACATTTTTAAGTACTACAATACAGTAGGTAGTTTTCACAACCAGGTGGCTGATTCGGGGTAAATAACATGGCAGGGCATTAAAAAATTCCCTTTAACTTGAATTTTCATCAGTTTTAGTGGTTCAATTTTCATATCACTCTTATGTATCTGATGTACAAATTAAAATATATCCTGTAAAAATATTATCCGTCCAATATAAGAAAAGATATTTCACTTTTTGTGATTTTATAACTTTGGGTCTCTTGGGAATCTCCCCGACCTAGAAGTCACATCTTCAAAAATAATTGAATTTTCAAAGTTGATAAATGCTTTTTGAAACCACATTTGTAGATGTAATTTTACATGTAGATTTCAAATATGAAATCACTTTGACTGAAGTGATCATATAAAAATGACAGCTTAGTAGTTTCAGTAGCATCAAAAGTTGAACAAATAGAACTGTTTCTCTGAATCAGTCGTACATCCTATTTCTTGTTAATATTATTCAAGCATTTTGTGTCGAATGTCTGTCTGATAAAGTACTAGCTTTGTTCAATAAATTATAATGTTCGTATATCTCTCTCATTTCAGCTGAAACAACACCCGTCACATTCACTCCGTTTGTACTGTTGGCAGTCGCAATAGCAGCCATAGCAATCAATGTAGTCATGGCAACAATATATATATTACAGTCCAGGACCGAAAAATAAAATGACATGTATGAGTCATTATTTGACAAGGACTCGCGTCCACTATCGTCAACAATTAAGTATAGCAAATAGTATATAATATGTATGAAACTGACTACTGGTAGCTACTGGCAATCTGACGCAATATAAAATGTACAAAGATGACAGTACAATTAGTGGTAAAGATGGGATATGCTAACATGGAACAGCTTTTGACTTTTAAGATTATATTGATTATTATTGAACCAAGTACATTTTATAAAACCATGGACACACAATATTATTACAAAGTGTGAGTTTTTGACAAGATATTTACAACTTGTGACTGTATATGCGGAAAGGGTGCAACCATAAGATCATAATTCTGCATTACAGTCACCTGGTATTTTACGTCATAGCTCAACACATCTTTGGTTCCAATATTTTCAACTTTCAACGTTTAATATGTATCCTTCTCATCTCTTCATTTGGAGATCCAGCGGGCAGGCTCAGTGAATACGAACTGAAAAGAGGAAAGGGATACATTCACGAAAAAAATGTATCGTTTAAAATCAGTCAGACACTCCATGCATTCCATGTATGAATTTATTTGGTGAAAAGACACGTTGATACGTTTATTTAATGCTTGTTAATAAATTATAATTATTGATTGTGTATTTTTCTAGTAAATATTTTATATAATATATCTTTGTTATGCTCTTTTCAATTTTCCCATGATATGTTTGTAGTATATCAATACTTTATAACTCTCAAATGTGTTTTGAAAATCACAAGGCATTTACCTTGATTTAATCCAAATTACTGAACCTTAACAATACATATGTTTACGAGGTTATATCTTTGATTCTTTCACCACGCATGCTCACATTCACCATCATATCTAAACATTTGATATAAAATAGTAAAACCTCGATCTCAGGGACATTTTAGCTTAACTCAAAACGAGGCTGATAGTAATAATGGCAATCAGTCGCATGGAACGTTTGATTTGAATCATTTTGAGCACCCTTAACACACGGGATGGGATTGCCAGATTTGTCCCCTATGTGGGAAGGGGGGGGGGGGCATGCTATTTTCTGTAAATCTAAAAACGTTAAATGACACACATAAAAATGGCCACCTATTTTCAAAATTGTCATAAAGATGTGTTATTCATATACAATTTCAAGAAATCGCTCCACCATTCATCGCAACAAACGTTAAATAACACATAAAAACGGCCACCAATTTTCAAGATGGTTTTAAAACAAATTCAGCTAAATCAATATCCTATATTTTTGCATTTAAAACATACTATCATAACAGTTCTATGTATTTTAGTTAATTACTGCAAATCTGGCACTAAACTGGTGGCCATTTTCTTACTCGGCTTTCGAGCAGAACTTGTGCTCACGTGTGGGACAAATACGTATTTCAACTATGAATGATATTTGGCAAATTAGTATTTAGTTCTTGCCCGGACATAGGTCCTTTTTAACGAAGAAATGTCACAATGTTATTGAGACCTTTAAGATTTAGGGTCTTTTTTAAAAAGATAATGTAAGTTTTCCAGTCACTTTTTGTCCCATAAAATTATGTTTTACCCATCACCCCATCCAAAGTGGCAGCCATTTTTGAATCTTACGAGATATGTTACCAACGCTCCTTAATTCTAGATGTTATATTCAACTGATTCCCTCAGCTGCCTGTACAATTCCAAGGAAATCAATAACACAATTGGATCGAGAACATGAAAAGTGATATTTCAACAATATAGAAATGGTGGCCGTTTTGAATCGTTGTGACATATTTTTCCAAAACTACAGTACACAGTATATTGATAAACTATAAATCAATGTGTCTAAACAACAAAAGGCAAATTGATCGAACACTTGTGATAAAGAGCTGAAATCATGATTTCCCCCAAAAATTGGCAGCTATTTTGAATCTTTGAGACATGTTTTGCCAAAACGTGTAGACATTATTTATAAATTAAGGTGCCTTTTTAATCAAATTGATGCCAATTGATTTTTCCGTAATCAAAATGGCCTCCATTTTTAAAAGGCGACCTCTTGACAATTGAAGACTCCACAATATAAAAGTGAACCTATTTCGAGTGTCGTGGATGATTTTGAATAAGCTGAATGTGTTGACAGACGGACGGGCAAACGGACGTATTGCCGGAAGGAGACGAAGTGACGGACAGCTAGACGAATGGGCGATACCAATAGCTCACCTATATGAGCTTATGAATATGTAAGCACAAATGCCAAAAGGAAAGGACCAAAAACTAGTCAAAAGGTGACTAAGTGTAAACCTGTCATAAGAAAAATAGACCCTATATATTCCAAAACTATGATCTAACGTGAAAATAAATAATGTCTATAGCATCCATCTTCTCTCCTCCAACCGAGAACCAATATCACAATCCAGGACCAGAACATCAAGGGACATTTCATTCATACTGAAGTCATTAATGAAGAGAAAATTGATAGCCGATACTCATAACATCAAAAATAGTTGTAGATACTAGAAATAGTACACATGCAGCATTCAGTCTCAAATGTTGTCGGACAGACAAGATCAAGTCTCGAAGTCCATATAGGCAATTTTAAAGGTCAACATTCATTCGCAAAGCCGTCGCTGTAATCTCCCAAAACACAGTTCACAATGGAGAAAGCTATAAAAAGAGTTTACATAGTTCTGGGAAGGGGGCTACCCTGATTTTCCCCTGAGACCCAACTTGTGAATAGAAATATATTATATTATAATATTATTTACATCCAGCACGAATATGTTTTGTTCAAGCACTTCTAGGGAGAATCACAAATATATTTATGATTTTGATGTTATGGTTAAAATCATATAGTAATAACGAGATGCCTGATATCAAAACAAAACAAAAGGTCATATCTCTGATACTTAAAAGATGCATTTGGTCAAATGATTAATGATAATCATGTCATTTGTTGAAAACTGTTCTATATCTGAATTCATTTTCTATGCACATGTTTAAAAACACACTTAATTGAACCCGTTATTGTAAATATCATACTTATCAGAGTCGAGGTTCCTAAAGTTGGAATTCTGGCTTGCCAAAACATCTCGTGTAACACTATTTGATCTTCTCCTTTTGGCACATTTGTTTATATACATTTGCTTCTCATACTATACTATGTTACGGTACTATGAAATGCCAGTAGATCTTAAAACAGTCAAATGCACCGTCGTTGAACCAAATAGATTCCGTGCATGATTGAACTCGATGGACAAAACATGTTTTTTTATTTTAGGATAATTAATTTGATATATTTCATGTTGTCATGCAACGACAAAGCATTTTCAAAGCAGGTTGATGATTTTGATTGACAACAACATTTTCACAATAATAACTTGTGATTAAACAGTGCCAGAGACAAAATAAATGTAATGATATAAGAATTTGAAAGAAAATGACTCTATTTTTAAGACCAACATTTGGTTTGAACAAAGTCATTTATTTAGATTTGTCAAAACGATCACATAAATTATTCGAAATCACTTAAAATAATTATTTTCAAGGAAATTTTCTGCAATTTCACTTTCTAGATGATTGTTCCCATTGTGTACATTCTCCCTCTAATATCTATTTTCATATGCATGGATATTCGATTTATAGAAAGTTAACAATGAATTTGATGGAATGACAATTTTTAGTTCAAAATAAAATATAATTTCATAAGATATAAAATATAGCATTAGTAGTTACATCAAATAAGTATACTTTTGGGGTAATTCAGACACATGTTATAATACTAGTATGTCTCTGTGAAATTAATGACCAATTTGAAATTATGAAAGGACTGCAAGTTGTTTGTAGAATGAATCTGGGGAGCTTTTTCATGGATTTCGCTTGTGTTTTTCATCTAGTAAACATCAATACACTTTTAAAAATTTATTGACTATAAGATTACACCATATAATCCTAAAAATATAGTATAGTTTCAAGCAGATTTTGAGATAACAGGAAAGTTAATCTTTAATACACACCTTATTGGGTTGTTTTGGCTTATATAACCATTGGATTACTATGGGAAATTCATCAAAGAAAAAATCTATGGATTAAGGAAGGGGTACCATTTACACAATTTGAGAAATTATTGGCATACATGGAACCTATTTAAAACAGCATTAATATTATTCAAAAGCGATCGTGATAATGATTCCCATGCCAGCCCTCTGAAGTTTGAAAAATAACAAATCTGTGTGTTAATCCAGAGATATTCCTCGAAAATGAGAACTATTTTTTAGGATTATATGGTGCAATCTTATAGTCAATTAAATGTTTTAAAGTGTATTGATGTTTTTTAGTTTTAAAACACAAGCGAAATGCATGAAAAGCTACCCCGATTCATTCTACAAACAACTTGCGGTCCTTTGTGTAATTCAAAATAGCCCGGATGCATTAGAGTGGTATAATGCAATGCAATGCAATTATAAAATACTGTGTTCTCATTGGCTGGAAATGGACATTTCTTTCCAAGCTATTTGTGAATCACCAATAATTATTAATTTTTACCTTGGTTCTCTAAAAGTTGTCCTGGCTACTGGGCCGCATCTTATTTTGCATCGCTTCTTCTGCGTCCATCGCTTCACCATGGAAAGGTCTAATCATGATGGGAGTTTCCTGGAAACAATTGGACACTTTATGTTTAAGCTACTAGATTGAATAATAAATTTGCAATGCAATCGTTTTGTAGCAACTATTTCTTCTACGCGACATTTCTTCCATGGACAAAGCGACGATATCACTCGCGGTATATCTTAATCTGTATTTTGTTTCAGCTGAGAATTATCACTTCGTAATGTATTTAGAAATATTTTTGAACAGATACGGAACATGCAGGTGACTGATTGTATAGGCACGTGCAACCATATTAATATATGTAGAATATGTTTGTTATTTATTTTTATAATTATCAATTATCTAATAAAAGATGGAGACTGTATGACAAGAAGTTCACGTCGATTTCAATTTGGAATAGACGTTCAGCACCAGGATAAGAACAGTGCTCACCACTTGACCTGGACAACACCAAGTAGGACGAAAACGAGCGATGATTTAAGGAGCAGTAATGTAGATAGGATGATAAAGGGTAAAACAATCAGAAAGGGTCCACGACAACGACAACGGAAAACCAAGAAGAAAATGTTTAGAAACAATCAGAACAAAAAGAACGTTTCAGTATGGAATCAAACCAAAGTGTTTGATAAATTTATCTCGATGCTAGACAAACCGCCATCAGGTGAAGATGATACACCACTTGCTGATAAAGATACCACTTCTCACGGGCAATTCGAAGAACTATTAAAAGGTACCCACCGTTCTCTAGATATGTCACAATTGCTGTGATCAATTCTTAAGGCCCCTCACATATGAACGAATCCACTAAACGTAGTCTTACATATGCTAATTGGAACGAAATTTACTCAAGTCCTATTTGCAAGACTGTGTTTAGAGGATATATTCATATGTGAGGGGGGGGGGGCTTTATCAATAAGTAATACAAAATTAATTCATGTTTCTTTTAGACTGGCAAGAGCCACCTGTAGGTGACGACGAGGTATCCAAATACCTTCATCTGAGCGAAAGGCAATTACCTGGGTTGTTGGCGTTCAACCCCCTGGAGGGATCTGGATCAATAGATTCTACGACGTCCTTACCACGAGGGCCGGGATATATGAACGTTTCAATATGCTTGACGGTACAAATATCAACATTAGCTGAAGACATACTAATCTAGTAGACACGAGATGAGATACATTTCCAGCAAAAAGTTTGACAACATCAACTCTTTCTTGAGCCATGGGCCATATCATGTTCGGTGATTTTGATATGCAACCTCAAAGACGTTAAAAGTATAGCCAATGAGGATTCATAGTTGTCGCCAAGCTTTTGAAGTATATTATGTTAATAGAGCAAGAATGAGAAATTACATAAAACATATAGTAGTACTTAACATATCAGTGTAATGGCTTCAAACATGTTTAATGGTGTTTCCTTCATCATAGTTTTTGTCTCTCATTGGTAACTGGGTGTAATCCATGGTGCTTTTGTATTTATCTTTCAGGGAGTATGTGGCGCTTACTTCCAAACTGTTGGTACATGGTACATCACAGCAATACTTTACAGACACTATTGGCTGGTAAGAAATTCAAAATATGTTACAGGTACTTCTAATTCTGCAAATGCAGGAGTTTAAATAACAAATCACTATATGGTCTTTTCAGGGCATCATGAACCTCGAGTACAATTTAATCTCTATATGTATAAGATTTTCTTTCATCTAGATGGGGATGGTCCTGCAACGACATCCCGAGCTCAACAAGACAGATGTTTACATCGATCGAAATAATATGTGGCTGGAGTAAGTTCTCTTTAAGTATACAAGTTGTTTCTATAATCATGTCCCAACTAGGAGTCCCAAATATTAAGAATTTTTCTCTCTCTAGACATAGCGCCATTTTGCGTCATTATCTTACGCTACACTTTGTGACAAACTAATTGATATTATTTGGGCATAACAAAGGGACTCAGGTTAATAGCGTAATATAAAGGTGACACTGCAAACTGTATATGTATGCGAGATATTTCATATATCTTATGTGTAGCCCTAGTATGGTGTATACGTTTATATATATATATGATATAACATCTAGTAAATGAATATGTCTCATGTGTAAGTCTTAATATGCAATATATACAGAATATCACATCATTTTGAGTGATATCATTCTTATCGCCGAGTTGATATCAATATATCAACACGAGTGAGCGAAGCGAATAAGTGTTGATATTTGATATCTACGAGGCGATAAAATTATATCACGAGAAATTATGTGATATTGGGTTTATCCCATGATTACAACCACCTTGTGATGTTCTGATCCAATTTCCAGGACATCGGCAGACAATATAAACTAGAAATTAGAATATCAATTGAATATTTGAAACACTTTATTTTAACAATTAAAAGTAAATAACATGATATAGTTCGTCATAAATACCATTTTTTAATCGTTAGTTAGCAGCCTTCTAATCAAATTATATACACAATCGTAATTCAATACACCAATGAAACTTAAAGAGAATAAATTAACGGACCTATTTTCTCAAAAGAGAATAAATTATCTGACCTAATTTCCAACAATATTGTGGCGCGAAATGCAAATGTGATATCACACGGATATGCGTGAGATAAACGATATCACACGCATATGAGTTTGATAAACGATTTTCTGGAAAATATCACACGGATTTCAATAATATCAGAAATATCAATAGCTGTTATTGTACAGAAAATTAACACATTAATCGCGGGGTAAATGTAAATATCATCCGAAGTAACACTAAACTGCATCAACAACAGAATTGTGGTTAATCAAATTACATTTTAAAAGTAGTGTGTATTCATTTCACACCCCTCCCATAAGAATTACCATCCATGTTCATTTTTACATCTTAATTCTGAGATTTTCATTTGTCAAACTTTTGTGGGGAGAGTAATAAGTCGATGTTGTAACAGGTGCTGGCATAACCAGGGAGACGTAGTTTCTTTACACGATAGCTTCATCAGTTTTACCTTCACGATTACATTCGAAAATGGTTTGGACTTCGAAGATGAAGACATAAGACGGAAGATAGAAACCAGTTTAAGTTATCTTAATTCTAATCCATACATGAGGACAACTGTTCCCGGGATATATCTAAGAGGGAACTATCACCGATGCAGTAATAGTTACACTAAACGAAACATAGGTTTGTCTATATATTATTCTTAATATATGCATTGTGTAATAGTTAAAGAAAAAACGTTTGGAAGTTTTGAGTCGAGTCTTAATCCATTTAATTGACTGCAAAATCATTATTGATGTAACCATAGCTGCAAAGTATAACAGCCTTACTTGTATTCCCATTCCAGGCAATAACCCAAGGTACCTAAAGTGTGTAGATTATATTGATGAAGATAAAAACAACCCAGACTTTCCGATAGATGGCAACATATGTCACTTATTTTAATCTACATTGTACTACAAACATTACAGAACATAAATGTATTAAGTAGCACTGAACGAACAAATGCATGAATCTTCAAGTGCAATGAAGCGAATTCCCGGGAATGAGGCCTATGCATGGCGGCTCATCTGTCCTCACCTGAACACCACCGAACCAAACAAAACGAGTCCAGATTTTGAGGAACTGCACCAAGGTCATAAAACATTTGTCAACGTAATACTATACGACTGTTTCATTCACCACAGTTACAAATACATTGATTGGACGTGAAAGTCCTTTATTGCGTCATCAACAGGCGTCTCAGGTCATTCGCATTTCGTCCTTTGACCTAAATGCACAATCTGATTGGGGCAATTTAGTGAGAAGGCTGAAAACCTCTGTATCCCACTTCCTTCGGGTAATAAATTATTATAACACTGAACGAAAGATACTTTTATTCATCTGTTTTGCCAAAAAATGTTGAAAATACGCATTAAAAGTATTTCAGTTAATATCGACTGACGAATATTTAGTTGTCACTGTGCAAGGTGATGATACATGCATGATGGACACGTGTTGAACAATTGGTTTCAGATGGTGTTATGAAGCTAGACTGATGGTACACATTGGGCTATGGGATATAGCTGAGCACATGCATTAGAAGATAATGAATTTACTAAACAGTAAAAATGTACCATTAAATATGCACAGTTGGTTTTTCCTTTTGGAGATCAATTATGTAATATCACCCAATTTTTGGACATTAACCATATCAAAAAATGTTGCTTTTGGGTCAAATATTTGACCTCAAGTTTTCATTGTGTTTCGGATTATCCTGATCCCAATGAGAGCCTCACCTTTCATTTTCAGAGGTAAATCATGACATGGTAAAAATTGGAATAAAATGCTGCATTTTTGGTGAAAATTGGTTCATAATTGGGGGAACTTGGTGATGATTGGTGGATTAATGACATCTTAAGAGATAATCCGATCGACTCAACTTTCATTCTATTGCCTCTTTTTGAAGATAACATATTGGCCAAACATACGCATTTGTTTTTGTGGTCAAATGAAATTATTAGAACTTAAGAGCTGTCTAAAAATCTTGCAATAACGTATCTTGAAAAGCGAGACTTAGCGGTTTTGTGTTACAGTTCAAGTTGAAACATTTGAACAGCAATTATAACTATGTGTGAGTCACGAATATTTAATTCTGACCATGTTTCTGTAAAATTAGAAATTGTGAAAATGACGAGGGTAATTCCCGGGGCGTATTCCATTTCACTGAATCCGAATACAGACATTCAGTCTGTTGTAAAATATAGAATGCATACGTTTTGTTCAGTGTTCTGATTGGCTGGAACTTTATACATGCCCAAGGAGGATTGGCTCCCAGGATCGAACTCGATATTTTCCAACAATGAAAACGTCGAAATGTCGTTATTTTCTGAAATTAAAACCGACTATAAATTCAAAATAAACAGTTCAAAAGATTCGAACCAATATCTCGATCGTTTCTTGTGAGTTTTGGAATTTTTCGTTTGGAAATAAGACCAAAATTCACGATTTAAATGTTGAAGTGAACAAAATGGCGGCTGTTTGAATTCGAATTTTGTATTACGACATACCCATATATGGGACAGAATATCGGTGGTGCACTCTGGGAGCCAATCCTCCTTGTACATGCCTAGATATTATAGGAATATCCTATGGTTTTGAATAAATATCATTTATATCCATGCGCTCACTTGTGAAGATATTGATATCCATGAGTGGATATAATTGATATTTTTGAAAAAAACATAGGATTGTCCGTTTAACCCATGGGATATCTTAAACCAGCAAAAAATTGAAAACTTAGCCTAGAATATTGCATTTTATGAGAAATGAGGTAACTGAAGTTATTCTGAGGTGCGTGAAAGTCGCAAAAGAAGTAATTCAGTACGCGAATACTCCAAATATCAAATTAAGCAATTATAACAAAATAAAGACATGTAAAGTTGCTGCACGTATACTGTTTCTAAGACCTGGAATAGTTGGCGAAAGCAGTACACCTGGAAGACAATTTAATAACACCATCAATTTTAATCTGCTTGATTTCAACAGGTTTCACCAACCTGCTGTGGGCTTCATTCTAAACGATATTGACGGATTAGGTAGCCGAATATCCTTTTGATTATGACAGTTTAAACCAAGATTCTTCGGTTACTCACTATAAAGTTCATCGCATTTCATTTACATTTTAGAAGTGGCTTACCACACAGAGTTAGAACGGTTATTTTATGCACTCTCTTTAGCCACAGCCAGAAAAGTGATTAGGTGGAGAAATTAATCCAGTATTGTTTGAAGTTGTGTTGCACGTTAAGAGCATTTTTAATTGTTAAAGAAAAGTAGAAGACACTGGTATGACTTCAGTTAGTCTAGAGAGGTTACAATTTGCAGATGGAAATAATATTAGCGAAGTTGAGTCTGTTGGACGCTCTAATTCCCAGACGAAAAACACTAAAAGCCAGGGATGTTACATCAGCACATTGACTGGATTTATTCTCATTCTTCTAACTATAGTTATTGCTGTTGGAATTGGAGTAATAGTTTTCTTCGGAAGCTATGGGAGAAATGTCGTCTGCAATTGCAAGTACCCGGATGTACAAGAACAGGTTGGACAATCTAGTCAAGCCCTCAAAGATGTATGCACAACTCTTAAAAATCACGATCGTGAAATATGTAAGTATGCAAATGCTATTTGTGTATATATTTATTTTACTTCACTGATCGATAGAAGTTGAAATGGGCAATATTTCATTTCTATTGATGGAGGATACCAAGAGAAAAATCATATTGACAGAAGTAGAAGTATACATTCACCCACGGCGAAAATTTAAAAAATAGATTACGCGTTTTATCTAACATCCACTGCTTTCACTTGTGTTTCGATCATGGTCAGTCAAGAGAATTTACAAATTTGCGCTTTTACGCTTTGTCAATGTCAAATATTTTTCCGGGTGTTATTCACCGGGAAAAAGTAGTATCTATTTGAGAAAGTATTGAAATCGATTAATATGAAAAACCCGCGACTAATCTTATATTACTTAGTGTCCCGTTTCGTTGTAATCGAAACATGTATCCTACACTTTTATTGTTTGTTTTCTATACTTAACTACAGCGATTTGGTTCCAAGTAACTTCGTGTAAATCATGGTCATATATTTCACTTCGCATACATCTTGAGGTATCTTAGCAATCTAGCATATTTGAGACGCTCTACCTTGAAAGGCTTCTGTTATCTCTTTCCCTACGTGTTAACTACTTTTGATTATATATAGGATGTTCACCTCATTTGTTTTTAATTCATACCTTCTACGCAATTTCATTTCAATATAGTATCTTTCAGATATACCTCATATTGTTTAAAACTTTTTATTAGTTTAGTAACAGTATCGCCTCGTGCGTATGTAGGGGTTTTGCGCTTTCTAAAGATATGGTACTATACATTTATGATTTTTGGAACTACGACCACCACAGTTGCGTCTTAAGGGTGCGTAAGTGTAGCAAAATATTGCCAAAAAAACATGGATAAGTTGTCGTAAACTATGAGATAAGGGGATGCTTCTCTCCATAAGTGCAGCGAACTTAGAAATGACTTGATAAACTATATATTGAGGAGTTAGGTAAAGATAGCCCAAGTAGTCATAGAGTTTTAGTTTCGCGTGAGCATCTAATTATTTTGAGATAACAACAATTGTGGATCCATCCTAGATGAGAGATCCGGGGCACGCTAGTAATATAATTAAACAAAGTAGAAACGGTATGCAGTAAAAGCAGTTCTTTAGAAACAGTCAACAACTACATACATAATTAAATCAAGGGAAAGATCAATACCCGGTGATTTCAGCGGGAAGTGGCGTTTCGTTTAGTGGATGAGCTGCGCGCGCACGCATAAATGTGATTATCCAATATAATTAGGGGAGGGCTATTTGAAATAGTTTTTGGTCTCAGGCGCGACCCAGGGCTGTTGTCTTAAGGACATTTCGTTGAAAATGAGCCATTCGGCTGATAATTGGTAAGAGTTTGCGATCTTATAATGTATAACTGTTACTCAGACACATAATTTTGACACGATTCTGTTGGAAATAAGCTTTGAACCGAGAGATATTCACGATTGATATGCACATTTTTGATTGTGCCATTGCTTTTCCATTGCACAATCCATGTATTGATAGAAGTAACATTAATAATGCAGATTGTTTACCTTCAATACATGGCAGACACTACATATCGGTCTATTAAATACCAGTTTGTGCCTTAAATAGTTTTATATTTCCATCCACTGCCTGGAGCCTGGGTGTGTTTGTCTCTTATGTGTATGCTTGTGCATGGACTTCTAATCACTAGCAGAATTTAACATGATGCAAACTCGACATTATAACTCATGCTGTAACATTTTGACTTCGCTGGAAAACAATAGGAATTATTTTTCTCGCCTATCAATCATGAGTCACAATCAAAATTTCAGAATGATCAATCAGGCAATGGTCCATATCAAGTTATAACATTATATGATATTCAGCAAGAAGTCCGGTAGAAATACAGAATATTTAAACATCAAAGCTGAAAGTTAAAAGCTAATCTGTCAATTTTCTGTCTGCAAAAGAGCGTTTACATTTGACACAATAACAGACTGAGGCTTTGAAATCTAGGATTCCCCAGGAAAATATGACGTCATACTAATTAGCATAAGGATTTCCCTATTGGTCTGGGTCGTGCCTTGTTCGAAAACACAATCCATAAATACATGCTAATTTCTAAGGAGATAGGAAGTGTATAACGTGTTTATCGATTTTGTTTAAAGATTTAATCAATTATCAAATTGTTTAAGTGGATAAAGTGGTCACACTTGCTCCAATTCATAGCGAAATCGACGGATGGAAACTGACCGAATTCCCGATATCCTACCCCGTATTACTGTAGGCTATAAGCACAGTGACCTACAGAGGGCGCTATCACAAACAAGTACTGCACGAACCGATAAATTCCCGGGTATTGTAACGCCCTTGATTAAATGTAGCTAAACAAGTAAGTTCAGCCCCCCTCTTGTAAACACTCCCCATAGTCAAAATGTTGAATATGATATCATATAATATACCATAGAAAAGAAACTGAGTCAGATTTTACCTTCTTTGATAAACTATCGTATGACAAACCGCCTGTATAAATGCATTGCTTAAATATTTGCCGTTCACGTTTAGGTTGTGAAAAATATTGCAAGCTTAAACTCCTTTGATGTTCTTTGATGCAAGTCAGATTTCACAAGAATCAACGAAATCTGTCCAGTGCAGTCAACCACGAAAGGATTTTAATCTGCTCGACGTCAAATTAACTGACAGAGCTTCCTCTTTGAATTCACAATCACACTGGGGTGATCCGCTCGATTACGCTAGTTACCGAAACGATTCGTTTCGGTAACAAAATGTCGGAACGTCGAAGGCACGATTTTTCTCTTTCCTTATTTTACGCGTTGTAGGCAGAATCCCCACGACATTTTTCTCCCAAACGTGTATCAGTATCATATGTTTTAGAAAATGCACATGCTCAGAAGACAACAGAAGCGTCGATTTTATACTTCACTTAAGTTACATAGACGGAATGGGTTAAAAGTGCAGATCTTAACTGTTTTTCGAAATTCAGTAACTCAAGTAACTTAAAGAGAGGAATTAAATGGACGAATCTGTTGTCTTCTGAACTATTTGTTTGCAAACGTGTACATTTTCTTAAACTTATGATACTGATACACGTTTGTGATAAAAATGTCATGGGAATTCTGCCTACAACTCGTGAAATAAGGAAAAAAGAAAAATCGTACCTTCGACGTTCCAACATTTTGGTTCGTTTCGGTAACCAGCGTAATTGAGCGGATCACCATTGAATCAAGTTTAATAAAAATCTATGTTTTATTGTTCTGTTATGTGCGTCGGTTTTGAATACAGGGTTTATCATTCGGATTGAGTAACATTTACTTCTGGATAAACCATGTAATCAAGTATATATCCTTATATATTTGATGTTAAATGTAACAATTTTAGTGTTATATAATGCTAAATGCCATCTACATAATAATGCGGCCACCCAGAGCTGATCACACATTCCAGGAACGTTTTTGATAGTTTGACTCCTCATTGACGAGCAATAACTTACTCAGTTGTAGCTGTGCAAATAATACGTTAATATGACAGTAGTGAATGCCAAAAGTAACGTTATTGTACAAACACCTACAAAGCTCAATTTCAGGGAACATAGCCAAAAGTGAAAAGCAATGTATGTTTACTTAACAAATGGGAATACAGTGTATAAAACTTTGTCCTATATCTGTCCGTTTTTTAGTTTCCATTATATATTTCAACCCAAATTAAAACAGAAGTCCTTTATAAGACTTTTATCTTTACACATCAATTCTGTTGAGTTCTTCTATGTACATTAGTGTGATTAACGTGATATGGTGCATTTAAAGACTTTGACCATCGACAGTAAATTGTAATGATAAAACTTGTCGTCTCAAGTATTACGTACAAATCCACATCAATCTCATTACAAAATTATGGGGTATGGATACACCAAATCCACATGACAAAACACAACTTCACAAAGCTTAAGGTTCACACGGATCATTGACATTCTAATCATAAAGCAATAGGTACACAAAATGTCGAACGAACGGAGGAAAGATTCCTATGAACTGCGATCTGCACCGGATTATCATAAGATACAGAACACTGAAGTGGCATATTTAGAATCTCGGAAAAAAGGATTATTTATAAAATGGCCATTGGTTATTCTTCTTGTTCTTCTGACGATAGGTGTAGTAGCAGCTGTCGGTTTGATTGTCTATTTTACAGGTTTGAATGGTAGGAGTTGTCCCCAAACACTCGGAGCTGCTTTGTCAACACTAACCCCGGTTCTATCAACAACTCCAGCGCCCCCTGCTGTCGACGTACGCTTACCAGGGCATTTCTATCCCAGACACTACAAAATCGAGCTATATCCTGATCTATACAAAGATGACCCAAAGCTTTTCAAATTCAGTGGTAAGGTTGAAATCCATCTGGAAACCTTGATTTCAACAAGCGAAGTCATCCTCCATATTAATAAATTAAACATCGATGATGCCACCGTAGCGTTCTACAAAGCAGATGGCTCTACCGGGCCGAACAAACGAGGCAAATATGTGGAGGATAAAAAGAGACAGTTCTTTATACTACAGCTTGATAGAGCAACTACCGTTGGTGAAAATTATACAATTAGCATGGAGTTCCAGGGCAACCTCACTGGGAGCCTCGCTGGTTTATACTCAAGTCAGTACAACGAGGGCAATGCGACAAGGTTAGACTTTTAAACATATATATCTTAACATTCTTTCTTAAATTTCAAAACGCCCAACATGCAAACTATCCATAGCTATTAAATATATCAATAGAGTAGCCAAGATAAAAATCAGCGTTGGGTCGTATAACATTTACAAAAATAATACTATGAATATTCTCTCATTCTCAATACATACAGTAGTACGAGGTTTAACCCTAGAAGCCCTAAGGGGGGGTCAAAATGACCCCCCCTGTTCTGTTTTTTCCCCATAACTTTTTATTGGCATCTGGTAGGATCTTCAAATTTTCAGTAGCTGGAGTTACAGATATAGCAAATGTTTTCTGAAAAAATCAGCAAAATTGCACATAGGGTAATTGATTTAGTATGATGTAATCATCAGCTTCAATAGACAAAATCGGAAAAAGCTAGCACAATTTCTACAATACTGTTGTCTTTAGAATAAAATTACACAATCTTACCTCATCAAAGTTGTTAATGTTATTACACCAAGTTGTAGAGAATTAAATGAAGTATATTTTGGGAAAGTTTGAACATCCTAGCTTCACTAGTTTGTTATTAATTTATTATGATGTAATCATCAGCTCCAATTGACAAAATCGGAAAAAAGCTAGCACTAATTCTACCATACGCGTTGTCTTAAGAACAAAATTACGCAATCTTGCATCATCATGGTTGTTAAAGTTATTACACCAAGTTGTAGAGAATTGAATGAAGTATATTTGGGGAAAGTCTGAACATCCTAGCTCTTCAAATAAAATTTTTACAAGGGGGGTGCCCTTTTGACCCCCCCTTAGGTGTTCGTGTGACTTTTTTACCTTAGGGCTTCTAGGGTTAAAAGTGTGGATGTAAAGCAGGCGACAGAAGCAAAATATGAAACATAATTAAAAAAAACAATTAATCGACCAAGGCAATTTGAAATATCGAAAGTATTAATTCATCGTAGAGTTGTTTATATGTACTTTTATATCTTATGTGATATATGGCGTAACACCAGCAATCTTTAAGAGCTTACCTTAGCACTAAACTCAACAGTTGTTGAAAAGAAACTATTTATTGGTTTTTATCAGAGAATAATCTATGTTACAAGTGTTAAAATTATTGCTCATCGTTCATTCTAATTGTCAAATCATAAATCTTAAAAAGACACTCCTACTTGAAATATCCCCGTTATCTTTAAATATACAATATCATATAGTTTGGGGTGAACGGGTTAAAAGTAGGAATACTTCTACGAACAGTCGAACAAACAGTCATAAGAGGGTTAAGAACCACTCAAGTTGTGCCATACCTCTAATTGTATTAGATTGATATTTAAAAGCAGAACTATTATAAGTAAATTATAACTTTGTTTTTTGAAATTTAATTTTGTAAATCTTCTAAAAGGAGGAAATAAAGAGACAATACAATCGTACTTACAGCACAGTAATTAAAGATTGCTTGCTCTAATTGATAATGTTCCTAAAATTTCTGTCATTCATAAACGTTCATTAGCAAAGAAGACATTTACATTTAGAGTCATACAAGCACTTACATTCTCCGTTTAACATTGACCTATATAAGTATCATTGACCTTCTGTGAGTATTGACCTTCACTAACACACAAAATATTTTAAAGGTAAAGAAAAGATATTTGATCCTGTGCAAAATCCCCTATGTTTGACATGTTAGTCATGCCAGTTTGGTGACCGACCCAGACCGTACATTGGGAAATGGTGTCAAACGTGCACGGATACTGGATATCTTTTGTAGAAATGTAAATATTGTTATGTATGTATTTGTTTAACAGATATATCGCAGCTACCCAGTTCCAGCCAACGGACGCAAGGAAAGCATTCCCATGTTTTGATGAACCTGGAATTAAATCTACATTTGACATTGTTCTGGTTCGTAAGCCCCACATGACATCCTTGTCAAATATGCCGATAAAAGAAACCGTAGCTAGGTATACGAAATTATTATAGGTATCGTATCTGCACATGCACATAGACACCCTACATATAAACTATATTATAAGTATGTATTATTACCACCTTGCCGGGCCTTCGGCCCTCGGTCCAATATTTCACTATATTGCCCTTAGAAATGACGTTATTGTACTATTGTAAGTTATTGAATGATTTGAAGTGCAATACCGGATATATTCTGCTCGAGAAATTATGTATTGGAACAAGTCGAAGTCGAGTGCAAATACAGAATATCGAGGGCAGAATATAAATCATTTAATAACTTATATTATACATAGAGTGATTAAGACTTCACAAATGTCACAATTAATATAAAGAATATAAATCGATAATATAAAATATTATGAAAAGAAATTGAGAAGCAATCGTTGTGAGAAATATTGAAAAAAGAAATATTGAAATAAACTTTTTAGGCCCGATGGTTTAGTGGCTGATATATACGAGAGAACAGTGAAGATGCCTACCTATCTCCTTGCATTCATTGTGTGCGATTTTGCGAAAACTGAAGGAGTTACTGAAAATGGTATTAAAGTACGTGATGTTATATGTAAATGCAACTCTATAAATGTACACTTTGAAAAGCCTTTAATTGGAAACAGTCTATGATATGTCTAAAATTACATGGTCCCTGAATATAGTATAGAACCTAAACTTCCCTCGAAAAGTATGGCAATAGCATCTCTTTATTACACAGCTGGGGGGGGGGGGGGCAAAGGGTTATCTAACTTGTGGTTAGGAGTGCATACTCAACACACCTGTATACCATCCTTTTACGATTTAAATTAGTTCCATACATTTTATTAAAAACTAATTAATTTTCAGTTCAGAATTTGGTCCAGGAAGGAAGCAATCAACCAAACGCTTTATGCATTGGAAACTGGAATCAAAATATTAACTTACTTCGAAGAATACTTTGACATACCATTCCCTCTTCCGAAGCAAGGTGAGTCAAAAAGTATTGTATTCCAACTACCTAAATCCATTTGCTTATTGCCAAATATAAACAATAGGGCGCTTTGAATCATATTGAATCATTTTAACATCCTTCATATCTTGCTTGCTGAAAATGTGATAAGTGTCAGAATTTGCAGAATTGGGCATCTATAAAATATACTCATAACGATGAACCTATTTGGCTTCGTGAGACTAGGTTAGTATGCTTTGTGTTATTTTCACCGTCCGATTATAACCATCTTGCAAACATTTAAGATATGATAGCCATTCCTGACTTTGCCGCTGGAGCAATGGAAAACTGGGGCCTTATAACATATCGGGAGACCGCCCTGCTGTATGACGAGAACGGATCATCGGCATCTAATAAGCAGCGTGTAGCAGTTGTTGTTTCGCATGAACTGGCACACCAGGTAAATACAGCGCATTTACACTTGTCCGACATATTTCAGTACACAGAGTATGTCGTTTTTTATAATAAGGTTTACATTACTGTACTCAAAAGAGAAACTTTAGCATCACATCATTAGACCCAGTTTCGTTTTGGGTTATCACATTGTTTATAAGGTGTTGGTTTCTTTATGATCAGCTGAACTTACTGTCTCTTGTATTATATATTTTTGTTTTAACAGTTTTGGCATCCGAGTGATCGCATATCTTTGTCGTGACTTATTCAAACCATTTCTCTCTTTTTTTATCTTGAGATATGGACTTATTTTTTAGTGGTTCGGCAATCTTGTTACGCCTGGATGGTGGGACGACCTATGGTTAAACGAGGGATTCGCAAGTTACGTGGAATACCTTGGCGTCAACCACTGTCACCCTGATTGGAAAATGGTATATGTATTTCTGAGAAAAGAAACGTTGTCCACTAAATAAACAAGAGAAAAGTAAACAGTACCAATTATAAGAATGGACCAATTATCAAATTGTAATTCCTACAACCAAGGAAAAGAAGGAATTATTCGACATATATGTTGGCGTTTCGATTTTATATGCAAGCTTAAACTCCCTATTAACGGTTGGTCGCAACGCAAATATTTTGCGACCAACTAATAATGGGGCCTGTGCTAACCACTTTGCGTTTTTTGTTTGTTTTATTGTGGTGTAAATTATATGAACATTTGCAAAGAGGAAAACCTATTGTTGAAAAGAACCGTAGCTCCCACTAAAACATTTTAATTGCTCCCTTCTTCAGCCCGAGCAGTTCGTGACTGAAGATTTGGAGGATGTCTTCAGACCTGATGGCCTCGCCACGTCCCACCCTATATATGTTCCCGTTAACCATCCTGATGAAATCAATTCGATATTTGACAGAATATCATATGGCAAAGGTGCTTCTGTTATACGCATGATGAACAGGTTTTTGACGGAAGGGACATTTAGACAAGGATTGACGGTACGTTATATTGGTTAGCGACTCGGCATAATCCAGGACCAGGGGCATATCATTTAAAAGTTTATGAAATCAGATGCAAGCTTCAGATGCTTTAGAATTAAGAATTCGTAACTTTAAAAATAATTTGGATAAATATATACTCTAGAAGACATACCCAGACATGAAATGTTTGTGAAAATTTATGATGATAAAACTCTTAAGTTATCGCAAACACTTTACAAAATTTATTTTCACATCATCCCCGATAAACAATTTGTAAGCTATAAATCTTAAAAGATTGTGTGTTGTAGGTGACACACTTACATGTAGGTTTGATTATATTATGTACTGTTTTATGTTTTAGAATTACCTCAATAAACATCAATATGGTAATACTCATCACAGAGACCTTTGGGCAGCTTTAACAGAGGTACACATACAACTAATATTTACCATTTTCCATTTTGTCCGTTTTTTCGTTTTCGTCACTCGATCTAGATACCCGTAGTACAGGTAACAGGACAACTCATCCCTAAGACAACTCATCCCAAGACAACTCATCCCCAAGACACCTCATCCCAAGACAACTCATCCCAAGACATCTCATCCCAAGACATCTCATCCCAAGACAACTCATCCCAAGACATCTCATCCCAAGACATCTCATCCCAAGACAACTCATCCCCAAGACAACTCTTCCCAACTTGAAATATAACATAATTTTATACAATTAATTAAATGAAATATAACATAATTTTATACAATTAATTTCAACTTTTGAAAGAATATTTGAAACATATTTAGAGATTTTAGCAGTAAGCTCACTGTGTTTGGCCATGGAATATCTTTTGTATTTTGTAGTTAGTTTAGTCTAGCTTTAGTTAATTTTTGGTGATTGATTGAGATAAAGATAAACATGTTCAAAGATCATCAAGGGTGTCAGATTAGGATTAACCCAATAAGAATGTATTATCCGGGGTATTATCAGAATTGTTCTCATAGATTAATTCAGTCTTTGTTTTAAAATATTTTGCTTAATTCCAATATGTCATATTCGGCTTATTCTTAAATAAGATTTCCAATTTTAAACTTTCAGAATCATGATGATTGAATTTTGAAATTATGTCTTTGACTTTTATCTTCAATTCCCACGCGGTTCTAACTTCGACCATTAATTTGAATTTTTGACCTACCGGATGTTTGAAAATCAAGGATTATGAGTCTCATACTGCACCGTTTTTCTTCAAACTTGTTCCATTCAAAGCATTACAAAAATCCCTTTCTGATGGTACATTATTCTCTTAAACAGAGTCTCTACTTCCAGCGGCATTTTGGTCCCCAGCTGTAAGAAGGCCTTCTAACAGCTGGGGACCAAAACGCTGCTATAACGAGGGACTCTTTACAATAAAGTAATGCACCGACAGAAAGGCAATTTTGTTTTGCTTTTAATGGTATAAGTTTGAAGAAAAACGGTGCAGTATGAGACTTGAATTCCTTGATTTTCAAGCATCTGGTAGGTCAAAAATTCAAATTAACGGTGGAAGTAAGTACCGCGTGATTCCATATTCTCAAATATATTGAGAATTTGAGAATAACCAAGAAATAATAAAAAAAATACCGGTACGTAAAAGTAGAACATAACTTTCAAGTGCCATTTCAAAATGCTAAAAATTATCAATATTAAGATTGAGTGTATAATCAAATATCACTTTGTAATCATAAAAATGAAAAAGGGATATATATACGTAATATACACCCTATGCAGACAGAGCCTGTGGGAAATATTGGGTGCGGAGCAAATGAGCGGAGGGTGCGGAGCTAACGGTTATTTTTGAATTTAAATTTGGGATATTTCTGAAACTAAGCCGTTTTGGGACTTCAAATATACCAAGATATGTGTATTTGACACCAAATATCAATACAATTGTGAAAATAGTAGCGCAATTCATTCTATAGCGACGCAGTGTGCCTTAAACCTTTCCCAGACCTATATATTTTGAAATTATCCTTTTAATACTGAGTCCCCAGCATTCATAAAAAATGGTGTTCAAGGTGCACTATCTATACAAATTATTTTTACATCTTGGAAGCCAGACAGTATCTGTGTGATTTTATAAAAATTCGGAAATTTTTTCAGATATGAGCCCCCTCTAAATATTGGGTGCGGAGCAGCTCCATAAACGTAGCTCCGCACCCAATATTTAGAGGGGCTCATATCTGAAGAACATTTCCGAATTTTATATAAAATCACACAGATACTGCCTGGCTTCCAAGATGCAAAAATAATTTGCATGGGTAGTGTATCTTGAACACCATTTTTTATGAATGCTGGGGACGCAGTATTAAAAGGATAGTCTCAAAATATATAGGTCTGAGAAATGTTTAAGGCATACTGCGTCGCTATAAAATGAATTGCACTACTATTTTCACAATTTTATTGATATTTGGTGTCAAATACACATATCTTGGTATATTTGAAGTCCTAAAACGGCTTAGTTTCAGAAATATCCCAATTTTAAATTCAAAAATGACCGTTAGCTCCGCACCCTCCGCTCATTTGCGCCGCACCCAATATTTCCCACAGGCTCTGTCTGCATAGGGTGATATAGAGGACAAATTAAATAATTTATCAATAATACTAGTGGGATGAGTTGTCTTGGGATGAGATGTCTTGGGATGAGTTGTCTTGGGATGAGATGTCTTGGGATGAGATGTCTTGGGATGACTTGTCTTAGGGATGACTTGTCTTGGGATGAGATGTCTTAGGGATGACTTGTCTTGGGATGAGTTGTCTTGGGATGAGTTGTCTAGAACCTGACATAGTTGCAAGGTGGATGAAAGAAAAATGTAAAAGTATACCTTTCTTTCATTTTTGATCCATTTGTATAAACATCTCATTTTAAAAACATAAAACATTAATTGCATTGATATCTTCTCATTTACTTACTTACTTAGACCAATTTAAGAGAGTAGAAATCAAAAAGTCATATCTAATTACTGTATATCAAATCGCGTAGCATTAAACGTTCGTATATTTCTCGAATTGGTAAGTTTTATCTATGGTCAAATTTAGATACAGGTATCAAAACGTCTTCATGGATTAACTAAATCATCATTAAAGCAGTGAAAATATCTCAACGTCTACAATTAACATTAAATCTAGACCGTTGATAACACAAGGCCCGTCAGCTGCAACATCACTCCAACGACGGCAAGAACTGTTCAGCTGCCAAGCTTTGGGCAGTATATGTAGTGCAACTACGAAGAAAAATGTTTAAATCTGCTGAATTCTTATAGTAATTATTCAAACCATGAACTTTCGATGTCCATATTTGTCTATGTTCGCAATTGACGACAAATCGAACACATATAAATTGAGAGGCTCGAGCTTTGTAAAATATATTCATTTTTTTGTAAAATGTATTCATTTAGATTAGGAATTTTACCCCTGCGTATTGAGGGCGATTTAGAGGGGAACAGGTTGAAGAATTTGTGTGCTTTGTAACAGGAATCAGGTTGAATCCGAATCTCATTTTCTATTTTATTGTGATGTATATAAAGATTTTCAGGAGAAATATTTTGGTCAGTTGAATTGTAATGGCTTAAAAATTAAATATTTTTTTGAAAATCAGACAAGTTAAATTGTAAAATACATTAAAGAGGCTTATGTAAGGAGAAAAATATGTTTTATTATGATCCATGAAGACTCAATTGGTTACTTTGTATCTATGTTTTGTAATAATTGATTAAATTAAAATTAAAAGTGATTGACAAGTCCAAAATGGGCTGGGTTTGATATATTTTTACTTTATTTTGAATAACTGTATGTACATAACGTACCACTATAAATAACAAATAAAAACAAACATTAATTGTATATAACTCGATGTTTTCATTTACAAGACCGTCGCCATTTTGTGAGCTATTTTAGGGTCGGTATAATACGTCTGATTAATTACTTTTTTACGGAAAGCTATAGGGGACATGCGCATAATTCAAAATCGAATGGAGTTTTAACATGGGAGTGATATCACACACCGCGGCCCGGTCAGATAGATTTCATCGCGCACTGAATGAATTACAGGGGCCGCGTTGTGCAAAGTTAATTAAAATAAAGTGCGCAGAAATTCCGGCATTCAGTGCGCGATGAAAAAATGATTATCTGTGAACAAAAAACGAATAAAAATTCGTGGCACCACGAATTTGATTTTTTTCGAAAGACTGCGGAGTGAACCAGCGAAATGACAATTTTGGATAATATTGATGGCTCTAACGAGGAGAACTTTGAGATTTCCCGATTCTAGCGCGCAGCACATCCAGGACCATGATGCGCACTTTTATCAGATTCGATTCTAATATGGTTTCAAAGATAATGTTCATTAAAAGAGGGCGTATGCATACAGATTACACGTGGCGTTATGTTGAAGTGACCCTTGCAAAGGGTTCCATTGAAAATATATTATTTTGGGCCATTTCATATCTTTTAATTGATATTGTATAAAATATTTTCAATGTTTGAAAATTATAATCTTATAAATAACATTTTATGTAATAAAACTGTAACGAAATGGTAAATACGGAATATGATGCAATACAATGCAGTGCAATATGATGTTATACAATGCAGTGCAATATGATGCAATACAATGTGGTGCAATATGATGTAATACAATGCGGTGCAATATGATGCAATACAATGCAGAGCAATATGATGCAATACAATGCAGTGCAATATGATGCAATACAATGTAGTGTAATATGATGCAATACAAAGCAGTGTTATATGATGCAAAAAATGCAGTGCAATATGATACAATACAATATAGTGCAATATAATACAATAAAATGCAGTACAATACGATGCAATACAATACAGTACAATATAATGCAATACAATGCAGTGCAATGCAGTGCAATGCAATACAGTGCAAAACAATGCCGTGCAGTGCAATACAATGTAGTTCATTTCAATACAATGCAGTGCAGTACAATGTGGTACAGTGCAATGCAATGCAGTGCAATACAATACATCGCAGTTCAATACAGTGCAATACAATGTAGTGCAATGCAGTGCAATGAAATACAATACAGTTACAATGTAGTTCATTTCAATACAATGCAGTGCAATACAATGTGGTACAGTGCAATACAATGCAGTGCAATACAATACATCGCAGTTCAATACAGTGCAGTGCAATACAATACAGTGCAATACAATACATTGCAGTTCAGTGCAGTGCAATACAATACAGTGCAATACAATACATCTCAGTTCAATACAGTGCAATACAATGTAGTGCAATGCAGTGCAATAAAATACAATACAGTGCAATTCAATACAATGCAATACAATACAGTGCAATACAAAACAATGCTGTGCAATAGAATACAGTACACTGCAGTACAATACAATGCAGTGCAATAAAATACAATGCAGTGTAATAAAATGCAGTGTAATTCAAGACAATGCAATACAATACTGTGCAATACAATACAGTGCAATATAATACAATACAGTGTACTGCAATGCAATGCAATACAATATGTTGCAGTGCAATATATTGCAGTGCAATTCAAAACAATGCAGTGTAATACAATGCAGTGCAACACAATGTGGTACAGTGCAATACATTATAATGCAGTGCAATACAATACAATGCAGCGCAATACAATGTAGTACACTGCAGTACAATACAATGCAGTGCAATAAAGTACAATGCAGTGCAATATAATATAATACAGTGCAATACAGTACAATATAATGCAATAGAATACAATGCAGTGCAATACAATACAATGCAGTGCAATACAATAAAATGCAGTACAATACAATACAATGATGTGCTATACAATACAATACAATACAATGCAATGAAATGCAATTCAATGCTATGAATGTACACCTTCTTCAGTCAAATAAACACAGATAAAATTGTAATAGTATGTTAGTGTATGGAGTTTGAAGTGGGTGGGGGATACAATTACCAGTCTGCTGATTGATGACTTAATAACTTAGAAAAGATCTCCTAGCTTTTAACAGGTGGCACTTATGTCTACCTTATGTTCTTGAACAATCTCGTCTAAGAATACAGACCCGTATCCTGGATTAACCTGGGGGAGTGGTTTTACCAAGGGGGAGATTTTGCCAAGAGGGGGGAGCTTTTTGACAGTTATGGCAAAAAAATCATGCGAAAAGTGCTAAGAATGGTGAAAAACTGCATGATTTTGAACGAATACTTGGCAAGGGGGAGGGGGGTGAGGCCCCCTGGCTACGGCCATGGAATACATATAGGAACTTTCCTTCTCCCAGAAGAAAGGTATACAGGTATTACATCAATCATTCTGGTATTTTATATACGAAGGTCTGTAGTTACTTTATTGAAAGATGGCAGTGTACACTGTGTACTACCATTTTGAGGTCAGTTTGACTTTATAATTCTGCGCACTATAATCTGTAATTCTCATAGATATCCTCTCTAGAGGCATCACTGTGATCCAAAATTACAATTTCGCAGGTCAAGTCTGCAGTCTTTCGAAAAAAGTTGAATTCGTTGTGCTACCCTTTCTTGTTGGGCATTTATTAACAGAAAACTATAATTACATCGCGCCAGCATATACAAGCTTCAGCGCGATATTTTGAGTGTGTTAATAAATAAAGTGCGCAGAAATCGATCTTACTGGGCCGCGGTGTGCGATATCACTCATATACAATTTTTAATTGCGCACTGAATGAATTAGAGGGGGCGCGTTGTGCAAAGTGAATTAAATAAATAAAGTGCGCAGAAATATATCTGACTGGGCCGCGGTGTGTGATATCACTCCCATGTTAAAACTCCATTGAATTTTAAATTCTGCGGTATATCCCCTTTCGCTTTCCGTACTTTTTTGATGCGTAGTAGCGGCTGTTTTGCGCGTATCATCAGCTAAGTGCGCCTTTTTATAATTGTTAGCAAGCAGAAAGCGAGGGTAAGACCATAGATGTCGGGGAGGTTATGAACACGTGGGTGGAGCAGATGGGATACCCTGTCGTGACGATTACACGAGATGGAAGCATCGCCAATGTCAAGCAGCAGCATTTCTTGATTGATCCAACGCAGGAACCAAGTCCAAAATACCCCAGTGCATTCGGGTAATCACAAAATACTATATAAACTACATGCACCAGGTCGTTCAATAAGTTCACGGAAAAATGCTCTCATTTCAAAAGCTTTTAATATTTTTCATGAATTTTGCACATAAAATCCAAAAGATTACCTGGTAATTGATTCTTAAAATATCATAATCTGTGATTTGATTGGTCAAAAGTAATGGTTAATATGGTAACTTGACTTTCGGGTTTACGGTCGGGGCATTTTTATGTCACAATAGAAAAAACAACAGGATAGAATCGCCTGCATTTTCTCTTTTCTGCTTTCAAAATATGCTACTACTTCTCAAAATTACATGACATTAATGTTTTGTCCCACGAGGTGTTCAAAGTTCTCTCCTTGTGTTATAATTAAACACACACATGTTATGGTGTTTAACAATTTGATGATACTGTGTACTGAAGCCTCTATGGAACTTGTTGGAGAGGCCATTTTGACTGCAGTTGCAAGTTCTTGTGTTGGTCCATAAAGTACATGTCTTAACTCATCCTTCATCCTGTTTAAAAACAGCAAATTCAAGGATTGCCTCATCACAGCATCTTCACAATACACTTTCCTAAACCGATAAATACTTTTTCTTGTTTTGTCTGCCCTCAAAGGTCACAGAATCTTATGGCAGCTCGGATCGGTGAAAGCTTCTCTTCTTTTGGAATTTCAGCCATCTTGGAACCTCTCAAGTATGACTTTGTTTGATGATGTCATGAGCAATCTATGTGATATAAAGTTATGAACTGTGATTGTGGTGTCATTTAGTTGTTTTACTTTAACCAATTGTAATTTAAACGAGAAAGAATAAGATATAGTAGGAAAATAAGCCTTCATTTGCAAGCATTGCTGGATTTCCGTATTGGTGTATTGTGTGACGTAAAGTGCCCCGCCTACCCAAAAGTCATGTTACCATATTAGCCATAATCTTTGTCCAATCAAATAAGAGATAACAGATATTTTATCAATAACCAGATATTAGTTGAATGTACCAGTATATATTAAAAAATATTAACAACCTTTGAAATGAGAGCAGTTTTCCATGAACTAAGTCTTATTGAACGACCTGTTATATACATTTATGTGAAAATTAATAGTGACTATATTTCGTTTAATATTGCCCATTTGGGACATTTATATGTATCATGTAAAACCGGGTTTACCAGGGGATTTTGTATCCTACGAAGTCAAATGATTAAGCTGGACAAGTTTGTAGAGTGACACTTTCTACAAGCTTGGCTGCTATTACAAGTTATACACATGCTATCATCATCTTTTCCTTTTGTTTTTCTACAATTCCAGGTACAAATGGCATATTCATCTAAGTTACACAACTGCATCTCAAAGAGCTTGGGAGACCCCTTCTACGAAATGGATGCCACTAGTTGAAGGTATTACCCCTATCATGATATGGTTCCATATTACTTAAATTAAAAACATCAAAAATAATATATAGATTAAACAGTATGGATCGAAAGTGACAACCATTTAGTTAGTGAGTTAGTGAGTGGGAGGGTGGGTGGGTGGATGAGTGATTGAGTGAGTTAGTTAGTTAGTTAAAATAGTTTATCAAAGTCACACACACATATTATCCAATTTAAAGAAATAAAATAAAATACAATTCAACATATAGTCCAATTCATATTGTTGGACTGTAGACCGCCTGACACACCTGCTGATATTACAAAAGTTATTTTCAGAAATGACCCTAACGGGTCTACCAGCAGATTCAGCTGATTGGGTTCTTGGAAACGTACAACAAACTGGTTATTACAGAGTAGATTACGACAGGGCCAACTGGCAAGCGCTTACTAAGCAATTAAAGAACAACCACTTGGTAAGTCCATTTCCAATTCCATGTTACCGAGGAAATACTAAAGGACAGCAAAGATCGTTTCATGTATCCATGTTCGAATTGGTCTAAATCAACACATTTCTTCAAGTAATTCGATCATCGTGAAATTTAAAAATTCTGGCACTTTAGAAAATTATGAGTTTGTTTATTCAGATAATTACCCTGTTGTATCCAAAATCAAGTTATTAGACAGCTTACCCGAAAATACTTTTAACCTTTATATAAATTGCAGGCAATACATATGAACAATCGAGCCCAGTTGATAGATGACGCGTTTAACCTTGCCAGGGCAGGCATACATAATGTAGATACAGTTGATGCGATGGAGACAACCAAGTACCTAAGCAATGAAAGAGATTATATTCCATGGGAGTCAGCCATTGTAAATCTTGACTACATCCGAAAGATGCTTAGCAGTACGGCTGCATATGGTGAATTTAGGGTAATAATTATATCTAAAAAACATGGTTATATCCACAATGGCTTTATTGTTCTGATTGTTATATATGACATCTAAAGAGTCAATAATATATATATATATAATAATTAAACAAGTCACGATACACTAGTCAATGGACTCGTTAATTGTTTGAGAGCACTAAACCTCGACATTCGGCCTTGGTTTAAGACAGGTATCAATTCACTTGTGATATATTTCACAAACAAAGCATCGATTTCTGTTAACCCAAAATTAGTTTAACCTTTTGTTTTATATTAGACATACATGCTGCATCAAACGCTCCCCCTATACGAGACCCTTGGATGGAACGAATCTAATAGCAATCCACATCTTGACCAGTAAGGACTGTAATTAAATGCATGTTTGGCTTATATTTTGCCAAAAGAAAATAAAAGCGCTTAGTACAAAATCGAGTTTAGAAATGTATATGACTGTCACCTGTACATTTGATTGAATTTTGAACTTTTGAAATATTCCTCATATTAATAGTATATCATTTATCAAACTACATGTAGCATTGTGCTTTATATTTGTCACTTAATTGTTTCGTTTGAGTAAGTATGAATTCACTTGCATATGTTTATACACTTCTCAGGTTGACCTTTAATAATAATATGATTTATTTTATTTTGGTGATACTTTGCAATTTTTGTGTATATCGGCAGATATCTACGTACTTTGGCAATCTCTCGGACGTGCTACAACGGCCACCAACCATGCTTGGATAAAGCACTCCAGCTGTTCCAAGAATGGATGCGAAACCCTGACGTTAATCCGTACGTAGTTTCTAAAATGATCATAATTCATATATTTCGCCGCAATAACCGTATGTCTTAAATATGATGACTTATCTTTTTAGAATACATCCAAATGTCAAAGCAATCGTTTACTGCAATGCCATCCGCAATGGAGGCATTGCAGAATGGGATTTCGTGTACAGCAGATTCAGAGTGGAGAATCTCGCCTCTGAGAGATCACGACTTCTGGCGTCCCTTTCCTGCTCCAATGAGCCATGGATATTAAGCAGGTAAGTTCCATTCATCGTTTCCACAGATAGATGATATATAATATAACCAGCAGTTAAGTGTAATTACACTGACGTGTCGCAAAAAGGTCGCGCACGCATTGTTACACATTTTCGCTTTTTAACACCACAGAATGTGACATTTTTTTGAGAAAAATGTACATAAGGAAATCCTTTCGTCCTCCACATTTGCCTCTATATCTCAAAATATTTAAGGCGAATAACTCTGATATTGTATATGTATTAACAATGGGATAGGAGCATCATAAAACACGAATCAATTGATATTTTAGGTGAAATAAATATACGTGTTGCTGTGCTTGAAAATAGGCGAATGGCGTAAATTAGCCCTATTTTAATGAATTTTGAAAACCTGTCGTCCTCCACTTTTCCACATACAACAGAAAACACATACGTTTGCGAACAAAATGAACTATTTATTAACAAACTTTAAGAGCAAAATAATCATGTATGATTTATTAAAAATTGATCTCGTATTTTTGTTTAATGTACACCTGAAAAGTTGAAGGTAACAAAAAATGAGCAAAAAAGGTCGCTGTCAACAGATTCTGTTTTTCAAACTCTATGACGTCACAATATGGGACGCTTACTAAAATTCATCCTTTGAAATAAAACTTCCATCTACCTTTATCAAGACGAAAAATAAGTATAATAGTCATATATTGTTTGAGTTATGAGCGTTTAAAGACGAAAAATAATTCAAAATGTAACGTGTCAACAGGGGATATTTGCCAGATGTTTTGGTAAAAAACTTTTTTTTAAAAAAGAACGCGCAAGAATCGTGAACGGAGTGTAGTTGATCTAAAAACTTCATCGAAACAGCTTTAAAATGATATATAACTTTAATTAGAATATTATCTTATAATCTTATAATACCCTTAAAAATCAAATGCGCCACCTTTTTGCGACACGTCACTGCATTTGGCAGTGGTCTGTTATGCAGTTCTATTTGATTATGGATGAAAGAACATCATACATCACTTCAGTCTTACATTGCAGTGTGATTACTTGTACCCAAATTATTAAGTACAGGTTTCGTATATTTTAGGTAATTTTGTAGAAAATATTTTGCAATGTGTGAAAAGAATTTAAGCCCAAGACTCAATGCATTGTGGAATGACCATTCCTTTCAGCGTTGCTTCCTAAAAACAACAATCGATGCTGTGCATCTCGTCCAAATTTTGAAAAGCAGCACCTTCAAGGAATGGTCATTCCACATTGCACTGAGCCCAGTGCTTAAATCCTAAATTAATGATAGTGATAAGTAATTAATTGTGTAAATGTTAGTCATTTTATATTTCTACATCTTAAAGGTATTTATCCTGGACTATAGATGAGAACTATATCCGTAAGCAGGACTCGGTATCCACAACAATTTACATTTCGAGGAATCCCATTGGTAGACCTCTAGCATGGGATTTCATGAGGTCTAACTGGAACTATATATTCGACAAGTGAGTACAAACCTTCACGAGGCGGACTTGAAGTTATGTGTTTAACCTATAAACGGGATATAGTATCAACTCATGGAAATGATTCTATCATATGATACCGTGTCCCTAGTTACCGAATATCAAAACCATATCCAAAGCGAACCTCCAAGCATTTCGAAACGCAAAAATGTTATTAGTAAAATCAGAGATGTCTCTTGTGAAATGCATTTCAATACAACATTTTGGTTACAGTAACTTATGTTGTTTTAATTACAATGCTTGCGATATAAAACGTGATGACTTCTTTTTTTAGGTACGGCACTGGTTTCTTTGCTTTTACAAGTATGCTAAAAGGCATAACAGAGTCATTCAATACAGAATTCCAACTGCAACAGGTAATAAAACAAATACTGAGATATGGCAAATTGTCCAAACATGCCTATACGACGCACTTGAGACTCATTTTGTTTATTGTGTCAACAATGAAACATGATACAATTTACAATAGCAGTTACATTTGAGAACAAGCTATCAATTTTATCGAATCATTCATTGTCAATGGGGCATTTCACTCCATAGGAAATAGGATTGTATTGACGAACCAATTTTTCACAAATAAAGAATACAATACAATACCTAAACTCAGATTCGGACATAATACAATATTATTCTTCGCTTGATGCTCTGAGTATTCATGACTTCTATTTAACTCACCGATAGAAATTCGGGAGATATATAGAGAAGCCATCCATCCATCCACCATTAAACCATTTTCTCTTCAGATGCCCCCTAAACACAGACGATTATATTATACTTTCCAATAAAATATCCCGTGAATATCCAAAAAATAGGTTCAAGTCTCTCTCTCTCTCAAGCAAACAAGGCAAATACTCTAACCTTCGGTCATCAACTTTGTTACAAAAACGATTCTTCAATAATTATTGATAAACCTCTCCTCACTTGGAGCACCACCAACAATGCCAACGGTCACCGTGGACCCGCAACTCAATGCATTTTTTTCAACCATAAATGTTGTAACAACGCCAATATGTATATAAATTGTAAAATTGGCTCATAATGTCTTGTTAAGACCGAGCCACAATTAGAATTAAAAAAAAATCCATCCATCCCTCCGTCCATTCGTTCGTCTGTCCGGGTCATAACTCAAACAATAATCAATATAACCGCTCAATTCAAAATGGCTGGCATATTTGCTGAAAATGTAATATTACTCAAACACCAGTCGACGGATGTGCATTCAAATGTTACATTCTGACGACTTCAGGCCATAGAACTTTTGGATACACTTTTTCTCAAGGTATCCGCTGAATTTGAAATGTCAGTCAGTTCTTCGTAAAAGTGCAAAATATTTTAAACCAAATGCTAGTACCAGTTGTTAGAGTTGTTCCAGAGTTTATGGAGTGGTGTCTCTTTGACATAACTATCTACTCAAAAATGAAAATGTAAGATGGCCACGCCACTGACTCTTTTCAGAAATTCATGGACTAGTACTTCGTGGTAAGAAACGTGGTAAGTGGTAAGGAACTCTAGTCCAAAAGTAGTTTATAATATGGCGTCACGTCACGTCATGGATGTACAAAATGGTCATGAATACACTACAGTAAACCCTGTCTCAACTGAGTGCCTTTGGGACTGGCCAAAAGTGTTCAGTTTGGAAGGTCTTCACATTTTGAGTTTTTTTTCAAATGGAAGTCTTCAGTAGCGAAAAGTGTTCATATTGTGGTGAGTTCAGATTAGAAAGGTGTTTGGATATACAGGTTTCACTGTACATGTAATTGGGGAAAATGATGTTGCCAAAAGCAGTCACTTCTGTATGGTTGTTTCTACCATCCATGGAATATTAGATACTGATGAGTAATTCGATAACAGTTTTAGTTCAATGGGAACAATAAGGCCTGTTTTGGCAATGTGTACAGTTGAGGCCAGGTACACTTATCTAGCTTTGCTATTTTTATTTTTGTTACAGGTGCGGGACTTTTTGGAAATTAAAAAGGCCGAAAACAAACTAGGCTCGGGACACAGGGCCTTGGAACAAGCAATTGAAAAGACAACTAGCAATATAAAGTGGATGGATAATAACTATGAAAAACTTAAGACATGGCTTGAAAACTATAATAACCAACGCCGATAGCTTTAGGAAATAGTTGGAATCAAGCAGGGACTATAAGTAGTTAAAATTATCTCCAACTACTCCATAGTCATTCACATGTAAAATCCCCTGATTTTAATTATGGTTAAAACTATATCATTAGGGAATATTTTGAAGTTTGGAGCACTATACATATTTGTCAGAACTCATTCATTAAACATTCATGATGCTTCGCCACATGACATGGACTAAGGAATGAAAATGGCATGCTAAAGATGGGAACTAGAACATGCTTGAATATTATTGTGACGTCGGGTTCGGCCGAGTAAAATCCTCCTGCTGAAGTTTGAAGTACTAAACATATTTGTCACATTCTTTATTCTATCTTTTGTAAATATAAATGTATATCTATTTACTGATATGAAAATATATTTCAATTACAAGAAGCGGGATAACTTAAAATCAATATAATTATAATTATTATGAAATACGCCCCTTCATAAGTTTGACTATTTGAAGAAGATACCGGATGTTCGAATCCTAATTTTGTTCCTCAATTGCTAGTTATGATGAATTTGTTTAAATTGCCAAACATCATTAAAAACGTGGTCCGAAAGGGGACTTAAAAGAGTCAAACTTTTGAAGGGACTGTGTACATGTATATTTTATATGTCTGTAGTTAAATGAGACGGAATCATAAAATCTACCGAACAACCTTAACATAATAACTATATAACATGTCATATTAATAACCATGGTTGCAATTTGAATATCATATCCAATATGGAATAGAATGTTGCAAAAGATGACACTCAAATAAGAGTTCAATTGTAATCATATGATATGTTCAAATAATGATTAATTTCGTCCATACAATTGTTCATTAGACTATATATGTTACCATTTCCAGCCATTAAGTGGTAAAATCTAGGAATAAATCGTCAAATTACACACAAGAGGAGGGAAACCCCAGAGCTCAGAGTAAACCTCAAAAGTATTCATTTTTAAAACTTTTGGTAGTCCGAATTTCTAGTTTCTGAATACCAGACGTCGATGTTGGATATAATTAATGTTCCTTATATCTTTCTTTATATGTTGACGTGAAATAAAAAGCTGTAACATTTAGCCAGGAATAAACATTGTACTATTCAAGGCGTTTTACATTTCTATTGACTTTATTGTAATCTATGATATTTGGGGGTTTCCCTCCTTTTATTACACACTGAAGAATATACATGTTGTTACGTCACTTCCGTTTCGAATTTGTGGTGCTTTTACATAGTGCCAATGTTGAAACAGTTGTCCACGCCTGAAAAGGACAATCATTTTAAACAGATATTATTAGTTGGGATGCCACGTTGAATTGTACGATTTTTCAACATTTCTTAAATCATCGTTTTTTTTGCATTATCATGTTTACTCTGACAATGAAAAATCATTTTCACACTGGGGAAAACGGGGCGAAGTTGAATTGATTCTGGAGCAGAGGGATATTTCTTCAAATTGTTTCCAACATTATTGTCAAACATTTTATTGTTTGAACAAAAATTTTACCGACACAGTCAGATATAATCAATCAAAATATAAATTGATGTCGAGCATTTTTTTTATTATTCTGTACAAATAATGTATCATGCAACAGTATGCGTTTTTGATAAAACGTAAACACAATCGATAACTCCTGTAAAACATGTGGCGTTATTACACAGCGCAGAAACCTACCCCAGTGGTTGCACAAACTCTGGAACATGCCGGTTTTCCTATTGTTGTCTCTCAAGCATTCACCAAACCATGACATCTGAACGTCTTTCCTGTGTATGAGTCCATAGCCTACTTCTGCACATTCGAAGGCGTCGCCGATTGGGACCAATGACTCCGTTCCAGATGTCCCTTCTGGAATAACGACAACGTCGACCTACAAATAAAATACGTATTTGATACGATGAATAGTCTGATTCAATTTTTCCTGATTTCTGGAAGTGTTTGCAAGATTACCATGGAATCATTTTGACCGAAATCCGCCAATTTCATATAAAGATATGTATAAAACAGCATATGATGCATATAACCGATGCACATTTCCAAGTCTGCTGTCCACTAGGCATTCTCGTCATAATTAGCTTGTCTCTATTGACCTTATGACCCAAGACATAGCCTATGAGATTATGTGTAGCCACAATATGGCTGGCCATCTGGACCAGTGTATCGTCATACTTTTAACGCCGTAAAAATTACCTTTAACTCCGTAAAATCAAAAACAATTTTGTACGACGTCAAAAAGTGGTGTCTTCTATCATACCTTCTCTTCATTCAGTGCTTGGATAACGTCTTGCCAACCATCTTCGATTCGGATTTCCAAAACATCGGAATCTGCAACCTGGAAGCCATTTCTACGTGCGCAATACTTGTCCATGAACCAAAACTGTCGAAATCCTGGAATCAAGAAATTAAAATTATGATTCAAAAATCAAAATGTTCGTGAATGGGATAACTGTATACACTAGTCTGTAAAAAATCAGGTGACGTAGATTGAGACCTACAGGTACATGCAGGGGTGCATTCAGAAGTACACATAGTGTTAAAGGCCAGGTGGAATATCAAAGTGAATATCACATAAACATACATTGTTGGACAGTGTTCATTAATCAATTTATTTTGCTAAGGATTACCATATTCATATATTTTGGTTTTTATTCTACTCACCGATCGACTTTCCGGGAATATCCATAACGCTTGACACTCCCGATCCTGGACGAGTGAACATACGTGACTTGTCGACGGACAAAAACGGACTGGTGAAGTTGAGGATGTTGAGAATGTCTCGAATAGGAACCCAACCGACACAAGCGTCAAAATGGCGATCCATTAACCCTATGATCATGAGTGAAACAAGAATGATTCTATAATATTGGACATCAAAATCTAGAAATATGTGTGGTGGGAATCATATCATCTAAATATCGCATTAAAAGTTTGACGATTAGTGTCTTTTTCTATTGTATTAAGTTATCACCAAAGAAGGTGAGCAATACCTCTTTGGTATAACCCAAACGCATATAATAATATATAATATAAATTGGTATAACGCATGTAATCGTCAGAAATACGGGGAATCATCCATATTCTAGGGCCATTTGTAATCTCGTTTTAACGATCTTTTCATATTCCATTTAATATTTATATGATTGGCTATTATTCACTTGATCAAGTCCTTTTCAAGTTAATCGGTATATAGCTTACCAGACGAGGTGAGCTCCTCCTGGTTAAAACATTTGTCAAGGTGGTCATCGATGAAGACCGTGTCGCATTTCTTATCACAATGGGAGCAGACTGCAGCAATAAGGTCGTGGAAGAAACCTACTGAATCGCCGCTAGTCTCATCTCTGGAAAGATTATACATACACGTGTTTAGGACAATCTATCGCATCATTCAGTTTGCGTCCCTTTGGACGCACATCTTTTCAATTCATGTTCATTTATATTTTAATAACTTCAATAATGTTCGGTATATGATCATGAAATCAATAGTAGTTTCGATTTTTAAAACAATCAATTGATATATAGCTTCAGCTACTATTTCTAGTAAGTAATGAACGGTATTATTTGAGTTTCCGTGCTACAGGCCAGATCTACAATCCTCTTATGTAACTTACTGAAACGTGTATGGTTTCCAGTTTCCCTCAGTGGCAAATAAGTATATTCTGAAACAAAATATTTTAAATGTAATATTCAAATGATTTTTTAAAAATGTATTTGAAAATTCTTTCCTGTAACACAGCACAGCATAAAGAGATCCTTTTTATAACATGGAAAGGGCAACAATACGTTAGAGGCAGTCAAATTGTAGATCCATTTATAAAAGGAAATTTTACGAGAATTGTACATCCATTTGACGGAAGAGGATTGTACGAGATACCTGTATGTGTATATGATGAACATTTTAGATTGTTCATTATTCATTGTTTTCTTGGTTTTCTGAAACTACGCGAGACCAAGTGAGATTTATTTTCCAAATTGGTTAGCCACGCCCATGGTGTGTACTCAATGGATCAGTCACATTAATATACAATAGAACTAACTTGTCTTTTTTATTGTCAGTCGTAGAATTCGTTGGTGGAACTTTCGAGGGCTCATTCGGTAGTCTAATACATGCCTGCGTCACCCCTACTAACAATAGCAGAATTGTCAACTCCATCTCTCAATCTGGAATCAATGCAAAACAGTATTCCAAAACACTTTTCTGGGACATACAATCAAAATGAAGTCTTATAGTCTACTAGTAAAATGCCATGTTTGGGAACAACGTCTCAATGTTTATTGCCTTTTGTTTTTTCTTTTCTTGGTACTCTTGAGCACGAACGTCAAGTAAGTTTCTGGCGAAAGCCGGAGCATAGATTATTTAAAGTGTGCGCCTGACCCGGCTACGTATAGCACAGAGTTTATACTGGCGGATTAGACTAGTTCATTTTTTATATGTGTGTGAAAGCTTTCTCTTATTTTCGTTTTTTCGTTTAGTACGGTTCTGTTATAATTGCCGAGGTCATATAACCGGGATAAAACAATGATTATCGTTGACTGCCCACACACAAAACATACGTTGAGTGAACAGTGTTATTACAAACAACAGGCTTTAGAATACAAAGCGGAGTGTGATGATAAGCTGTACACTACCACTGCTGCATGTACATATTACTAATTTACTAGGGCTCCCAAAGAGTGGATAGGGAGGTTGTGTTTGTCACTTTTAAATTTTACATTTCAAAATTGTCATTTTACATGTCATAATAAATTTGTTGGTTTCATTCGTTTAGCCAATCAAAACATTGTAAAACAATAAATTGTCTGTTACGTACAATCAATTTTGTTCAGTTTTGATTAGTTGTCAGAATAAAGTTACGTTCATCTGATTCCATGTATCAAAACAAAAATCCTATTTCACTTCAAAATACTTCAGTGAGATGAAGGCTCGGAATTGTCACATGCAATAACTTATTGTCGTATTCGTTATTTTATCTTCTCGATAGTAGCATTTAGTCGCACATTTGATGCCAGGTCACCTTGTCGCGTACCTCTTGGGGAACCCCACATTTATGTGTGTACTCATGGAAGTAAATTCCCCGTTGTAGCCGAGAGCCACAAACATTTCAACAGGTTCGAAATGACCAATTTCTCTCATATATACTCTAAATATTTTATTATTGAGCACCTACAAAGTATTGCTAATAACCATATGTAATTTCAGTAAGGAAACTTATCTGGCTACATATAAATTCAATATCAACACTAGCTGTTCTCTCAACACGTCCTGGCTTACCTTGTGGTGACAAACCCTGGATTTTCGCTATTTATAGTTTATCAACACCTGGACGCATGCGCATTTTATAGTTTATCGGGTACTTTAAGAGGACTGGAAACAAGAATGACCTACCTTTTTATTTCCCGAATCTCGCTTGAAATTAGCTCATCTTGGTGACTGTAGCCTGTATATCTGTATTAATGGAGTCTCTTTGTATCGCATCTGCCTCAATTTTAAAGTTTTATTGGTATTTTTAATATGATTTCACTGTTTTTGTGGACTGGTACGATTGGGCCAAGCAAATGGCAGCTGACCTGTTCAAAGTACTTTTAGTACTAATTATCGCAAATGACAACAATTTTGGAAACAATATTATACTAAATAGATTACTAAGCATCTAAGGTAAGTAAAACTAGATGAAGAACCGAGTCAATAGTGATAAATAGGCCAACACGAGTTGGCAGAGTTGAAATAGACTGCCATCTTGTTTCCAGTCCTCTTTATAATCTATGCTCCAGCTTTCGCCAGAAACTTACTTGACGTACGTGCTCTCGAGGCTGACGGACATATCAAAACTAACATATCGAAGGCGCAACATAACTCCTTGAGTTTGAATGATCGAGTTCGAAATATTTGATCGTCAAATTACGGATGTAAAAAAAGTATCTTTTAAAACATATACAAATACAATAAAACTGAACAGATTAAATAAAGAGGCAAATTATGAAAAGGTCCTCATTTGATACCCAAAGCTAAACATTTACTGTAGAGGTCAATGTATTTCAAACAAGTATGTATGTTTCAAACTTTTCACAGGTCTTGAAAAGGTCTGTTCACTGCCTTCATAACAAGTGTAAACAATGGCAATGTCATTTCAAAAAGATTTCAACCTTGAGGCCCAGATCCATGGCCATTTATATCACGATTTGTTCTCAAAGCTCGACAACTTTGTCCTTTCTTGTTATATTTGTTTGACCGTGGGCACAGCAAGGCAATCTTAATTTGTTGATGTATCTGAGTCAAATGGACAATAGCAGTTATATATCATTAAAGCTAATGTTCACAATTTCAATTCCAAAAATGTTTGAAGTAACATTTTTCTGTAATTCCAAATTTAAGCAGGCATCTTTTCACTTCAAAATTTTAATCACGAGTTTTTGTCTTATTCCCACCCAAAAATCAATACAGCTGTGAAAAGATCAACATAAAACTAAAAGAGACCAATGGGAATTAAACTAAACAGAACGAGGTGTGACATATCGCTACGCTCAGATTTCTACAGTCATACTTTTGAAAATGTTTTAGGTTTAAAATGCTCATGTGGGTATAAAGATCAGACGAAGGTACATTTCCTCCTTAATTATCCTCTTATATTTGAAGGAAGAATATAGACATATATACATGTATATATAAATAACATGTATCATTTGTTTATTGTTATTAGCCTAAACCCCGACATGCAGTATTGGTTAAGAATTACAAACAATAAAGATGTGATATATTCTCAGACAAAGGAATGAATTTTGTGTTTGAATACTCAAATATTTATCTAAATGAATTTTAAATATTTTTTTCAAATGTTTGGACATTAAATTAAAAATACCAATACGTGTTCTCCTGTTTTCTGTATCCTGAATTAGAACGGGCTGGATAGATCATAATTTACTTAGGATTAGGCTATGGTTGTCACGAGCTTATCCCCATGAAGCGCAAATACATGAAACGTGACCCTTTCTGTTTAAATTTGTTTCAGTAAATAACCGATTATGATTTTCGTAATACTCGATCATTGACCAGACACGTTTTATTGGTTTTTAATATCCAAAAAGTAAATTGATAAGAAATGTTTCTTTCTGGACCTCATCTCAAGTACAAAGAAGACGAAACTAGTTGCCATAACATATCTCATTAAATCGAAATTAAAATACACATGGCTCGAATCAAACATTCCCTTGCATCCGAAATCCGAAAAAATGAACGAGTCAGACCCACAATAACGATCGGGAACTAGACGATTGGGAAGTCAGCCAACATATATTAGATACATAAATCCTTATAGCGACCCACTATAATAATTGGAAAAAATGGAAAAGTTAGACAATTTCCAACAATTTCTTCTAGCAATTATATATGAGTCCCAAGCATGTGTGCAACATACATGAATATGTCTATGTTATGTCACTTTGCATATTGGTGAAAGAATATATTATACTCTCGCTATATATAAGTAAGTTGAGAGCACATTTTGTAGATGATAAGTTTTACTAACATCATTACCTTTTTGGAAAATGTCCAACAGTTCTTAAATTACTTCAATTTACGATAATTCGATTTGAAAGTTTTCTGGCCAAAAAATGGATGAAATTTCTTTGTAATCGTAATGAATTTAGGTATACCTTTATCTAAACTCATCAATGACTGCTATATTTGATCAGATTTTCTTTAAAACCAGAATAAGGATCCTGAGAAAAACATCTGCAAGATTGATTTCAGTGATTTTCCAATTCTAATTATTTCAAGAATTAATGTAAGTTACTAAAATACCTTCCGTCACTACAGCTAACTGCGAAAACGTGAATTTTTAGTTTAAAACTTGTGAACAAGGTACTTTGACAGAACAAGATCTAGGGTTGAACGCATTGCATAATATTTCGACTACAAGTTTTTGAAATTCGCAAAAAGTAAAAGCCGCGATATACGATATAATAATTAAAATGTAAAATAACCAATAAAAAAATACAAACGTTGTTTAGCCTTGAAAACCTTGGATTCAGCACTATTATAACCTGCTTGTTAATTTTTAGACATATCAAAACCGAGGCTATCTAATAAATGTATAAAAATAATTAGCGTTTAAATATTTAAATCATTTTACTCCAGAGTTTTTGATTAGTTATAATCTCACAGTACTTCAATTCATTCATGATCATGCAATTTTGAACAAAAAAATATTTAACAAAATTATAAGAATAATATTACCTTAATTTTGCTCCAACTTGTTCTTGGATACAGGGCCTTTGATTGTTATCGAACGTTTATAATATATAGTTGATTTATAAAAAACTAAATCAAATATAAAACCACTTTAAGAATAAGTATTTTGTATCGGGTGTTTTTGCGAGTGATATAATGCATTCAATACTTGGTATTTATATTAGAATTCTTAAATAAACTGTACGAGGTAACAACGACGAATGTTCAGAATAAAATCCTAAAATGGGCGTAGTGTTAAGAAACCTGATATCTCCACGTATCGATTATAAACATTGACTATTGGTTTCCTATAGAAATATATACTGATCTCGAGCTCTAACAAAATATTATTAAGAGATTTCAATATATTAAGTTGAATCGGTCAATCCTGACAATTGGTCATATATTGGACAGTTCAATCAACGTTTCAATAGCACATTGAGCATAAATCCTCTTGTCAATGTTTGCAAACGGATTTCCATCAACGAAATGGCCGTGTCATTTCACGATACGTGGTACATGTTATTCAGTCCAGTTACAGGGTCGGGTCTAAATAACCCCCCTATCACACCAAACTAGTTCTCACCCGTTCTTGCCAGTCCTACGAAAACGTCGTAAAACGGGCTCAATCTGGCTGTGGTCGGGAAATATGTCTGAAATAATCAGCTCCTTCGTTCTTAAACAGTCTTCAATACGTCCATCTCGTTCGCAGTTCGTTCAGGTCGCACCACGTCGGTGTGCAACGTCGTAGAACGCGCCCCTTGGTCTAGAAGGTCAACATGACCTGATTACAGAACGGTATGGTCGCCATCGAATTTTGAATCGATTCAAAATTCTAAAATCACATACCCGTCTGAGAACGTTCATAAAGTTCGTAAATAGACCTTAGAAAGTTGCAGCTACGTTCATTCCGTTCGCACACAGTTTCAAACCAGTTTTGAAGAACGCAGTGGCAACTTGTTTGGTGTGATAGCTATATTTTTGCTAACTCGTTCATAAGCAGTGTTAAATACAGGGGCGTAGGAAGGTGTAAATTCAACACTACGCCAAAAATCTCGTCAAAAATATGAAACAGTTGTGTCAATATTCTATATCAAAACGCCTATTTTATGCTCGTAAAACGTCATTTTATGGTAACAGAGATTTTAAGCTTGCAATGTTTTTCACAACCTAAATGTGAACGGAAATACTTAAGCGATGCATTTGTATAGGCGATTGGTCATACGTATAGGTTGGCGTTTCAATTTTATATGCAAGCTTTAAATCCCTGATACCTTTTTAATGTGCTTTAAAATGTTCGAATGATTTTCATCATTTAAAATCACCTTGGAAAGCCTATCTTTTAAATCTCGACACAAATCATTTTCACTTTGCTAATGTCTCGAACGATTGAGACGACCAATTTCCAAATAACAATGAGAGATTTTTTAATCATTTTCGAATAACTGAATTTAGATATATAGTATTGTCTGATTCCATCGTGTACCGTGCAATACAATGCATGCGTACAGATTAAAGAAACAAGTTTGATCAATTGATATAAAGAAACGCATTCGTGATCAATGAAACAAATAAACACCCCCACCACAAAGGTCAAATCGAGGTCAACGTGACTAAGGGGGTGCCAAAATGTTATAAAACCAAGGATCTATTATTTTTCAAATGAAAAAAATTAGGTAATCGCTTTTCTAGAACTGAAATCAATGGAACGTGTAATTGAATAATCAGCATTTCAAGTTGTTTTTGTCTTTAACATTTATATTTCAAGAAGTACTACAAATGACAATTAGCGATCATGATTTAGTAAGAAAATAGATAATTGTTGACTTAACTATAATTTCGTGTCTATGATTTTGCCTAGCAACGGAATATAAATCGACAGACAGAACAATAATGATATGGTATCCACAAAACATTTCTTTAGGCTAGTGTGCTCGAGATTACTTTAATTTACAATTTATGAACAATGAGAAAATATGACTAAAGAACATAGGAAAATTAATAAGTATTTTTTATTCTCACTTTTCAACACTACGCACTGGCGTTTTGGCGTACATTGTTCCTACGCCACTGAAATACGTTCTTAATCAGTTTAAACCCGTTTGCAATTAGTTCTACCTTGTTCTCAACACGTCCTCAGACAGTTCAACTCGTTGTTAAAACGTCCCTAGTAGGATTGAAGTACGACGGTTACGTTCGCAGTACGTCCAGCTCGTCGTTAGTACGTTGTCACTCGTTCTAATTGTAGAACGTGACGACCACGAGAACATTTTGAGCATTGTCTAAGTTCTAGAGGACCTACCCGTTCGAGTACGTTCGATGAAGTTTGTAAATAGATCCCAAACGGTTCTTAGTAGGTCCAGTCCGTGCGTACACAGTTGAAGCCCGTTTTCGAGAACGTAATGAGAACTAGTTTGGTGTGATAGTAGGGTTACAACCGCAACTGTCTACCAGTTAAGATTGGTGGTTGTTTTACACTTGACAAACAATCGCTTGTTTGCATTGCAATATAATGAAGCATTTAAAAACGTTACGTTAACGTAGATCAATGCGATAAAAAGAGGACAGTGTAATAACAGGCCTTGTTTTCAGGGTAAATGGGAAATGCAATTACGAGTTAGATTAAACAGCTCATTGTAATATGATGTCACAATGAATGGTTATTGTTGCTATAGCAACATGAAAAATGGCGTCGCGGGTCAAACAAAATTTGAATTCATTTTTATTACTTTATCCACAGTTTCTATAGTAACAACTGTTTTGTGATACCATAATTTACATTGCTCTATTTTACTTATCATTTATCAGACTTTCTGAGTTTCAATCGTGACTCCTTCCCACACATCAAACTGCCCATACTACTCTTAAAGAATTAAGGTTCATACAACTTGCTCACACCCACTATTCACCAGATGGAGCACCATATTATGCTTCATTAAATTTGAGATGTTGAAGCTTCATATGAGAGGTAATTAGTTTGATTCCGATAAGGTACTCATTTCAATGACTTGAGCCAATCTTCAAGAGATAACAAAGGGAGGACTGGGAACCGTCCTTATTGACCAGGTTTGTCAACAAAGCATATACATCTAAGCTAATGGAGACTACTATAACTGATTCAAATGATCCTCTCAACACTGAAAAATACTTCTGGATAAGTGACTCTAAAAGGACTGTGTTGCCTCTAGTACAAATAGTTTGAATCATACGTACAAGATGGATTTGTTTTAGCAGGAACATTTCATATTGACATGAATTTGCTGACCCATGGACGACTCTTACTTTTTTACAATAACAATTAAATAAATTGTAGATGTGATAGTTGAGGGGTCTAGCAATTGTATCTGCTGCTGGTGGCTAAGTTATGCGTCCTGACTCGTCCAAGTTATCTAGGGCGTATTAACCGTATTTTCGTATGGCCGCGGTATCTCCAACAAACAGACAACGCAAGTGCGTAGTATATAGTAAGACAAGTTTGGTTTGAATTTGATGAATGCGTTTCTTTGACGAAGAGTGATCCGTTAGCATTGACCAGCAACCTTGAAATGAAGAGGGCAACGCAAGATGATTGGCTAAAACGAATTTGATGAGTAGAATGTAATTTCCGGAGCACCAAAATCTTGGAATTAAATCGAGCACATTTTAAACATTCGTCGAAATTTCAAGGAGAAGGTATCAGGTTGGCACGAGAAGTCCCCGCTTTTTAAAGAAAATAGCAAAAGTAGAGAAAATACAAACAGCTTAATTTATTAATAATAACTTAAGTTCATTTACTTCGGAGTAAAATGTTTTATTTTTGACGTTTCGCTAATCATCCAACTAGCTTTTCTCAAAAATAAAACATTTTACTCTGAAGTAAATGAACTTAAGTTATTATTAATATTACCAGAGTGATGAATTAACACAGAAATGTACTAGCTTAATTTATATTTTTTATTAAATTATATTATTGATTTATTTGTAATGATAACAATCATAATAATATTTATTGAATTTTTTGACTCATGTATTCAATTTAATCATTTAATTATTCTTATAAAAATATAAATAGTATTATATACATAATTATGTTTACATGTATAAATACGATTGTCTTGGATATGACGTCATTATTAAAGCAATTCCATGTATAGCTGGACTAATAGTTGAACTAGATTTACTTATTAGTCAATTGTTAAGTAGCTAATTTCTTCATTCCCTGAGGAATGAAAGTTGCGATTGTTAGCAAGGAGATAAACCTAGATGGGGTCTTTAAAACAGATAGTTTGAAAGTAATTGCTTCTTCTGTCCTTTAAAACTTCGATATACTGGCTTTGACTGCCGTCGATATCACTTTTTACTCTTTTACATAGTATATATTAACTTAGTTCTTTCCTGCCAAGTAGATAAGAGTTCACAAAATTAATTGTCAGTTTTGAGCAAAATTAGTCACCATTGGCACATTGTAATTTACATATCATATTCAGGTGAATATTCGTTATAGTTATTCTTGGGTGGATAATGACTATCGACATTTGTGTTTGTTTGGTATGGATTGCTGTTGTTATCTGAATGTCTTTTAGGCGGCACTTCTCGAGCATGGGGTTCCACCTTGGGTCTGTCAATTTTGAACTGAAAGATCACAAATAGAACGTCATATATGTATCTATAATGTCACTGAACCATTAAAAACTAATTCTAAAATATCAAATTCAGCAAATGCGACGTACAATATTATCAAATGTTTTGTATGTCAAATATTTTAGTTTTAAGTTCAGCTGGCATGATTAAGCCTGTATGTGCTATTTTAAATTTACTGACTATAATTGAGATACTGTACATCATGTAAAATGTGTAAAGATGTTATGTACTTACATTCATATCTGTATTCACTTTCTGATACCATGGAGTCTCACTATTCGATGCACCCACATCTGGCGGATCTGCAAGCAGAAATTCCATTTATACATTGGGTGAGCTTGGGTTATAATTTGGCTCACAGTATTATGCAAGCCTTGCAAATGTGAATGACAAGCCAAAGTCGTATTTCAAATATGTATAGTAAGCCAAACTTACTGAAAAATTCACATATAGATACCATGATCAATCAAAATCTAGCATCTACTTTAGAATAAGTCGATGTGTACTCAAAATCAAATTGAAACACTATGTACATTTGCAAAACAAATTTTGATTGACAAATAAAAACGAATCCACTCATATTAAAGGCTAAACTCACAGTCCACATTCTGCCTGCGCATTCTGTAAGTGTCATTGGTGTACACAGAATAGTCGCTTGTGTTTCCTACTGGTACATTCTTAAAGTCTTTGTACGGGATATCTGTTAAGCTCCGATTGTAGACACCATATCCAAATGACTTCCAATCCCTATCTGAGACGCTGTCCTCGCTCCCGCTCTTGTTGGTCTCTTTGTTCCTTAAAATTTGCATGATACATTTTAAGCGGGGAAATTTCAGGAAGCAATCGTTTCACACATGATTAGCAAAACCATTTCAAAATGTAATATCTATAGATAGATTTTAAGCGGGGAAATTTCAGGAAGCAATCGTTTCACACATGATTAGCAATACCATTTCAAAATGTAATATCTATAGATAGATCTTAAGCGGGGAAATTTCAGGAAGCAATCGTTTCACACATGATTAGCAAAACCATTTCAAAATGTAATATCTATAGATAGATTTTAAGCGGGGAAATTTCAGGAAGCAATCGTTTCACACATGATTAGCAAAACCATTTCAAAATGTAATATCTATAGATAGATTTTAAGCGGGGAAATTTCAGGAAGCAATCGTTTCACACATGATTAGCAATACCATTACAAAATGTAATATCTATAGATATACATAATACCTTAGTCGTTTCTTGCAGAGAATAACTATTAGAATTATGATCACGAGGAAGAAAATTCCGCCAATAGTCCCCAGTACCACAGCGAGCAATGCCTGGATGTTCAAGTCCGCACAATACCTGCCTGCGTACATGAAGTTGCAACTGGAAATAACACAACACGATATGATCAAGAATATAGGATATTATCTAGATTTTGTGCATAGGCATAGATACAGTTAATTATTTTGAAGTGATGCTTTCCTCCATAGCTACAAATTCTAAGCATTTGAAAACACACCTCAATGATACACACAGCTCAATGACCGTCATTATGCACTAAATGATGGAATTAAATACAAAGGAAATGCACAAAACCTTTTTTACCTGCATGTTGGTGAATTATCTTCTTCTACACAGACTCCTCTATTCTGGCATGCACTTTCACTTTCATAGATGGAGCATACAGTACTGATGGCAACTGGAACGTTGAGAGAAGTAAACACTAATCATGATACATAGTCAGTTATATGCTTTATGATGCTCTGGACAGCTCGTTGCAACTAACTTTTGAACTATATTACTAGTTTTTAAGTGATCTTACACCTCGGTCGCAATTGGGCTGATGTCTGGGATTTGACGTGAGTATGGTCACATTAGATACGAATGATACGGGCTCCGTACGTCACTTGTCGGATTAAATCGTACGGACATCTGAAAGATACTATGGGGTGCCCATGCGACTATCGTTGACGATGACTGAACCGTCATGATGACCGTACGGTAACCACACAATGTCCTGTTGGTAGATTCTCATGAGTTTGTCAGAAAAATCAAAAAGACATTGTTGACGTATATCTCCGTAATAAAAGCCCACCTTACGACGTCTCAAATTAGGCTGATGGTGGCCGATGATCTCCAACGCCCGTTCGGTTCCCCAACTTGGCGGCCGATTTTGGCCAAAAAACTCATTGGCCGGCGCCGCATCGGAAATCGGTTCTAATGTGATTGAGGTATTAATGGAATATGTTTGAAATTACTATTATATTAAATAAGTAGAGGTATTAATAACTGTGATTTTGTTCGTTAACTAACCTTGTTTTCCATTTTGCTCTACAGTTGGGTCTCCTTTTACAACATACGCACCCCCATCAGAATCAGTAAGACTACCCCCTCCTTGTTCAATGGAAGAGATAAGCTCTAAGGCAATGTTCGATTTACTCTCGGTATCCAGTGTAGAGTCATATGTGACATCATGCTTTACCCCTAAACTCCCGTCACTGTCAATGAAAAAATCGAATAACAATAAAACTATTATGTAATTGCTCATATTTGAGAACTGCTTTTCCACAGCAATTTCCGTTCTTACGATAATCGTGCATTCTAATACTGATGGATATTCTCAGTGTTGAAAGGAAAGTATCCATTAATTAAACTTAGTCTAGTAATACCACTTATCTATATGTATAATAGAACCCACATATGCACTAATAAAAAATAGATGTCGGTTCAACTTACTACAATTCTATGATGAGCACAGAGGCGAGTGTGATTCCCCTCACTCGGTTGTAGATATTGAAGAACTAAAATAAAGTTAGTATCAAATTAAAAGCGATAAAGGCTCCTTTAGAATTAGCATGTACCTATATAATGTTATATAGGAATACATCTAAGATATATCTCTTAATTAACATACAATTGAATAATATCTATGCTTACCATATTTGTTAGAGTCTTATTTAAGGCAATTGTTTCTGTATTGTTGGGGTTGTCATAAACACCAGTTTTAAATGTCATTTCAAACAGTATATTTACTGTGACAGTATTAGCTGAAATAATGTTCAACATGAATCATGAAATACAAGAATGACTTTATCAACTAATAATTACTAATAATATATGATTTTGACAATCCTACCTTGGTTGAATGCGTTAAAGATTACAAGAGTAATTGTGTCAAGGCATTACATGTGGAGTATTGGTTATATCCATCAAAGAATAATTCACAATTACCTGAACTGTTTCCCACAGGTGTAGTTGTAACACCTGTAGGGTTTTGTGTGGATTCTTGAACATTAAGTGTCGATATTTCATCCGTAGTTACTGGTATTGTAGCACTTGTGTCATTTGCTTGTGAAGTTGTAACATCTGAACTTCCAAATGTTAATGTTGTAACACTTGTTGCATTTGGTGAAGATGTTGGTGTAGATTCAGATGTAACATTTGCAGTAGACATTGTATTAGTGGTTGGTTCATTGTTGGTTGTTATTGTGGTAACTTCCAGGCATGTACCATTGATCTGCACAGCAACGTATAGGATGTTTTATAAACTGTCATTGTTGTTTCTATTTTATGGTTCGTAAAAGTGTCAAAATTATGTTTGACTCAACAATTCTAGCGGAGTGAAATTCACATTTGACAATTTATAACATCAATTACCAAATACGAGGGTTGATCATAAAGTTCTCATAATATCTCTCTAATTTCTTTGTTTTTCAATATACTCTAATGAAATTTTCACAGAATGTGCAGCTTAGAATGTCTTATTAATTCAGCAAAACATATTTAGTTCAACAGAAATATTTAATAAGAAATGGTTGCCATAGTAACTGGAAATCAAGGCACCCGGGGCAAATAAAAATAATTGAGAGAATGAGCTTAATTAACCATGTTTGCATACATAATAAACTCTCTCATGAATTATCAAACACGTTAAAATGTTAACTTGGATATGTTGTAAAGTGCTTTAACAATGATATAAATCGATCGTGTAAATTGTGTGATATCATAGGGGATGATTTCATGCTTCATTAGATGTGATACCACAGTCTGAGACTCAAAGCTAATGATCAGAAATGACTGAGTAAGAGAATGCAGTGGATGCAGAGATCTTCAGAAAAATAAAATTCATACTGATAAAATGTTATGTTAAGTTTGTAAGATCCTTTGGTCAGACTAAACATGATCTAAAACAAATATATTGCTAGATATCAACAAAATTACACGTTGTGTAAGGTCTGTATATGTTAAAATTGAACTAAAGGGGCAAAATCAATTTTCCTCGGGATACTTGACAAAACAGTCATGGGGTCCAACAGTCACTTCTAATGAAGCATAACAATCATCCATTATGAGATAACACAATCCACATGACCATTATAATAGTTCACAACGATCAAGAGCACATATTATTTGACAATTTAATGTGTTTGATAGCTTATTTGACAACTTATTATGTATTTAAACATGGTTAATGGGGGCTAATCTAGCTAGTTTTTTTATTTGCCCCGGGTGCCTTGATTTCAAGTTACTATGGCAACCATTTCTTATTTGATGTTTCTGTTATTCTAAATCTTTTTTGCTAGAACAATAAAACATTCCATGCTGCACATTCTAAGAAAATTTCATAGGAAAATATTGAGAAATAAAGAAATTAGAGAGATATTATGAGAACTTTATGATCAACCCTCGTATATCTCGTCATTGGACTTTCCTGTTGTTGTAATGATTAGTCAAATAGATTATTTGTATTTGTTGTGGATATTTAATTAAATCACGTCGATTAAATATTACAAAATAGATGGATGTTCAAACTTGCAATACCTTTGTATAGCCCCCTTCACAAGAGCATATATAAGAGCCTGGGGTATCGGTACACACAGCATTTTTTCCACATGTGCCGTTGCCGCATTCATTGATATTTTCGCACTCTGTACCATTGCCATCATATCCAGATTTGCATGTGCAGTCAAAATATCCTTGTGTGTTTGTGCAATCAGCATTTGGATCACAAGGTTGCAATGTGACACACTCGTTTATATCTACAGTAGTTTGAAAAATGTTTACAAATGAATGAACTGCAGACTAAAAGGTATCATGATAAGCTTCTCTTACTTTTCAAAGTCATCAGTTTTAATGTTATATACTTTGGACAACTTTATTTGTCAAGTCTGAAAAAATAATATGGAACCTGAATGAATTATTTAAAGATCAGTGACAAGTCTATGCCAGAAAACTGGTTTGTTTTACTCACCTACACATTTAACTACATCACCATCCTGTTTATATCCTGCATCACATATACACGCATAGGATCCATTATTGTTAACACATTCAGCATTATCACCACATATTGTAGAGTCAGCACATTCATCTATATCTTCCTCGCAGTTCTCTCCTCTCCAACCTGGTACACAGTCAGTACAACCTATGCTGGAATTGCATTTTCTGGCTCGACTACCACACTCACAGAGGTTTGCACAGGCAATGCCCCAATGTGAGGAATCACACACTAGAATAAGAATAGTACACATTCATCACAACAAATGCTTGCATCGTATCATCCGGCTCAGCTACTACATTAACATAAATCAGCCCAGTCAATGTCCTAATGGAGTCACACCTCGCAATGGATTCCTTACATATGAATAACATGATTTATTTAAATTACTCGTTGTTTAGTATCATACCATTGTCAACGAAGTATTTGTTAAATGAATTTATAAGATATGACTATGAGTACATGTTCGTAATTGAAGTTACCTTGACATGACTTTTGATCATGGCCTAGCTGAAACCCTGTATCACAAGTGCACTGAAAACTACCATCGGTATCTGTGCACCCTCCAGCACATCCATGAGAACCAAGATCACACTCATTTATATCTGCAAAAACGAACAATGTCATTTAACGATATCCAAAATATCATTTTCCTCCCCATAATATAAAGTTTAAATTCACACGGTGGTAAACTTTGTAAATGTTATTCACCAAAAATGACTTAAATATTAACTGTTGACCTACTTGTACAATTTTCAGCATCGGTAAGATTATATCCACTCTTACAGAAGCATACTGGTGGATCTGATGTATTCCTACATCCATATTCGCAAGTTAATCCTTTGTCCAAACAAGGTCCCAGGGACTCCTTATCTACAAAAACATTTGACCATCATTATCATCAAAAGAATTTAAAATGATTTGGTTTACAATGTATGATTTGTTACTAGTTTTTTTTTTTTTTTTTTTTTTTTATAAAATCAAACTTTATTAATAAACATATTTTACAGTGCATGCATACAATTAGATAAAATACAAAAAATACAATTATAGAAATTTCAAGTTACATTACATCTTTCTGATCATTATCTCAGTATCAAAAATGGCTTTTACATTACAAGCTGTATTGACCCTTTTTTTAAAATCATGTATAGATTTTTTAATTACCAATGTTTTAAGTAAATCTTCTTTTTTAACAATTGCATTTCCAATTTTTTGATCATTTGTAACATTTACCTCATTCCAAATTGATTTAATACAGTCACAATTGATAAAGAAGTGGTCAATGACATCTTTTACATGTGCGTTACAAAAGTTACAGATGTCAGAGTTTTCTATGTTACATTTCTTCAAATAAATATTTTGAGGGTAAATACCATGTAAAATTTTCCATTGAATTACCAAAAGGGTAGTATCGGTTGTACATTCAAAAAACTGAGACCAGACTTTATCGTTTAGAATCTCACCATTAAATTTTACTTTTTTTGTTACTAGTTAATCTTGATGTATTTTTCTGCAATCTGGGATTTGCCACTACTATATATTGCTTAATTTGAGTTGTTTTTTCAAATTTATTTTGTACTTCAATAACCCCATTAGAAAGAGGATGGTATGTGGTTGTTAATTACTCCACAAGAATAATACGTATAATGGCAAATAACTCTCTGCTTGAATACCTCTTTGACAGGATTTTCCATCTCCATTTAGTGAAAATCCATCCTCGCAGCTACATGTGAAATTGCCCTCAGTATTGTTACAACTCTGTTCACATCCACTCGTTCCTTCACTACACTCATCAATATCTATATAGAAGACATTCACAAGCTTTATTTCATATCGCTCTCGCAAAAAAGTTTCCTTTGGCTTATTTCAAGTTGTTTATTACATGTATTGCTTGAGCATAACCAAATTGCATTCTCGATTCATTACAATGAAGAAATGAAATAATATCAAAAGTGGCTGCAGTTGAAACAATTTTCATCTTTTTACAAGAAAAAAGTGTTATAATTATTTTACCTTGACACTGTGAGGAATTAATGGCTGTGTACCCTGGTACACATTCACAATAATAACCACCCTTCGTGTTGATGCATTCCTGTTGACAGTTATTTAGAGTAGCGTTGACACATTCATCAATGTCTATAATAAATATAGTGAACAAAATATCATAAAGGTAAGTGATTACTGAAGAATCGTTTATTCATTTACTTAAATTGCATGTTCACTCTTGTTCACTGTGCTATACGAAAGCAAGTGATGCAGATATCATGTGCGCAAGGTGCGGATATTAACGGTAATTTTTGAATTTGTGATATTTCATAAACTAAGGTATGTTGGGTACTCAATTATGTTCATCCCTTTGTAGAGGATACCTAATAAAAGGGGAATCATGTCTTTCGTTGTATTCTTCATTCTTTAACGACGCACTTAGCATCCATCCTTGCTCCATAGCAAAGAATTTGAAAATGCTTCTTTATTACATCGTTTACAGCCTTCATTCAGTATTGTTGATCGAGATTTTTTTTTTTTTTTATAAAAACTATATTTCAAGAATAAAACATATATACAATTATACATTATACATAGGCCTTATTACATTGTTTAATTTCTGTACAGTTTTTCTTTTTCAAAATAAGCAAGTATATTTCCAGTTTTGTCGATATTGAAGATTTGTATTGCCCTCCTGGCTATTAACACTTCTTTATAATTCTTATACTTATTAATTCCTATAATTTGCTCAAAAGTGATATTATCAAAAAATTTCCATATATCCCTTATTTTTGTACACTCATAAAAATTATGTCTAACATTGTCAATAACATTACAATTCTCGCAAAATGAACTATCTCTAATTCTAAAACGATTTAAAATCTCATTACATGGATATATGTTATGTAATGTTTTCCAGTGAATAATTAGGAGTTTGGCATCTACTTTGCACTTGAAAGCTCTAAGCCAAGTTGCACATGAAATATCCTTACCATTATACTGTAAAATCAATTTTCTTTTATCTGTACATAGTTTTCTAAAATCTGATGTTTCATAAAATGTTATCTCTTTACTATTTAAATATAATTTGAAATCATCATCTGCTTTTACATTACCATAAAGTAATATTACATTTCTATTGATACAATTTGAAAGACCAATGTATTGTATTAGTGTCAAAGGATTCCTACCAATAATCCTAGATATTTCGCCATATGTCATTACTCTATCATTGGTTACAATATCACTTACAAAATTTATACCTTTTGCGATCCAATTTGTAAAACATATTTTATTTCCACTTATTTTGAACTTTTCATTATTATATGTTGATCGAGATGACCAATCGATATAAATTATTTTTGCAATTTGAGTGTCATTCACTTTCTGTGTGAATTTTTAAAAAATTGAAAACATTTATTGTTTAGAGGTAGCACATTTTTGTTTAATGTTTCCCTTTTTGTATAAAATCACGCAGAAACCTTTCAACTTTCAAAATTAAAATATAATTTGTATTGATAGGTCATCTCGATCACCAATATTGAGCTGTTTACACTGCGAAACAGCTGCAATTTCAAATTATTAGCTTCGGAGAGAGCATCATTGCTTAATGCGTCGCTATTGGATGAATTACACACCTACCAGATCGTTCAATAAGTTCATGCAAAAACATTCTCATTTTTTATTTTTCAATGTTTTTCCTTGAAACTTTTACAAATCAAAGAAAAAACCTAATCATTGAAAAACAAAAAATAAATTACTTTGTTATGATTGGTCAAAAGTTATGGATGCTATGGTAACCCGTGTTTTGGTCACGCTGGACAATATTTTCTCTTTGCGAATCCCACCATTACCTTTTTATAAGGGAACCTGTACACATCATCATGACTGTATGAATATAATTGAGTACCCAATATGCATAAGTTGGTGAAATATCACGAAATTAAATTAAAAAATGACCATTAATATCCGCACATTGCGCACATGATATCCACACCGCTTGTTTTCGTATAACACGGTCTGCATGAAGTGTTTTAGTTAAACATTATGAAACCAAACGATTCAGGCCCGGATGGAACATGGGTTTGTGATTTCTCTGGAGCTGCATTCTGTACCTACCAATGCATTTGTAGTCAACAGGAATAGTGCCATCGGGACACTGTGAACAGTTGAATGAGCTGCCAGTTATCTGTTGCTCTGATGGCGTAACATCTGTGCAGTTAGAACCCTCACCACAGGGTTCACCTTCGCAACCATCAATGTCAACCTCACAATTTTCTCCTGTAAGAAGAATTCTTAAGTATATCATAGTTAGGCATAGAAATAAATTGTTTAATCTTGGGCCATTAATCCATGGCGTCTGTCCTTCAACTTAACAATGAAGTCGTTATGAACACTCTCAAAAGAGACCATATCCACTTACCTTCCCAGCCTGTATTACAATCACACATCGCTTCATAGAAGTACCCGGACGTATCAGTCTGTTCCTCCGTCTCTGTTTCGAAATTGCAAAGTCCGTTTCCATTGGTACAATTAGAGCATACCCATATCACCAGTCTCGTTTCTGGAGATCTGGCTCCCAAATCATCTTCAGCCACAAAACTAGAATTAAGAACAATAAGGTGCATGGTATTTCACACTAAATTAAAGCAGCAAATTAAGCGATAACAGTCCATGGCATATATCTTGCAAGTCCCAACGGTGACGAAAACATCAATAAGGAAACAAATAAACTATTATAGGTTTAGAAGATAAACTGTCCTAATATACAGATCAATAAATAAAAATGTGTATTCTCAACGACATCATACTAACGATATGTTGAATGGTACAATACTTGATGGCGTAAAGTTGAATACACCACTTTTGTTGTCAAATTGCGCTCCAGTGGGTAACGAGGATGTGAGCAGAATAAAGACAGTATCACTGTCATTATCAAATGCTGTGACCACAAACGTGGTTTCAAAACCTACAGTAAAGTTCTGAACGGCTGCAACACTCAGCCTCGGAGCAAAATTCTCTGAAAGACAAAGAAAAAAATAAAACAAAGTGTTTGTTTATAAAATAATTCTATTTCACGATATCTTTGTTTATTCATAAATATCAAATCCGTTGAACTTTTGGATTTTCTAACTGTGTTATATATTTTTTCTTTTTTTCTCTTTTTGCAAGTGCGCTTACAAATCCTTTTAACTGATACAATGATATATTAATATACCAGACTCCTTTGCGTCAGCTGTATTTGCCAGGTCTGTCGATAACGTAGCATTCGCTACACTCTCGTCCCCTGTAGCAAGGTAATCAAATACACAAGCTATTTCATCTTTGCATTTAGTTTTTGCTTCATTCTGCTCTTCTTCAGTGAAGTTTGATAAAAAGAGTGGCTCAAATGAAGCATCCGAGAAATTTCCGGTTGTCACATCATTCGGGTACCAAAATATTGATTCGCTGTAGGTTATCCTCCCTGTAAGTAATATTAACAAGGTAAAATGTAACCACCTGCAATACGCTATGGATACTGATCACAAAATGTGAAACACCAACCGCCGAACAACGTCCACAAAATATTGAAGACTATAACAAAACTTGGTGGTTGCATTTATTATTTTCATTTTATCCGCACCAAGTTTGTTACTTTGTGACCAGTTGTGATTTGTGGAGTATCGTTTACTGATTATGTTACTGAGTTTAGTAATAAAAGATGTCCCTACATAGCTCCCCGAAGTCATGATAGATTGCCCAATCAGTGCTGTTGTCTGGAAGAATTTCACCGTTAGGTTTTGTGAAATCATCCAACGTATTTCCATTCAGCGTCCCCATGAGACCCGTTGTTGTGATTGAAGAATTCGTCAATATCGGCGCTGTTATTGTGATGCTTAAGCTCCTCACAGAAACGGAAACGTTTAATGAGAATCCTACAACAAAATGGATTCGGAACGGTTGGCAAGGTCATCAATAGTCTAGGTCCTTTATACAAACATATTTTTACAGATTTTGACGTTGGATTTGATAAGTAACAAACTAATATCTAATGCCGTAACCTGGAGTTTTTTTTTACTTTTTTTACTAACCAGTAGCAAATGCTGCCGTCACAACTCCATCTGAGTCCACGCCCACACTGAGGCTTGTTTCGTCCAGTGTTGTTGGAGGTTCCTCATTTGCTAACTGCTCAACGGCATCCGTTACATCTTTCCCATTTACTCGAATAATCATATCTTTACAAAATATATCAAACCATCATTAATCGTAGCGTATGCAATCTTTTTAATGCCGACAATGCTGAAAGGCGTCGATTCAATCGAAAATTGTGTCTTTTGTCTGGAGATGAGATTAGCATACATGTATCTAAGTTGATAACAAATAATCACTAACATCTTAAATGCTGATTATTTTATAATTACTCATCCTAGCTTACCAGCCATGTTATCTGCTAGCTCTACATAAAATTCATCTGAAGATTCTTTTGCTGCAAATGCTGTGAAGACAGTTGCTCTCGTTGCAGTTCCATTAGATGTCAGGGCTCTGGATGTTCTCCCTTGGAGTGTAAAATAGTCATCAGTGGTCTTGATCAACCAATATTCTCCCAACCCGTTAAATGTGTATGTCTTGCCATCAAGTGTTCGAACGTGAGGATCACCCCAGAACCAAGCTAAACAAAGAGTCAAAATACCTCATCATACATTTCATTGATCTATAAAAGTTGCGAATTTACGTAGCAAATATCTAATGGCGTTGGGTATATTATTTTTTGATTATAGAAGATCGACACATAATCTAAGCACGTAAGTGTATAAACTTACCCCAGCGGGGTGGAACATATGCCTGGCATGTGTCAACTGGTCTCAACTCAGTAAATAACTGGCAGTTATCTGACGCCTCACAACAATAGTAACGGGGAAGGGTGTCTTCATCCTTGTGTAGTCTGCTATAAAACCTGTAGTGGTACCGCTCAAAATGTCCAGCCCCGTATCTGACATCCGTCAACAACGTCCCCCAAGACCACCAGTTAGTCCACCAATCATTGTTATAGCAACACGACTAGAGGATGACAAAGGAGCATCAATTTCAGAAGGTTATATCTTGGATTATGACCCCATTTTGAAGATGTTGACCCCATTTTCACCAAAAATGCAATCATTTTTTACAATGTTTAATGCATTACTATTATTTATTTTAATGTATCAAATAGTTCTTGAAAGAAAACTTAATTGCATTAAGATAAGTGTTCCCCATGTTATTTCTCCATTGAAAAGTCTCATGCTATTCATTGGTTTCAGTTCATTTTGGTCATCCAAATAACGCAGATGCGAGTAGGTAGTTACCAGTTTCGCCACCAGGTGGCTCGTTCGGGTCAGATAACATGGCGGGTATAGTAGAAAGTTCCCTTTAACTTAAATTACATCTGTTTTAGTGGTTCAATTTTTATATAACCCTTATGTATCTAATAGTTATGCAAATGAAAATATGTCCACTAAAAGAAAATGTTATCTGTCCAATACAAGAAAAGATATTCCACTTTTTTGTGATTTTGTAACATGGAGTCTATGGGGAATCAACCCGCGCTAGAAGTCACATTTTCAAAAAAAAAAATTTAATGACGTAAATCTAGATTATTTCTATTCGCATCTAGTCTATTGAATATCTTTAAAGTCCCTGGAACAATCAAATTTTCCTTTTAGGAAATCGAACATGTCTCAAAGCACATTCTAATTATGCATTCAACAATATAATAATAGGCTGCATTTTTGGTGAAAATTAGGTCAACATTTTTGAAAAAGTATGTTGATTGGTCCATTGCCCCTTTAATATCACTTTGGTCTGATTAACTAAATTATCATTATATATACTTTTCTTGAAGATAATGAATGGATCTAAAAGATACACCCATGTTCATGATCAAAAAATATTCATAATTCAAGTTAGAATCGTTTGAAATTGTTTGCGATAACCTACGTGCTCCTTTACTTTTATTGCAATCTAACATGATATTATTCATTTTGGGCCGACACCTACATGAATATTTGCCCCACAAATGTCGCATTTGCATCGATTGAACAAAATACTCAATCGGCCGGGCGCATCTTGTACGATGTGTATGTATTGAAGTGTTCGACTTACTGATTGAACATTCATTCATTGGACATAAGAAAAGTATTACTCGTGAATTTAATAAAATAGTATCATTTAAAATCCCCGAAAGAAAAAAGGTGCGAAATTTCCCATTTCCACCCTTATATATATACCGTCCGACTTACTTGTCCATGTCCGTGTCGACTTGGGAACCTCTGGTGGGCACAGAATGACCACCAGTCCATTCTAAACCGTCTGTCCCGCCATGCATGCCATACCACACACGGGCATGGTAGAACCTCCCAACTTCGCCACTGAAGAGCTAAGCCTGAGCCAAAGGACTGACGTTCTTTCACAGCCCATGTCACGCACTTCTGCTCAAAGTTTTGGAGATTATCGCCATTTAGATCAAGCCGGAATATCCATTTTCCATTCAATCCTAATATTACAATAATTCTATTTGTGTCCGGAAAAGTAAATTTATGACATCGCAATTCTTTAAAAATGCTGTAAAATCTAATGTATTCATAACAATGAACCTAAATGTTATTTTAATTTAATCCATCACATGGAGTTAGATGTAATAATGTGTTTTTAAGTATTAAGTATCATCGCATTTAATGATCCAAAATGGCGATAAATTCAAAAGTTTGAAAAATTGAAACACTGAGTTAACTTTTGATTCGAAAGTAAACTTTTTCAATTTTTCAGTCATGATAAATACTATTTTGGACGGTTAAACAATATTTTCAAATTTTACATAGGGCCTTTAAATGATGAATTGGTTACCAGTATTTCCTTTCATGCTGTCAATGCCTAGAAGTGCATCATCGCCATACAAGTAATGGTTGAATAAATTTTTGGTATCCCCAGCATCATAGCCGATGTTAACATTTTTCCATCTGCGCCAGGCCATCTTTCCATAGTTGAACAAAGTGTATGTCCGAATACCATCCGTTACCAACACTATCTGGTGGTTCACAGTCTAAGGTAAAACACAAATTATTAGTTATATAAAGATTATATTGAAAGGCTTTTGATTATAGAAACTTTTTGACATTACTTCTCTATTGACTAGATCGACCGACACACCACTGCTCATATACGAGGGATGTCCCAGAAGTAATGCACTATTTGCTCTATAACTTTCTTTAATACTCTTCAATCGGCTGAAATCTTGTGTATATAGATATTGAAGTGCTACCTGTTATATTCCGAAGTTTCAACATCATACGTTCATGTTAAGTCTTAAAATGGTTAGCTACAACAGGGGTAGGGATGGGCGGGAGAGGTACTAATTTTTCTAATCATGAACGCTCTAAAGTGTTATTCAATTTTTATTTCTTTCCTTTAAATGATCAAAATATCTGGGAAATGGTTAAATTTATTCAGCATGATGTTGACCAAGCACAAATAATGACATTAAGCATTGTTATGTCATTATGCCAAAGTTCAATAGTCACAAATTCAAGTTTAGTCACAGTCAAGAAATTGCAAAAATGGCAGCAAAGCTCAAATCAAAAGAAGGCCTTGCGTTCGATGGCCTAATTTCATACTTCGCTTGGACTCACAGCCACACACACTCTTAAGCTACCAGGGAGAAAGTATATACGAAGTGAACTAGGGATAGAACTACAATTAAAAGGTGTCAGAACAGATTTAAAAATGATGTCAGGACCCTGTATGACAACTCAAAACCTAGTCTGACGCACCAGGATTTCAGATGAGTGTACCAAGACTGGGAGAATGTGCATCAAAAGTGCATTATTTGGAAAGGTTAATATTTTGAGATAATGTGAAATGGTGCAATATCGGTGCAATATACATCAATTAAATCTAGGATGTGCTCCAAGTAGTTCAGAACCTTGAAATGTATTTTTTAGCATAATTATTATGGCTGCACAAAATGGTATTTGTTGATTAATTATTTCCTATTTTCAATTTTTTATTCGTTTCGACGTGACAAGAAGAGCTGCCCCACCCTTTATTATAACATCAACATAGTATTATCAATTCAAATAAAACTTTGTAGAATGATCAAAATATCTTCAAAGATCAATCACTGAAAATTTCATGAAAAGTATCAAGAATTCAGTACGTTAGCGTAAATAGTGCATTACTTCTGGGACAACCCTCGTATATAGTTGGAATAATTTTTGGGGCACGTCTGCTACGTTATGCTTAAAACTAATTATAACAGTTGAAATTATTCTTCAACACTGCAAGAATGCAACAATTCCATCCATCATCATTTGTGGTCATTCGCACTTAAAGTGTGCGCCTGAACCGGCTACGTATAGCACAGAGTTTATACTGGCGGATTAGACTAGTTCATTTTTTATATGTGTGTGAAAGCTTTCTCTTACTTGCGTTTTTTCGTTTAGTACGGTTTTGTTATAATTGCCGAGGTCATATAACCGGGATAAAACAATGATTATCGTTGACTGCCCACACACAAAACATACGTGGAGTGAACAGTGTTATTACAAACAACAGGCTTTAGAATACAAAGCGTAGTGTGATAATAAGCTGTACACTACCACTGCTGCATGTCCATATTACTAATTTACTAGGGCTCCCAAAGAGTGGATAGAGAGGTTGTGTTTGTCACTTTTAAATTTTACATTTCAAAATTGTCATTTTACATGTCATAATTTGTTGGTTTCATTCGTTTAGCCAATCAAAACATTGTAAAACAATAAATTGTCTGTTACGTACAATCAATTTTGTTCAGTTTTGATTAGTTGTCAGAATAAAGTTACGTTCATTTGAATCCATGCATCAAAACAAAAATCCTATTTTCACTTCAAAATACTTCAGTGAGATGAAGGCTCGGAATTGTCACATGCAATAATTTATTGTCGTATTCGTTATTTTATCTTTTCGATAGTAGCATTTAGTCGCACATTTGATGCCAGGTCACCTTGTCGCGTACCTCTTGGGGAACCCCACATTTATGTGTGTACTCATGGAAGTAAATTCCCCGGTGTAGCCGAGAGCCACAAACTTTTCAACAGGTTCGAAATGACCAATTTCTCTCATATATACTCTAAATATTTTATTATTTAGCACCTACAAAGTATTGCTAATAACCATATGTAATTTCAATAAGGAAACTTATCTGGCTACATATAAATTCAATATCAACACTAGCTGTTCTCTCAACACGTCCTGGCTTACCCTGTGGTGACAAACCCTGGATTTTCGCTATTTATAGTTTATCAACACCTGGACGCATGCGCATTTTATAGTTTATCGGGCACTTTAAAATATTTTTCATCTCAGTTGTACAGTTAACCAGAGGTGTTGCACTTATAATCATGGCTTAAGCAAGAAAATCGTTTTCAATTGAACATAATTGTTGAAGTTTGAAGTAAAAATATTCAACACATGATTCCAAAAAGGATTAGACACAACGATGTTAAATCAAGGCTCTGATTCGTTTGAGTTGAATCAAGTTAAATGCTAAAAAGCAAAATGTATGAACAACGGTGTGTATGTATATTAATTTGCCATTTTCTATTTTCAATTTTTCTTGTAGTATGGATCTACTATCTGAAGGATATAGGAGAGTTGTATAGGTTAAGAAACTAACCTACCTGAGGTTCGGTATTGTTAGCGTTGTTACCATTTAAGTAGCCGCACCATGAATGGTATTCAGCTTTTGGATTGTAGCAGTAATATGGATATGGGAAAACATCCTTCCACGTTACTTTCATCATCCAGGTTGCTTCAAAGTCTGCAACATTTGTATACCTCATCACTTCTTTACTCGCTGCTTCGAGTAAAAGTTGCCCTTTCTCATTCAAGGTATCCTCTCTGGTGTAGCTCTGGTAATAAACACCAGATGGAGACAAACTTTCACGTGTATCATGATCGCCCCAGAACGAGGCTAAAATAGCTAGATTACGTCTTCCAAGTGGAAACTTCCTGGCCCAATAATTTAAGTATGGTCTTCCAAAACTTATTAATCCGTTTGAAGAAACCTATTAGTGCAAAACATTAAATATATATTATTATTTTTTACTGTTAAGATTGCAATTGTTTGATTGGTCAAGACAAGGCCAGATGTCTAAATGATCGCAGTAGGTTCTTAAAGAAAGTCCATGGCTCTATTCATTTATAGTACGGTCGTAAATTATGGAATAAAGATTATGGGATTACCCGGAGGCCAATTTAATATATATTATATATATGCCCAAAGGCCAATGAAATAAAAATATATTTAAGATTGGTCAAATTAGCATCGTGCTTATACATTTATTTAACTCTACCACAGTCCATGTTGCAATTTTTAAGACGTGAAGTGTCATTTTATTAATAGTTTTACACAGAAACACGATACTCACGTATATGTGTCTGTATTTTCTATGACCAAAGTAGACTCCCCTTGGGGCGGTAACGGCACTTGATGTTGTATCTAATGCATTCTGAAGCCGCACGTCACCCTCTTCCTCACCACTGGGATACATTTGGAACGTTGTTTCTACATTGCAGACAAAATGATAATAATGATACAATACTATTCTCTGACCATTGTCAATTCTACTTTAAAATAAAGTTTCCAAAAACCGAAAGGCCAGATTAACTAAAACAGATTTTTTCTTTCGATTTCGCAATAGTGGGTTTATATTTTAAAATCAAATACGTCCTATGAAAACTAATTGAAGAATATGCAAAAATTTAACATATATAAATGTACACTCCCCTACATAAGTTTGGCAACCTTTGCTCCCCCATTGAACTACGTGTTAAAGCCTCTTTACGTTTGAATTTTCATTTACTTATGACGAAATTACTTATAATATTAATGGAAACGTAACTTGACTTTTTTTCCAATCCTTCCAAATTTTCCCAATTTTTTCCTCAAGTACAATAGGTCGAAAACTGATGATAAATTTGATGAATTGTTGAAAATCGTCAATCCCATGTAAACCAATGGGAAATGGTGGGTTTTGGGCAAATCAGAAATCAGGATATCTGTTCAGTAAAAGATTCAGCAAAAAATATTTTTATATAGAAAATTGAATTGTCTAACTTTTTTTGTACACTACGTATTTAGTTTACTTGATGAATACTAAAGTTACAGAGCTTCAAAGTCATTTTTGAAAATCATTTTTCGCCTCTTGTGTTATATATTGCAATGGGAGGGGTTTTTTGAAAAACAATTTTGACTTTAAAGACCTATATCTTTGTAGAACCTGTAGAAACGTATCAATTTTTTGTTAAATAAAGTTAGCCAATTCAATTTCCTACCTAACTTGTATTTTTTGCAAGGACTCGGATGGATGGATATTCTGTCAATTGACTTGCGGCAAACCTACCATTTCCCATTGGGTAACATGGGATTGTCAATTTTCAAAAATTCATCTTTATCATCAATTTTCGACCTTGTAATTGAGTAAAAATTGAGGTATTGGAAATAAAGTCAAGTTACGTTTCCATCAATATTATAAGTATCTTCATTGCAGGTTAAGTTAATAAAAGTTCAAAGGTAAAGAGGCTTTAACACGTAGTTCAATGGGGGAACTAAGCTTGCGAAACTTATGAAGGGGAGTGTATCTATTCGACAACAAGATCAATTGGTGTAAAATCATCTGAACAAGTATGAACCACTGTTGTAGTACCGTCAGTGGTAGGAGTATCTGCCATTGTTGTAGTAATATCAGTGGTTGGGCCATCAGTCACTATTGTAGTGGCTTCAATTGTAGTAGTAAGGTCAATCACTGTTATAGTAGCATCAGTGGTGGTAGCATCAATCACTGTAGTAGTAGCATCAGTGGTGGTAGCATCAATCACTGTAGTAGTAGCATCAGTGGTGGTAGCATCGGTCACTGTTGTAGAAGTATTAGTAGAAGCACCAGTTGCTGTTGTAGTAGCGTCGGTGGAAGTACCATCAGTCACTGTTGTGTCAGCTACTGTTGTTGTAAAATCAGCCGTTGTTGCATCAGTAACTGTTGTTGTAGCATCAGCTGTAGTTGTGTCAGCCACTGTAGTTGTAGCATCAGCTGCTGTAGTATCTGCCGTAGTTGCGTCAGCCACTGTAGTTGTGTCAGCAACTGTTGTTGTAACATTAGCCGTTGTTGCATCAGCAACTGTTGTTGTAGCATCAGCTGTAGTTGTGTCAGCAACTGTAGTTGTAGCATCAGCTTCTGTAGTATCTGCCGTAGTTGCATCAGCCACTGTAGTTGTAACATTAGCTGCTGTAGTATCTGCCGTAGTTGCGTCAGCCACTGTAGTTGTGTCAGCCACTGTAGTTGTGTCAGCTACTGTTGTTGTAGCATCAGCCGTTGTTACATCAGCAACTGTTGTTGTAGCATCAGCTGTAGTTGCGTCAGCCACTGTAGTTGTAACATCAGCTGCTGTAGTGTCTGCCGTAGTTGCGTCAGCCACTGTAGTTGTGTCAACTACTGTAGTTGTAGCATCAGCTTCTGTAGTATCTGCCGTAGTTGCATCAGCCACTGTAGTTGTAACATTAGCTGCTGTAGTATCTGCCGTAGTTGCGTCAGCCACTGTAGTTGTGTCAGCCACTGTAGTTGTGTCAGCTACTGTTGTTGTAGCATCAGCCGTTGTTACATCAGCAACTGTTGTTGTAGCATCAGCTGTAGTTGCGTCAGCCACTGTAGTTGTAACGTCAGCTGCTGTAGTGTCTGCCGTAGTTGCGTCAGCCACTGTAGTTGTGTCAACTACTGTTGTTGTAACATCAGCCGTTGTTGCATCAGCAACTGTTGTTGTAGCATCAGCTGTAGTTGTGTCAGCCACTGTAGATGTAGCATCAGCTGCTGTAGTATCTTCCGTAGTTGCGCCAGCCACTGTAGTTGTGTCAGCTACTGTTGTTGTAACATCAGCCGTTGTTGCCTCAGCAACTGTTGTTGTAGCATCAGCTGTAGTTGTGTCAGCCACTGTAGATGTAGCATCAGCTGCTGTAGTATCTGCCGTAGTTGCGTCAGCCACTGAAGTTGTGTCAGGTACTGTTGTTGTAGCATCAGCCGTTGTTGCATCAGCAACTGTTGTTGTAGAATCAGCTGTAGTTGTGTGTGCCATTGTAGTTGTAGAATCAGCTGCTGTAGTATCTGCCGTAGTTGTGTCAGCCACTGTAGTTGTGTCAGCAACTGTTGTTGTAACATCAGCCGTTGTTGCATCAGTAACTATTGTAGCATCAGCTGTAGTTGTGTCAGCCACTGAAGTTGTAGCATCAGCTGCTGTAGTATCTGCCGTAGTTGCGTCGGCCACTGTAGTTGTGTCAGCAACTGTTGTTGTAACATCATCCGTTGTTGCATCAGCAACTGTTGTTGTAGCATCAGCTGTAGTTGTGTCTGCCACTGTAGTTGTAACATCAGCTGCTGTAGTATCTGCCGTAGTTGCGTCAGCCACTGTAGTTGTGTCAGCAACTGTTGTTGTAGCATCAGCCGTTGTTGCATCAGCAACTGTTGTTGTAGCATCAGCTGTAGTTGTGTCTGCCACTGAAGTTGTAACAGCAGCTGCTGTAGTATCTGCCGTAGTTGCGTCAGCCACTGTAGTTGTGTCAGCTACTGTTGTTGTTACGTCAGCCGTTGTTGCATCAGCAGTAGTCATGTCAGCCACTGTAGATGTAGCATCAGCTGCTGTAGTATCTGCCGTAGTTGCGTAAGCCACTGTAGTTGTGTCAGCTACTGATGTTGTTACGTCAGCCGTTGTTGCATCAGCAACTGTTGTTGTAGCATCAGCTGTAGTTGTGTCTGCCACTGTAGTTGTAGCATCAGCTGCTGTAGTATCTGCCATAGTTGCGTCAGCCACTGTAGTTGTGTCAGCTACTGTTGTTGTAACATCAGCCGTTGTTGCATCAGCAGCCGTTGTTGCATCAGCAATTGTTGTTGTAGCATCAGCTGTAGTTGTGTCAGCCACTGTAGATGTAGCATCAGCTGCTGTAGTATCTGCCGTAGTTGCGTCAGCCACTGTAGTTGTGTCAGCTTCTGTTGTTGTAACATCAGCCGTCGTTGCATCAGCAACTGTTGTTGTAGCATCAGTTGTAGTTGTGTCAGCCACTGTAGATGTAGCATCAGCTGCTGTAGTATCTTTGGTAGTTGCATCAGCCACTGTAGTTGTGTCAGCTACTGTTGTTGTAACATCAGCCGTTGTTGCATCAGCAACTGTTGTTGTAGCATCAGCTGTAGTTGTATCAGCCACTGTAGATGTAGCATCATCTGCTGTAGTATCTGCCGTAGTTGCGTCAGCCACTGTAGTTGTGTCAGCAACTGTTGTTGTAACATCAGCCGTTGTTGCACCAGCAACTATTGTAGAATCAGCTGTAGTTGTGTCAGCCACTGAAGTTGTAGCATCAGCTGCTGTAGTATCTGCCGTAGTTGCGTCAGCCACTGTAGTTGTGTCAACAACTGTTGTTGTAACATCAGCCGTTGTTGCATAAGCAACTGTTGTAGCATCAGCTGTAGTTGTTTCAGCCACTGTAGTTGTAGTATCAGCAGCTGTAGTATCTGCCGTAGTTGCGTCAGCCACTGTAGTTGTAGCATCAGCAGCTGTAGTATCTGCCGTAGTTGCGTCAGCCACTGTAGTTGTGTCAGCAACTGTTGTTGTTACATCAGCCGTTGTTGCATCAGCAACTGTTGTAGCATCAGCTGTAGTTGTGTCAGCCACTGTAGTTGTAGCAACAGCAGCTGTAGTATCTGCCGTAGTTGCGTCAGCCACTGTAGTTGGCTCAGCTACTGTTGTTGTAGCATCAGCCGTTGTTACATCAGCAACTGTTGTTGTAGCATCAGCTGAAGTTGTGTCAGCCACTGTAGTTGTAGCATCAGCTGCTGTAGTATCTGCCGTAGTTGCATCAACCACTGTAGTTGTGTCAGCAACTGCTTTTGTAGCATCAGCCGTTGTTGCATCAGCAACTGTTGTTGTAGCATCAGCTGTAGTTGTGTCTGCCACTGTAGTTGTAACATCAGCTGCTGTAGTATCTGCAGTAGTTGCGTCAGCCACTGTAGTTGTGTCAGCTACTGTTGTTGTAACATCAGCCGTTGTTGCATCAGCAACTGTTGTTGTAGCATCAGCTGTAGTTGTGTCAGCCACTGTAGATGTAGCATCAGCTGCTGAAGTATCTGCCGGAGTTGCGTCAGCCACTGTAGTTGTGTCAGCTTCTGTTGTTGTAACATCAGCCGTTGTTGCATCAGCAACTGTTGTTGTAGCATCAGCTGTAGTTGTATCAGCCACTGTAGATGTAGCATCTTCTGCTGTAGTATCTGCCGTAGTTGCATCAGCCACTGTAGTTGTGTCAGCCACTGTAGTTGTGTCAGCAACTGTTGTAGCATCAGCTGTAGTTGTTTCAGCCACTGTAGTTGTGTCAGCAACTGTTGTTGTAGCATCAGCCGTTGTTGCATCAGCAACTGTTGTAGCATCAGCTGTAGTTGTTTCAGCCACTGTAATTGTAGCATCAGCTGTAGTTGCGTCAGCCAGTGTAGTTGTAGCATCAGCTGCTGTAATATCTGCCGTAGTTGCGTCAGCCACTGTAGTTGTGTCAGCTACTGTTGTTGTAACATCAGCCGTTGTTGCATCAGCCAATGTTGTTGTAGCATCAGCTGTAGTTGTGTCTGCCACTGTAGTTGTAGCATCAGCTGGTGTAGTATCTGCCGTAGTTGCGTCAGCCACTGTAGTTGTTGCATCACCTACTATAGTTGTTTCAGCCACTGTAGTTGTAGCATCAGCTGCTGTAGTATCTGCCGTAGTTGCGTCAGCCACTGTAGTTGGCTCAGCTACTGTTGTTGTAGCATCAGCCGTTGTTACATCAGCAACTGTTGTTGTAGCATCAGCTGAAGTTGTGTCAGCCACTGTAGTTGTAGCATCAGCTGCTGTAGTATCTGCCGTAGTTGCATCAACCACTGTAGTTGTGTCAGCAACTGCTTTTGTAGCATCAGCCGTTGTTGCATCAGCAACTGTTGTTGTAGCATCAGCTGTAGTTGTGTCTGCCACTGTAGTTGTAACATCAGCTGCTGTAGTATCTGCCGTAGTTGCGTAAGCCACTGTAGTTGTGTCAGCTACTGATGTTGTTACGTCAGCCGTTGTTGCATCAGCAACTGTTGTTGTAGCATCAGCTGTAGTTGTGTCTGCCACTGTAGTTGTAGCATCAGCTGCTGTAGTATCTGCCATAGTTGCGTCAGCCACTGTAGTTGTGTCAGCTACTGTTGTTGTAACATCAGCCGTTGTTGCATCAGCAGCCGTTGTTGCATCAGCAACTGTTGTTGTAGCATCAGCTGTAGTTGTGTCAGCCACTGTAGATGTAGCATCAGCTGCTGTAGTATCTGCCGTAGTTGCGTCAGCCACTGTAGTTGTGTCAGCTTCTGTTGTTGTAACATCAGCCGTCGTTGCATCAGCAACTGTTGTTGTAGCATCAGTTGTAGTTGTGTCAGCCACTGTAGATGTAGCATCAGCTGCTGTAGTATCTTTGGTAGTTGCGTCAGCCACTGTAGTTGTGTCAGCTACTGTTGTTGTAACATCAGCCGTTGTTGCATCAGCAACTGTTGTTGTAGCATCAACTGTAGTTGTATCAGCCACTGTAGATGTAGCATCATCTGCTGTAGTATCTGCCGTAGTTGCGTCAGCCACTGTAGTTGTGTCAGCAACTGTTGTTGTAACATCAGCCGTTGTTGCATCAGCAACTATTGTAGAATCAGCTGTAGTTGTGTCAGCCACTGAAGTTGTAGCATCAGCTGCTGTAGTATCTGCCGTAGTTGCGTCAGCCACTGTAGTTGTGTCAACAACTGTTGTTGTAACATCAGCCGTTGTTGCATAAGCAACTGTTGTAGCATCAGCTGTAGTTGTTTCAGCCACTGTAGTTGTAGTATCAGCAGCTGTAGTATCTGCCGTAGTTGCGTCAGCCACTGTAGTTGTAGCATCAGCAGCTGTAGTATCTGCCGTAGTTGCGTCAGCCACTGTAGTTGTGTCAGCAACTGTTGTTGTTACATCAGCCGTTGTTGCATCAGCAACTGTTGTAGCATCAGCTGTAGTTGTGTCAGCCACTGTAGTTGTAGCAACAGCAGCTGTAGTATCTGCCGTAGTTGCGTCAGCCACTGTAGTTGGCTCAGCTACTGTTGTTGTAGCATCAGCCGTTGTTACATCAGCAACTGTTGTTGTAGCATCAGCTGAAGTTGTGTCAGCCACTGTAGTTGTAGCATCAGCTGCTGTAGTATCTGCCGTAGTTGCATCAACCACTGTAGTTGTGTCAGCAACTGCTTTTGTAGCATCAGCCGTTGTTGCATCAGCAACTGTTGTTGTAGCATCAGCTGTAGTTGTGTCTGCCACTGTAGTTGTAACATCAGCTGCTGTAGTATCTGCAGTAGTTGCGTCAGCCACTGTAGTTGTGTCAGCTACTGTTGTTGTAACATCAGCCGTTGTTGCATCAGCAACTGTTGTTGTAGCATCAGCTGTAGTTGTGTCAGCCACTGTAGATGTAGCATCAGCTGCTGAAGTATCTGCCGGAGTTGCGTCAGCCACTGTAGTTGTGTCAGCTTCTGTTGTTGTAACATCAGCCGTTGTTGCATCAGCAACTGTTGTTGTAGCATCAGCTGTAGTTGTATCAGCCACTGTAGATGTAGCATCTTCTGCTGTAGTATCTGCCGTAGTTGCATCAGCCACTGTAGTTGTGTCAGCCACTGTAGTTGTGTCAGCAACTGTTGTAGCATCAGCTGTAGTTGTTTCAGCCACTGTAGTTGTGTCAGCAACTGTTGTTGTAGCATCAGCCGTTGTTGCATCAGCAACTGTTGTAGCATCAGCTGTAGTTGTTTCAGCCACTGTAATTGTAGCATCAGCTGTAGTTGCGTCAGCCAGTGTAGTTGTAGCATCAGCTGCTGTAATATCTGCCGTAGTTGCGTCAGCCACTGTAGTTGTGTCAGCTACTGTTGTTGTAACATCAGCCGTTGTTGCATCAGCCAATGTTGTTGTAGCATCAGCTGTAGTTGTGTCTGCCACTGTAGTTGTAGCATCAGCTGGTGTAGTATCTGCCGTAGTTGCGTCAGCCACTGTAGTTGTTGCATCACCTACTATAGTTGTTTCAGCCACTGTATTTGTAGCATCAGCTGCTGTAGTATCTGCCGTAGTTGCGTCAGCCACTGTAGTTGTAACATCACCTACTATAGTTGTTTCAGCCACTGTAGTTGTAGCATCAGCTGCTGTAGTATCTGCCGTAGTTGCGTCAGCCACTGTAGTTGTAGCATCACCTACTGTTGTTGTTACATCAGCCGTTGTTGCATCAGCAACTGTTGTAGCATCAGCTGTAGTTGCGTCAGCCACTGTAGTTGTAGCATCAGCAGCTGTAATATCTGCCGTAGTTGTATCAGCCACTGTAGTTGTCTCAGCTACTGTTGTTGTAGCATCAGCCGTTGTTGCATCAGCAACTGTTGTTGTAGCATCAGTTGTAGTAATGTCAGCTACTGTTGTTGTAACATCAGCCGTTGTTGCATCAGCAACTGTTGTAGCATCAGCTGTAGTTGTTTCAGCCACTGTAGTTGTGGCATCAGCTGCTGTAGTATCTGCCGTAGTTGTGTCAGCCACTGTAGTTGTAGCATCACCTACTGTAGTTGTTACATTAGCCGTTGTTGCATCAGCAACTGTCGTAGCATCAGCTATAGTTGTGTCAGCCACTGTAGTTGTAGCAGCAGCTGTAGTATCTGCCGTAGTTGCGTCAGCCACTGTAGTTGTGTCAGCCACTGTAGTTGTGTCAGCAACTGTTGTTGTAACATCAGCCGTTGTTGCATCAGCAACTATTGTAGCATCAGCTGTAGTTGTGTCAGCCACTGAAGTTGTAGCATCAGCTGCTGTAGTATCTGCCGTAGTTGCGTCAGCCACTGTCGTTGTGTCAGCAACTGTTGTTGTAGCATCAGCCGTTGTTGCATCAGCAAATGTTGTAGCATCAGCTGTAGTTGTTTCAGCCAATGTAGTTGTAGCATCAGCTGCTGTAGTATCTGCCGTAGTTGCGTCAGCCACTGTAGTTGTAGCATCACCTACTGTTGTTGTTACATCAGCCGTTGTTGCATCAGCAACTGGTGTTGTAGCATCAGCTGTAGTTGCGTCAGCCACTGTAATTGTAGCATCAGCGGCTGTAGTATGTGCCGTAGTTGTATCAGCCACTGTAGTTGTGTCAGCTACTGATGTTGTTACGTCAGCCGTTGTTGCATCAGCTGTAGTTGTGTCAGCCACTGTAGTTGTAGCATCAGCTGCTGTAATATCTGCCGTAGTTGCGTCAGCCACTGTAGTTGTGTCAGCTACTGTTGTTGTAACATCAGCCGTTGTTGCATCAGCCACTGTTGTTGTAGCATCAGCTGTAGTTGTGTCTGTCACTGTAGTTGTAGCATCAGCTGCTGTAGTATCTGCCGTAGTTGTGTCAGCCACTGTAGTTGTAGCATCACCTACTGTTGTTGTAACATCAGCCGTTGTTGCATCAGCAACTATTGTAGCATCAGCTGTAGTTTTGTCAGCCACTGAAGTTGTAGCATCAGCTGCTGTAGTATCTGCCGTAGTTGCGTCAGCCACTGTAGTTGTGTCAGCAACTGTTGTTGTAACATCAGCCGTTGTTGCATCAGCAACTATTGTAGCATCAGCTGTAGTTGTTTCAGTCACTGTATTTGTAGCATCAGCTGCCGTAGTATCTGCCGTAGTCGTGTCAGCCACTGTAGTTGTAGCATCACCTACTGTTGTTGTTACATCAGCCGTTGTTGCATCAGCAACTGTTGTAGCATCAGCTGTAGTTGCGTCAGCCATTGTAGTTGTAGCATCAGCAGCTGTAGTATCTGCCGTAGTTGCATCAGCCACTGTAGTTGTCTCAGCTACTGTTGTTGTAGCATCAGTCGTTGTTGCATCAGCAACTGTTGTTGTAGCATCAGCTATAGTTGTGTCAGCTACTGTTGTTGTAACATCAGCCGTTGTTGCATCAGCAACTGTTGTAGCATCGGCTGTAGTTGTTTCAGCCACTGTAGTTGTAGCATCAGCTACTGTAGTATCTGCCGTAGTTGCGTCAGCCACTGTAGTTGTAGCATCAGCTGTAGTTGCGTCAGCCACTGTAATTGTAGCATCAGCGGCTGTAGTATGTGCCGTAGTTGTATCAGCCACTGTAGTTGTGTCAGCTACTGATGTTGTTACGTCAGCCGTTGTTGCATCAGCTGTAGTTGTGTCAGCCACTGTAGTTGTAGCATCAGCTGCTGTAATATCTGCCGTAGTTGCGTCAGCCACTGTAGTTGTGTCAGCTACTGTTGTTGTAATATCAGCCGTTGTTGCATCAGCCACTGTTGTTGTAGCATCAGCTGTAGTTGTGTCTGTCACTGTAGTTGTAGCATCAGCTGCTGTAGTATCTGCCGTAGTTGTGTCAGCCACTGTAGTTGTAGCATCACCTACTGTTGTTGTAACATCAGCCGTTGTTGCATCAGCAATTGCTGTTGTAGCATCAGCTGTAGTTGTATCAGCCACTGTATATGTAGCATCATCTGCTGTAGTATCTGCCGTAGTTACGTCAGCCACTGTAGTTGTGTCAGCCACTGTAGTTGTGTAAGCAACTGTTGTTGTAACATCAGCCGTTGTTGCATCAGCAACTATTGTAGCATCAGCTGTAGTTGTGTCAGCCACTGAAGTTGTAGCATCAGCTGCTGTAGTATCTGCCGTAGTTGCGTCAGCCACTGTAGTTGTGTCAGCAACTATTTTTGTAACATCAGCCGTTGTTGCATCAGCAACTGTTGTAGCATCAGCTGTAGTTGTTTCAGTCACTGTATTTGTAGCATCAGCTGCTGTAGTATCTGCCGTAGTCGTGTCAGCCACTGTAGTTGTAGCATCACCTACTGTTGTTGTTACATCAGCCGTTGTTGCATCAGCAACTGTTGTAGCATCAGCTGTAGTTGCGTCAGCCATTGTAGTTGTAGCATCAGCAGCTGTAGTATCCGCCGTAGTTGCATCAGCCACTGTAGTTGTCTCAGCTACTGTTGTTGTAGCATCAGTCGTTGTTGCATCAGCAACTGTTGTTGTAGCATCAGCTATAGTTGTGTCAGCTACTGTTGTTGTAACATCAGCCGTTGTTGCATTAGCAACTGTTGTAGCATCAGCTGTAGTTGTTTCAGCCACTGTAGTTGTAGCATCAGCTGCTGTAGTATCTGCCGTAGTTGTGTCAGCCACTTTAGTTGTAGCATCACCTACTGTTGTTGTTACATCAGCCGTTGTTGCATCAGCAACTGTCGAAGCATCAGCTGTAGTTGTGTCAGCCACTGTAGTTGTAGCAGCAGCAGCTGTAGTATCTGCCGTAGTTGCGTCAGCCACTGTAGTTGTGTCAGCTACTGTTGTTGTAACATCAGCCGTTGTTGCATCAGCAACTGTTGTTGTAGCATCAGCTGTAGTTGTGTCAGCCACTGTAGATGTAGCATCAGCTGCTGTAGTATCTGCCGGAGTTGCGTCAGCAACTGTAGTTGTGTCAGCTTCTGTTGTTGTAACATCAGTCGTTGTTGCATCAGCAACAGTTGTTGTAGCATCAGCTGTAGTTGTGTCAGCCACTGTGGATGTAGCATCAGCTGCTGTAGTATCTTCCGTAGTTGCGTCGGCCACTGTAGTTGTGTAAGCTTCTGTTGTTGTTACATCAGCCGTTGTTGCTTCAGCAACTGTGGTTGTAGCATCAGCTGTAGTTGTATCAGCCACTGTAGATGTAGCATCATCTGCTGTAGTATCTGCCGTAGTTGCGTCAGCCACTGTAGTTGTGTCAGCCACTGTAGTTGTGTCAGCAACTGTTGTTGTAACATCAGCCGTTGTTGCATCAGCAACTATTGTAGCATCAGCTGTAGCTGTGTCAGCCACTGAAGTTGTAGCATCAGCTGCTGTAGTATCTGCCGTAGTTGCGTCAGCCACTGTCGTTGTGTCAGCAACTGTTGTTGTAACATCAGCCGTTGTTGCATCAGCAACTGTTGTAGCATCAGCTGTAGTTGTTTCAGCTGCTGTAGTTGTAGCATCAGCTGCTGTAGTATCTGCCGTAGTTGCGTCAGCCACTGTAGTTGTAGCATCACCTACTGTTGTTGTTACATCAGCCGTTGTTGCATCAGCAACTGTTGTAGCATCAGCTGTAGTTGTGTCAGCCACTGTTGTTGTAGCATCAGCAGCTGTAGTATCTGCCGTAGTTGCGTCAGCCACTGTAGTTGTCTCAGCTACTGTTGTTGTAGCATCAACCGTTGTTGCATCAGCAACTGTAGATGTAGCATCATCTGCTGTAGTATCTGCCGTAGTTGCGTCAGCCACTGTAGTTGTGTCAACAACTGTTGTTGTAACATCAGCCGTTGTTGCATCAGCAACTGTTGTAGCATCAGCTGTAGTTGTTTCAGCCACTGTAGTTGTAGCATCAGCAGCTGTAGTATCTGCCGTAGTTGCGTCAGCCACTGTAGTTGTAGCAGCACCTACTGTTGTTGTTACACCAGCCGTTGTTGCATCAGCAACTGTTGTAGCATCAGCTGTAGTTGTGTCAGCCACTGTAGATGTAGCATCAGCTGCTGTAGTATCTACCGTAGTTGCGTCAGCAACTGTAGTTGTGTCAGCTTCTGTTGTTGTAACATCAGCCGCTGTTGCATCAGCAACTGTTGTTGTAGCATCAGCTGTAGTTGTGTCAGCCACTGTAGATGTAGCATCAGCTGCTGTAGTATCTTCCGTAGTTGCGTCAGCCACTGTAGTTGTGTCAGCTACTGTTGTTGTAACATCAGCCGTTGTTGCATCAGCAACTGTTGTTGTAGCATCAGCTGTAGTTGTATCAGCCACTGTAGATGTAGCATCATCTGCTGTAGTATCTGCCGTAGTTGCGTAAGCCACTGTAGTTGTGTCAGCCACTGTAGTTGTGTCAGCAACAGTTGTTGTAACATCAGCCGTTGTTGCATCAGCAACTATTGTAGCATCAACTGTAGTTGTGTCTGCCACTGAAGTTGTAGCATCATCTGCTGTAGTATCTGCCGTAGTTGCGTCAGCCACCGTAGTTGTGTCAGCCACTGTAGTTGTGTCAGCAACTGTTGTTGTAACATCAGTCGTTGTTGCATCAGCAACTATTGTAGCATCAGCTGTAGTTGTGTCTGCCACTGAAGTTGTAGCATCAGCTGCTGTAGTATCTGCCGTAGTTGCGTCAGCCACTGTAGTTGTAGCATCACCTACTGTTGTTGTTACATCAGCCGTTGTTGCATCAGCAACTGTTGTGGCATCAGCTGTAGTTGTGTCAGCCACTGTAGTTGTAGCATCAGCAGCTGTAGTATCTGCCGTAGTTGCGTCAGCCACTGTAGTTGTCTCAGCTACTGTTGTTGTAGCATCAGCCGTTGTTGCATCAGCAACTGTTGTTGTGGCATCAGCTGAAGTTGTGTCAGCCACTGTAGTTGTAGCATCAGCTGCTGTAGTATCTGCCGTAGTTGCGTCAACCACTGTAGTTGTGTCAGCAACTGTTGTTGTAGCATCAGCCGTTGTTGCCTCAGCAACTGTTGTTGTAGCATCAGCTGTAGTTGTATCAGCCACTGTAGATGTAGCATCATCTGCTGTAGTATCTGCTGTAGTTGCGTCAGCCACTGTAGTTGTGTCAGCAACTGTTGTTGTAACATCAGCCGTTGTTGCATCAGCAACTGTTGTAGCATCAGCTGTAGATGTTTCAGCCACTGTAGCTGTAGCATCAGCAGCTGTAGTATCTGCCGTAGTTGCGTCAGCCACTGTAGTTGTAGCATCACCTACTGTTGTTGTTACATCAGCCGTTGTTGCATCAGCAACTGTTGTAGCATCAGCTGTAGTTGTGTCAGCCACTGAAGTTGTAGCATCAGCAGCTGTAGTATCTGCCGTAGTTGCGTCAGCTACTGTAGTTGTCTCAGCTACTGTTGTTGTAGCATCAGCCGTTGTTGCATCAGCAACTGTTGTTGTAGCATCAGCTGAAGTTGTGTCAGCCACTGTACTTGTAGCATCAGCTGCTGTAGTATCTGCCGTAGTTGCGTCAGCCACTGTAGTTGTAGCATCACCTACTATAGTTGTTTCAGCCACTGTAGTTGTAGCATCAGCTGCTGTAGTATCTGCCGTAGTTGCGTCAGCCACTGAAGTTGTGTCAGCTTCTGTTGTTGTAACATCAGCCGTTGTTGCATCAGCAACTGTTGTTGTAGCATCAGCTGTAGTTGTATCAGCGACTGTAGATGTAGCATCATCTGCTGTAGTATCTGCCGTAGTTGCGTCAGCCACTGTACTTGTGTCAGGTACTGTTGTTGTAGCATCAGCCGTTCCTGCATCAGCAACTGTTGTTGTAGAATCAGCTGTAGTTGTGTGTGCCACTGTAGTTGTAGAATCAGCTGCTGTAGTATCTGCCGTAGTTGTGTCAGCCACTGTAGTTGTGTCAGCAACTGTTGTTGTAACATCAGCCGTTGTTGCATCAGCAACTATTGTAGCATCAGCTGTAGTTGTGCCAGCCACTGAAGTTGTATCATCAGCTGCTGTAGTATCTGCCGTAGTTGCGTCAGCTACTGTAGTTGTGTCAGCAACTGTTGTTGTAACATCAACCGTTGTTGCATCAGCAACTGTTGTAGCATCAGCTGTAGTTGTTTCAGCCACTGTAGATGTAGCATCAGCTGCTGTAGTATCTGCCGTAGTTGTGTCAGCCACTGTAGTTGTAGCATCACCTACTGTTGTTGTTACATCAGCCGTTGTTGCATCAGCAACTGTCGTAGCATCAGCTGTAGTTGTGTCAGCCACTGTAGTTGTAGCAGCAGCAGCTGTAGTATCTGCCTTAGTTGCGTCAGCCACTGTAGCTGTCTCAGCTACTGTTGTTGTAGCATCAGCCGTTGTTGCATCAGCAACTGTTGTTGTAGCATCAGCTGTAGTTGTGTCAGCCACTGTAGATGTAGCATCAGCTGCTGTAGTATCTGCCGTAGTTGCGTCAGCCACTGTAGTTGTGTCAGCTACTGTTGTTGTAACATCAGCCGTTGTTGCATCAGCAACTGTTGTTGTAGCATCAGCTGTAGTTGTGTGTGCCACTGTAGTTGTAGAATCAGCTGCGGTAGTGTCTGCCGTAGTTGCATCAGCCACTGAGGTTGTGTCAGGTACTGTTGTGTCGGGTACTGTTGTTGTAGCATCAGCCGTTGTTGCATCAGCAACTGTTGTTGTAGAATCAGCTGTAGTTGTGTGTGCCACTGTAGTTGTAGAATCAGCTGCTGTAGTATCTGCCGTAGTTGTGTCAGCCACTGTAGTTGTGTCAGCAACTGTTGTTGTAACATCAGCCGTTGTTGCATGAGCAACCTTTGTAGCATCTGCCGTAGTTGTGTCAGCCACTGTAGTTGTGTCAGCAACTGTTGTTGTAACATCAGCCGTTGTTGCATCAGTAACTGTTGTAGCATCAGCTGTAGTTGTTTCAGCCACTGTAGTTGTAGCATCAGCTACTGTTGTAGCATCAGCTGTAGTTGTGTCAGCCACTGAAGTTGTAGCATCAGCTGCTGTTGTATCTGCCGTAGTTGCGTCAACCACTGTAGTTGTGTCAGCAACTGTTGTTGTAACATCAGCTGTTGTTGCATCAGCAACTGTTGTTGTAGCATCAGCTGTACTTGTGTCAGCTACTGTTGTTGTTACATCAGCAACTGTTGTTGCATCAGCAACTGTTGTAGCATCAGCTGTAGTTGTGTCAGCCACTGTAGTTGTAGCATCAGCTGCTGTAGTATCTGCCGTAGTTGCGTCAGCCACTGTAGTTGTCTCAGCTACTGTTGTTGTAGCATCAGCCGTTGTTGCATCAGCAACTGGTGTTGTAGCATCAGCTGTAGTTGTGTCAGCCACTGTAGTTGTAGCATCTGCTGCTGTAGTATCTGCCGTAGTTGCGTAAGCCACTGTAGTTGTCTCAGCTACTGTTGTTGTAGCATCAGCCGTTGTTGTAGCGTCGGTGTTACCAACATTTCTACGAAATCGTCTTTTGAATCCTTCAATTGAGGCATTTCTTTCTGAAAGTAGTGAAGACAATGATTGTAGCAGTGAAGACACATTATTACTAAGGTACAGAAAATACACCAGACTAACTTACAAATTGTAGCTCAAGTGGGCCAAATTTTATAAGCTTTACAATATAGGTTCTATTCCTTTGCAGGCAAACTTGAATTCTACGGGCAAAGTTGTTGATTACCCTATCACATTCCTTTTGAGATATGCCCTGATCATGTGTATGACCATGTGAATGAAAGAAATCCCCACACCAAAGAGAGAAATTACAAGGAAGATCAGAGCCATGTCTCAGATATTGATTACACGAAACAAAGGATGTTGGAAATGATATGTAATGTGCTAAATGATTATTTATCAAAAAGACCAATAATGATCACTTTGAAGCATCAGAAACAAGTTACTATCAATATCTTATGAATTTCATTTTTGAAAGGTTGAAAAATAACGAAGGCACTAAAACTAGAATTTGAAAATTTCGGGAGTGAGGGATTTTCTTAAAAATTCGAAAAAGAAAAAAGCTAATAAAATCCCAAAAATGTGTAGCTCCCTATACAGACCAAATATTAATTAGAACTATTCTTCACAAAATGTTTATAAACCCCGACGTTCTTATCATACTATTGTATAGACTATTTTGTGAACGGATTCCAATTGCAAGATGAATGGTTCCAGCTAAAAGCTAACTTGGCTCCTTCGTGTCATGAAAAATACATTGCCTGCATTTGTTTAAACCGATTTTAGCAACGGCATATGCGAACGAGAACAATGGCTACGACACCGGCAAAACAAGGCATTAACATGTCAAAATGTCACTACCTAGTTGCTCACAATATCATTAGTTCACATGTTAAGTCTGAGAACTCTGTTTATGATTTTGAAAAAAATAGTCAATTCGAAGCAAGTTTTTTTACCCTGAAAAGGTCATTAAAGGTAAAATCTCAAATCTGAAGTCAGATTTAACTTCTGAGAACTTGCAGACGATTTTGAAAAAAGAATTGGTCAGTTTGAAGCAAGTTGAAAGAAAGACCTGACTGACCTTGAGAAGGTCATTGAAGGTCAAATCTTTTCTGACCTTGGTAATGCCATTAAAGCTCAAATCTATGGTCAGATTTTAACTTTTGAGAACTTGTAGATGATTTTGAATAAAAGTGGTCAATTTGAAGCAAGTTTAAAAAAGACCCTTTGTCCTTTATTTGACATTGAGAAGGTAATTGAAGGTCAAATCAATGGTCAGATTTGAACTTTTGAGAACTTGTAGATGATTTTGTAAAAAATGTTCAATTTGAAGCAAGTTGAAAAAAGACCTGTTTGACCTTTTTTTAACCTTTTTTGACCTTGAAAAGATCGAAGGTCAAATCTTAAATGTAAAGTCAGATTTAAACTACTAAAAACCTGTAGATGATTTGGAAAAAAATTGAAGTCAGTCTCAAAAGTATTTCTTAAGTTATTAGAAGTTTTAAGAATTTGTTACAGACGCCAACCGCGCCCGCCGCCCGCCACCCACCGATCGCCAACCACCAACCGCCGCCATAAAAAACGGAGACCCTAACAATATGTCACCGCTTCTTGGTGATGACATACCAAAACCTTACCATGCGAGTTTCTGAAGCCATGTGTCGCTGATTGATGAAACTCATTTTCCATATTCCGCCTGGATTTAAATTTCCAAAATTTACCAGTAGTTTCCTGGACATTTTGACTCTGTAAAAATGTTCTTACTAATGACGATGCCCGGGGTTGCTTTCGGACCTGATAGGATTTCCTTTTCTGGTGTTTCCATTCTTTCCATTGTTTATATTTCTTAGTTATAGATTGTTGGAATTCATAATTGAATGATTTGTATGAAAGGCCTATGTCTTTTCTATCCGCTTGATCAATCCACTTTTTGATATCCACTAAATTTAGAATCTTTTTTTGGTTTTCTGTTTTTGGCAATTCTGGTTGTTTAACTTGGTTTGAAACAACAATTAACCAAGATATTACAATGTATAACTGGAAATAAAATACAAAGTTTTCACGTGTGTATCCTTTTTTCTTTGCGCAATCCATTTTATCTAACACTATTTCCAAAATGTACCATAATTTCCTTTTGACTCGTTATAAGTTAATGCTTCACCGGGGATTATTTATTGAATAAATAAGTAAATGAATTCATCGCGTAAAAAGCACGTACATTGAATGAGTGTTTGTATTGTTAAGGTTAAGGCTCCTGAAATACAATACGTGTGGGGCCCAATACTCGCAATATGGGTCGCGTTTCCTGAAATTCTTAAACACCAAATGCCATTTAGTTTTCCATATATAGCCACTATTTATAATTATTGAGCCAATGAGAAAACATCACTCCCCTTTTTTCCCCTTAACGGTTGCACCACTGAGTAATATTTCTAATATTCTTTTAAAAAATAAAATAGAATCGAAAAATAATGAAAATAATGAAGTTTCGTTTTTAAAAAATATTTCATAAAACGTTTTCGCCGACGACTTATAACTGCCCAACATAAGCCAAGCAAATTATAACATGAAATAAGGGCACTAAAATACAATATGGAAAATATATGAAAGATCAATTTTAAAAACACAGGTTCTAAATCTTGAGGTTACACCCAAAAATGTGTATGTATTGTGCGTGATACGATCGTAAAGTATTTTTCTATTTGTTTAGCAAAACGATTGTATAGCATTATTAAATTTTGAAAAGACACAAGGCAAGATGACATGAAATTGAAGAGAATGCATACAAACAACGTTCTTTCAAACTTTAGAATGCTTCAATCACGAAGTGTTTTACTTCATCGTAATTTGATAAAAGAATTTCTCGTTTGACATTAGAGAGATTTTGCTCATACATAAAAGCAGAACTTATGTATGCGTATACGTTATAAGTATTGACTCCGTGAATTGACCATTTCCCATATACGTAAATGGAAAAATAGATGGCATCGAGGGTGTTGATAGGGCTAGAATACATTGAAATGTATTGCAAGAGTTACTTGATTTCTTGATCTAACATAAACCATTTGGATCAACTTAAAACATGATTAAAACATGATTTGAATGTAATTATACGAACCTGTAAGTAAATGAACTTTTAAAGGTTTTTAAACATTATTTCAATGGGGATTTAGCCCGACCTTTTTCAGAAAACTTGAAAATCTTTAGAATTTGAATCAAGATAAACAACTGTGCATATCAAAGCTGTTTTAATTGAAATTACACAATTGTATTTAAGTAAAACATTAATTTTCAAACATCGAAAACTTTTGATATGCTATCGACAGCTAACGGAAACTTCTGGTCGCAAAAATTTCTGAAGGAAAGTGTACATTTTTTATACATTCTTTCAGAGAACTTGGCGTTTACATCTAGCTATTATGTTTTGTTATTTTATTTACCACTTTAAAGATGAGTACATACAGTATACATAAATATGATACAAAAAAAATTAAAAGTTTGCGAAAAATACTACAAGTTACAGGTATGTTAGATGACATGCTCATATGTCAGAGCATGCTATTTTACAAGGATTTAAGAAGGTAATCCCTTCTTTTGTGCATGTCATAATGATAGTGTCCTGCAATTGAAGCATTATTTCAGGATCATATTCAGTCCCTCCACCGAAAATGAAACATATGAATTCACAAATGTTGTTGACTCCTAGTTTATATAATTGGCTAAATAAATTGTATCTTATATCTATATACGCTGGGCACAATAGTAAGACATGTTGAACGTCTTCAGTAGCATGATAAACATAGTCGTTCAGACATTGGTTGTCCGTAATAATCACCTATCCTGTATGTTCCTGATATCACTTTCATTCACGCCCGGTGATCATACAAAAATGATGGAGGGGGATTAGGCGATTTCTGAAAGAAAACTCAACAAATGGAAGATTTATTTTTTCAAGAGAAAATACAACTGAATTGCCAAATGAATAAGCGCAGTGCATGACAAAATATGTTAGGTCATCTAGTATTTTTAGGAATTGATACCCTTCTAAGATAAGAGATCTATTAAAAAAGGCGCATCATCACCAAAGTGCAAAAGTCAATGTTTTTGCTATAAATTTTCTCTTGACAAGATAAATCTTCCAAATTTGTTGAGTTTTCTTGCAGAAATCGCCTGATTCCCCCCCCCCCCTCAATCATTTTTGTACGATCACCGGGCGTGTCATTATAACGTTACATTGTGGTAAGCGTCTTGGAAAGCGCCTGGCAACTTCCCAACAATGGTTTTAAAACAGTGAAACATCTCAATATTGGCCTCAGTGTTGGATATAAAGAGCTAAGAACGAAAACACACTTGAGAGTATTGTTAACAGGGCCTTAACATCTAAGATCTTTTGGAAAAAATGAACTTCCTTGTTCAAAACCCTTGTTCAAAACCTGTCTTAGCGAACACCTTTCTCTTGTGCACACCTGACTCGAATGAACACCTTTTCTCACCACATACTCAACTGACTTAAATGATCATCTCTGTAATGTACATCTACCTACAGTGAACACATTTTTGTGACTTTATAGGTGTCCAATGTACACATATTTCACTTACCCACTGCAAAGAAAATGGTGCATGATCTCATATTTTTCAATTCATCAACATTTTTTATTACGTTTTTTAATTTATCAAATTATAGATGAAATTCAAATAATGTAAATATACCTGGTATGTTCACCTAGTCCCTGGAGTATACATAGAGGGAGTGCCGGAATTCATCTCAGTACGTTATAATTTTCATGTGATTTTTTCAGAAAATATTTGATTTTGGATTATAATCATGGCATACTTCAGATTTCTCGTGATATCATTTTATCGCCTCGGGAATATAATACAGTGCGTATAAAACAGCATCCTTTTCATTCAATGAACCACAAAGCCACATTTTTCATCTTTGCAATGGTATGTCATTCATTCTCAGGGATTTATGTTTGGCCAAATAATCATTGATCTCACAAAGTGGTGCAAAATCAGTTCAGAACCAAGTTTAAAACATTGCAAAAATCAGTGCAAGGGGCATAATGGCTATTGGAAAAAGGTGTGACAGGTGTGGCATAGACAGTGAAGTGTTCATACTAATACTTTTACAAGAATACATCCTATACCCCTCCGAAATGCAAACACTTCTTAGCAAACAAAGATGCGCAGATCTCTCATTGTCATTCATCGCTCATGATCAGCTTTGAGTCACCTGTGGTTTAAGGCGTAGAAAAGCATCCCATTTGGCAATTCTTTTTCGAAATTTTGCAATACCTGGGTGAGGAATGGCAAACACTTTGCTCCTGAGATAGCTCCAAAAGAAAAAGTCACAACAATTCAGGTCAGGAGAACTTCCATTAGCACTTAGCCCTAGCACTGACTTTTGCAATATCTGAAACTTGGTCCAGAGCCGACTTTGGCCAATTGTGCAAAAGGAATGATTTTTCGCCCAACAATGGCCACATGTGAATGACTGATATACAGGGTGTCCCGAAAGTATGCCCCCCCCTAGGCAGACATATACCAGTGTCGTCATAGTATGTGTCATATATCATTTTAAAGCTTATCCAAAGTTACATTGATTCACCAAGTATCATGGTTCAACTCTCAAATGTGAAAAAATACAGACATTTCAAAATTTAGTGTTAGGTCAAAATTAAGTTCAATTTTACACCAAATCACTAGTCAATGTGTCCTTACGGGCCATCTTAACAGCAGCAATTTTTTCGGGTCGGATGGATATTGAGTTGGAGAAAGAGAAGGGCGAGGGTAGAAATTCTAAGGAAACCCTTCTAAAGTGCCTTAACAGGTTTTAAGAGGGTTATACAATTCTACACCCCTATTTGAAGGGCTTTTAAGGTCATATCTGAAAATAATTGCTGCTGTTAACATGGCCAAGGGGGGACTCTAACATTTAAAATGACTGTAACTTTTTCCCATTTGGGAGTTAAACCATGATACTTGGCAAATCAATGTAACTTTGGATAAACTTTAAAATGATATATGACACATACTATGAGGACACTGGAATATGTCTGCCTAGGGGGGGGGGGCATACTTTCGGGACACCCTGTACCATTTCAAAGAGGAGGGACGTGACTTTATGGTCCATTGAATGAAATTGATGTAGTCATCACTGGTTTTGTGGTTTTACGAGATAACTGTTTGATGCGTTTTCTTGATACGCCCTGTATATCAACTGGCACTCATTAGCTTTGTTAACTCATTTTGATATTTGATATGGAACTCGTCGATAAAAATGATATTACATATTAGAATGGTCTAATATTTTTAAATCAATCCACTGTAGCATCTTCGCATACTGTGCTATAGCAAAAAATATTCTTTTCAAAGTAGCAATTTTATTCAAGTGTCCCTAGTTACACCAAACTATTTCTCAACATGTCTGTCGCGTCCTTAGAAATAGTAAAACGTGATCATGATGTGGTCCTGTAAACTATCTTAAAATACGACAAGCGATACGACAATGTAAGTCTTCAATGCACGAAGCTAATAAAACGAAACTAAAAACAAGAAAATCTAAATGATAGCCTTCTTTAAAACGTCTAAAAAATGTTGTCAAATCCTTCAGAGCTATTTGTTTCTGTTTTCAACATATTTATAAGGAATAAAGACTTACTGACAGACTACTTGAGGCGAGGAGTGTGGTATGTGAGGAGGATTGGTGAGCCAAAGCGAATTATGAACTGACTTGAAGTTCTAAAGCATCTTCTCGGTCGAGGAAGTCCAAGGACTTCTTAGAAAATTTAAAACCCGTCAAAATGAACAACGCAACTACCCATTCGTTTAAACCCATGTGGCATTTTTAAGAACGATTGAAGAATTAGTTTGTGCTATTTCGTTTAACATGTGGGAACAACTTTTCAACGCAGTTCGAGTTTGCATAGTCAGAAGCCCTTCTTGATTAGTTCTAGCTCGTTCCTGTCCGTATAACGCGTCCATAGTAAAGGATTGAAATATGGTTCCGCTCTGCAAGTACATTCCATTTCGTTTGAAATGTACTAAAACCGTTGTCCGAATCTCTTATTACCTTGTACTTAGTAAAAAATAATAACTCTTACTTGTAAACATGGCCAATAACATTGGTGTAGATACTGCGAGATAACCAGAAAATTCG